TATAGGTAGATACAGACTGGTACAGACTGATGTGACTGGAGTGGGGTAGGGGTGTTTTATTTATACATATATACGCCTTTTTTTTAGGTGAGGGAATGGAAGTTTTGAGTGAGTTCCCCCACTTTTTTCCCTAGGACTTCAATAAGTCAAAGTACAGGTCTAGACTTAATGATGATCATCTTCAAGCCATACTGAGGGTCTCAACTGCTTCCGCTCTAAAGCCAAATGTGGTTCAGATTTGTGAGAAGAAGCGCTGTCAAGTCTCTGGCAGCAAGAAGTAGGCAAAAGATGCCATGTTCAGAAGAACTGTTCATAATCTTCACTCAATGTTCTATTAATGTTCAGGACACTTCATGTTCAGAAGAAATAATTAAAACTGTTAATAATGACATTTGAGGACTTTTTTTGTGAAATCCCTTATGCGGCCCAGCCTCACCCAGACTTTGCCTCCTGCGGCCCCCAGGTAAATTGAGTTTGAGACCCCTGATTTAAGTAAAGACAAAAACCAATACCTTACTTCCTTACCGTTTATATCGAAGTTGATATTCAGCCGCACCATGCTTTCGTAACATCTTATTTACCCCCCCCCCCAAACCTGTAAGACCAGGGTATATACACATACACAACGGACAATTTAGCTTATCCAGTTCACCAATAGTGCATGTGTTTGGACTGTGGGGGAAACCGGAGCACCCAGAGGAAACCCACGGCAACAACAATAATTATGAATAATATGTATATAATAGGGCTGGGCGATAAAATCAGTATCGGTATTTATTGACTGAACAACATTGTCAATATTGATTAAAAAAGATTCACTATGAAGTATTGGTGTGAAGCGCTATATCATTCATTCATTTTCTTTTCGGCTTAGTCCCTTTATCGTTCTGGGGTCACCACAGCGGAGTGAACCGCTAACTTATCCAGCATATGTTTTATGCAGCAGATGCCCTTCCGGCTGCAACCCATCCCTGGGAAACATTCATACGCACTCATTCACACACATACACTATGGACAATTTAGCCCACCCAATTCACCTATAGTGCATGACTTTGGACTTGTGAACCTGTGCAAACATGGGAGAACATGCAAACTCCACTATGATATACTCCTAAACTGATCCAGCTGAGGCTCGAACCAGCGACCTTCTGGCTTTGAGGTGAAGATGCTACCCATTGCGCCATTGTGCAGCCACATGAAACTTGATAAATAAAGTGGTTAAATTAAAAAATCTTAATACTCCAAAATTGGTTGTTAAATATATTCAATAATTATCAATATGGAATAATGTGAAACATATTGTGTTTTTTTTCATTATATCTCCATATCGCCCAGCCCTAGTATATAATATAGTTTATTTAATATTATATAAATATTATAATTTTTATTATTATTATATATAAAATGTAAAATATAATTTATTATATAATTATATAAATATTATTACATGTATTAATATATTATTATATATTTATAAATTTTCAAGATCAAAGAATTGGAAAAACTCTCCTATTTATTATGCTTAGGTCTGATTATGCTTAAGTTTGAATTCTTTCACCTGTTTCCTCAGTTCCCTCTTCACCATTCTCTATCATTAACATGCTTTCGACACAGGACCACTCAAAAATTGTAAATGCATATTATTGTAAGTTCTCTGTTATTATATATTATCTGTTATTATCTTAGATTAACAACTTAATGTGCTAAAAAGTTGGGGTTACTTGTTTAAATATTGTAAGGTGAACAAACTTATTCATAATAAGTTAACTGCGCTTAATTGTATTAGTGAGAACAGCTACTGCTTTTAATAGTGTAGGTGGAAGTGACAAACTGCAAGCCTTACATGTTTGTATACCCTTTTAAAAACTTTTAAACAGTAAATTTGAGACTGTGTTGGTGCGCACTAGCTTATATATTTCCTAAAAACTTACAACATTGATACTAACAGCTTTCTATTAATTTATGGAACTTTTAAACACACAGACACACTTTTGTGTGACTCTTACACGAACCCGCTGGTCATTTGAATATTTCTCTCCTGCTTTCTTTATTTAACAGCCATGTGGTTTCACCCTTCTCTCTCTCACACACACACACACACACACGCACTCACACATTGGGCCTTTCTTCATGGTCAAAGCCAGCGCTGTTACTATAGAGACGCTGCCCACATGATGATGGTAGTGACTTTGACAGCGGCTCTCCGCTATAATAAGCCTCTCTCAGTCTTCACTCTTGTCTAAATCAGCACAATTGAGCCGCGTTCACTCAACAGCTGACAGTTCTTACTATGCTGACCTACAACCAGCATGCCTGTGTGTGGTACAAATAAACTGCTGCTGTTACACATGAATATTTGGGCTTGAATAGCATGAGGTAATGCCTGTTTTTGGATTCATAAATACTTGGTTAATAATGGGTTTGCTAATTCGGTTTAAGTGTGGAGCAAGAATTATTTCTAACGTTCTCTGTGAATGACTTTGGTTGAGTAAGGTGCTGCAGGAGATTTGGGGAAAAAAAACTTTTTTTGGGGGGGGTGGGGGAACTAGTTTTTTGTATTGAATTTTAATGTTTATTGTATTACCTTTTTATTATATGCATGATTTTTGTTTTATTTGTTTTTCTATTTGCCAAGTGCATTTATTATTATTATTATTATTATTATTATTATTTTGTTTTGTTTAAACTCAGTCTAAGTGTTTCTTCCTGTGATGATTACTTTTTAGTTTATATTTTTTGTACCACTTTTTTAATTTATATATATTGACTTATTTAACATTTTTATTGTATTTTATTTGATCTCTTTTATTTAGCTTATTTGTAATTGACTTATTTTTACTTTATTTTACTTATTTTGTTTATTTTACTTCATTATATTTTCATAGTTTTTATTTTACTTATATACTACTTTGTATTATATATTTTAATTTAACATATTTTGTATTTAGCTTTTTTATTTTATTTGACTATATATTCTACTTCTTAATATATATAATATATAACAATTTTTTTCATATTTATTTTATTTAACTAAATTTTTTTTTTACTTAATTTGCTTAAATTTTTTTGTAATGAGTTTTTTTAAGTTTGCTTTTTAGTTTATATATATATATATATATATATATATATATATATATATATATATATATATAATATTTTTAATGTAACATTTTATTGTTGCGTTTTACTTTTTTATGTTCTTATTTTTATTGTACTTTTTATTTGACTAATTTACTTTTATTTATTTGACTTATTTGATTATTTGCACTTTATTTATGTATTTTATTTGAGTCATTTTGAATTTATTATGTGTTTTATTTTTGCTTTAACTTGTTTTTGTTTTTTATAGTGAGCTTTTTTAAACATTTCTTTTTAGTCCATACATATTTTTATTTTGCTCTTTATTTCATATATATATATATATATATATATATATATATGGTAATTCATATATATTACCAATACTACTAATAATAATACTTATAATACTACTACTAATAATAATAATAATCATCATCACCATCATCATAATAATAATTAATATTAGAGTGATTTCTGAAGAATCATGTGGCTGAAGACTGGAGTAATGAAGCTAAAAAATTATCATTAAAAATCACTGGAATAAATAATTAAATTAAATGACAAACTACTTTTGTACAGTTACTTTATAGTGAATTTCATTTCTTTTTACAATTTTTACTGTATTTTTGATTAAATAAATGCATCCTTATTAAGTAGGATAAGCTTATTTTGATTGTGCTATCTATCTATCTATCTATCTATCTATCTATCTATCTATCTATCTATCTATCTATCTATCTATCTATCTATCTATCTATCTATCTATCTATCTATCTATCTATCTATCTATCTATCTATCTATTTATCTATCTATCTCTCTATCTCTATCTATCTCTCTCTCTCTCTCTCTTTCTCTCTCTCGGTCTATATATATTTTTTTTATTTAACATTTTTATTGTTTTTTATTCTACTTTTTTGTTTTGCTTATTTTTATTTTTATTATTTATATTTTATTTACTTTACTTTTATTTTTTTTACTTATTCTGTCTGCGTGTGTGTGCATGCAATATTTTTAATTTGCTAAGATACATATGCATGTTAAGTAGTACAAATCAACATTGCAGAAAGAAGCACTTTAGGTGAGAATTACCTTACACAAATTCTTCCTGTGGTCAGTTTTCTCCTCCAAGTCAACAAACATCATGACAAAGAACCAGTTTAAAGATATCCTCGCTGATCAAATTACAAATTTGACTATTTCCAGAGTAAGGCATGTTCATTATACGGCATATATAAGGCAGTGTGCTGTATAATAATGATTTGATCAGCTGTAGTTTGAAATTACAATGTTTTTCGCTTATTATGCGGTCTCTGTCGCCATCTTGTGGATGAACATCATCAACCGTCTGCTCAAAGACAGGCTAATGGCCGCCGATGCCCTGTCTCAGAAATGATAAATATTTTAAATAGGCACTCTCCTTACGAATAAATGGCATAGTTACAATCTAAACAACAACATTATTGACTAAAAAGCCTCAAAAGTACATTATGTTGCCCAACAGCAGCAATATTTGTCAAACTGTGAGGTTTCCTCTGCTTGTTGCTGTATGTGGGTGGAGTAATACACAAGGGTGAAGGGTTAAGAGGCTGGACGAGTGCTGTTATTTTGCAGAATATTGAACATCAACCGATCAGATTCAAGAATCAGAGAGAACTGTTGTAAAACTTATATAATATTGACTTAGATAAAAAAGGGCAATTTTATGTATTTATTTATTTATTTGTGGCCATATCCACCACACAGATTTCTCACACTCATATAAGCCACCATAACTCTTATTGCTGCTTTTTATTTTTTCATGCTGACTCATTTATGCATTTTCATCATCCACAGTGTTTGAGGTCAGGTTTCTTGTATGTGTGTGAGCGTATAGTACAGACCCACGGCTGACGTTAAATTCTCCTTTTCTGTGTTAAGTGTCAGGAGCCCATTGGGTTCGGAAATGCGCCATGTTTGTGAGAACGATGAGCCTGGCAGACATGTCCGGTAAGTGCCGCTCTGCTCCGCTGCCAAACGCACTTCACGCCCTGGATGGGATCAATTCTGCCTTTTTTTTTCTTTTAATTTTGCACTTTTTTTTTTTTTTTTTTTTTTTGCAGTTTTGAAGTAAACTGATAGAAAGTTTCATAAAGATGATTAAGATGCTTTTGATGAATCACAGGGTTTGAACCCATCCCTGCCCAATCTTAGAATGTGCCTGGAGCTTTTGTCTTAGTGGGTCTCATTCACTCCTAATTGTCGCTCTTAAAAATGGATATTGTTGAAAAGCAGGGTGTGTGTGTCTGCAGCGGGTACATTTCTAAATACTTGTCCATGTCCATTTAAGGGCTTTCATACAATAACCTCTCATATAGGCATTGATATGATCTGTTAATTAGTAGTAATTTATATTTTGATGTCTTTCTGTTTATTTACGGTTGTGAATTGCATTATGGGACCTTAATCTCTGCTCTCTCGACCTTTGTTGTTGAAAATTTAACTTTACAATTTAACCTTTTATTAACATTTTAATAGTTTGTAATTAAAAAAATGTAAAAGGAATAATAAAAAGAGAAATAAGTTTGTAAAATAACAGAAAATGTATTGCAGTTGATTACAAGGCTTTAGTACCGTAATATATAAACACCAACCCAAACAATATATCACTTTAAACATTTAGAAATGTTAATAAAAGTCACTTCTTACAACTTTTCTAGATTAAAAGTTGTTGGAAGAAAGATCAGAGTCCCATAAAAGGCAAAAAAAAAAAAAAAAAAAACTAAGGCTAATTTTACAGATATTTTTATAGTGTGTTTCCTGCATATGCTCTCATATCCCTATACAAACTTAAAAATAAAGAACTTTTGTTCTGTTCTGAAATTTTATTTAAAAAAATGTAAGTGATAAATATAATGTGACACATAACAAACTGTATAGACACAGCGGCTAATGAATGGTTAGTGAATGAGACTCATGTCTTGTGATGTTTCTTGTGTGCATGTTTCCTGATCTCTGCATTTTAGTGTTTCCTTTTGTCTTTTTGTGTCCAAGTTAAAAGGATATTTGATTGTACTTTGTACAGTTGATTACTGATGGCTTTGCTGAAATTTTAGATCTGATAATAGTGTTGATATCCATGCTCAGATTGGGTGTTTTAGATTAGGTCTGCATGATTAATCGGAAAAAGATCGTGATCTGGATTCGACCCAACTCCAATCAACAGTAGTTAATCAACAGTAGGGCTACACATGAGCCTAATATTAGTATAAATTTCAATTTACTAGAACATCTATGTTAAGCTGCTTTGACACAATCTACACTGTAAAAGCGCTATAGAAATAAAGGTGAATTGAAATTTAATTAAAATTACACAGTAAAAATGATATGAAAAAGTCATGACAACAACAGTTTTTTTTTGTTAAACAGGTTTAAGCTAAATTTAAATCATACAAACTTTAACTTAATATTTTTTATGAGTTTTATTGTTAGTTAAAATCACTAGAATTTTTTTTTGTCTCTGCTAAAAAAAAAATAAGGCAACGAGAATTGTTTTACAAATTACTAGAAAACTGGCAGCTCAGTGGGTAGCACAATCGTCCCATAGCAAGATGGTTGCTGGTTCAAGCCCCGGCTGGGTCAGTTGGCATTTCTATGTGGAGTTTGCATGTTCTCCCTGTGTTCTTGTGGGTTTCCTCCTGGTGCTCCAGTTTCCCTCACAAGTCCAAAAATGTGTGGTGTAGGTGAATTGGGTAAGCTAAAATTGTTCGTTTGAGTGTGTATGGATGTTTTCCAGTAATGGGTTGCAGCTGGAAGGGCATCCGCTGTGTAAAACATGTGCTGGACAAGTTGGCGGTTCATTCCCCAGATTAACTAAGGAACTTAGCCTAAAAGAAAATAAATGAATTTATATACTAGAAACTGAGTTGCTGCAAACGATGATTGATTATGAGCATCTCATATACAAAATTAGTCATGTATTTGTTTAACTTTGCTAAGCATTTGCAATTCTGTCTTATAACAGTTTATTTTTTTATTCAATCTATTGTACATTCATAGTTTAAACTGAGACATGAACATTGAACTGTCAGGATACACCAATAAAAGACTGAAAATCCTTAATTAAATTTAAGGCTAATTGCATAGCGCTTTTCACAATTATTAATGTTTCAAAGCGGCTTTAAAATAGGTGCACATTATGATTAAGGTTATTTGTTAGCAAAACTTTATTAGTTACTAAAAGCTTTAACAAATTAACTAGTAACTAACAGCTTTTAGCAGGTAAAGTTATTATAGATAAAACATAGTTAATCTGCAGCTGTACTGTATAGTATATAGGTGATGTCTATGTGTACATGTTCAATGAATTGTATTAAGTGCACTTAAGTGTTTACTGCTGTCCTCAAAGTTTTCAGTGGTTGGCATCATGTCTTCAAAAGTGATAGCGAGTATCAGCCGAAAGCGAGTGTAGAATACAGCACAAATGCTCTGTCATCCGAGCAGCCCTCGTCTTCCTGCAAACAGCTGAGGAGTCACAGAGGCCTGGCGTTTACCCAGCGTTCAGATCACCACATCAAATATTCAACAGGTGCCTCTGAACGGGAGCTTTTTCTGTGTCTGAGACGCTGAGCAAGGCGAAGATAGACAAGCTTGAGGAGTGTTTTTTTGAAGGGAATTACAGAGGAAAGAATGTATCTGTGGAGGGTCCCAAGCCAGAATTGAACATCTAAATTGGTGATGATGGTGAAAGTGTGGCTAGTACTCAACCTTTTTACCCTCTCTAGTTGTGCCACACCGCTGAAAAGATGTTCAAGAGGAAGAGAATGCTTAAGGTATGATGGATTCTGTCTGAGAAGATTATTTACCTCTTCTGCTGGAGGTTGGGTTATAGATTGGGTGTTTTGTTGTATTCAAAGTTGTCAAGAGCAGCTTGTATTGTGTTTAAAAGAGAAATGTTAACCAGTCATGGAGAACGTGTATAATGTTACCACTGGAGAGAGGGCATGGACTGGTGTTTTGCTCATTTTATTAGATAGGGTAGAAATGTAGACAAGTTATACCTGCTTGGACTAGGTGGGTTATTAGCATGTTTACATCCCAGGTTTAACTCAAGTGAACCTGTGTGGCAGCCAGCAGGTGTGTTGTTTCCTGTAAATCCTCAAGCGGGTTGGCCAGGTGTGTGTTTACATAATATCACCACAGCCTTGGTTGAAACCAGCTGCGTTTGCTGTCACTACATACAGTAATACCCGCAGCATCGGATGAGGGACACTTGAAGGTTGAGTTTGTGTTTGTTGTGGGTTGAATGGAAACACGCTATGCCTCTTTGGTTTTCCAGACTCGCTTTGTTTTCCATTGATGATGTGAGGTTTTTAAGCTGGACAGGCCAGTTTTGTGGTCTTGGTATAAAGTGTGCAATGAAAAGCACCCCTTGTAATGACTCTTCCGTCTTCCCTCTTTATCCTACGAAAGCGGCGGAAGTGGTCGAAACAGCCAAAAATAAGAAGTGAAAAAATGACAAGATGCTGTGCCAATCTGCTGGCTGGTTTTACTCTCCCTCACACCAAACTTTCACACCAAACACGGAAAGCGATTTGCTATGAAACATAGATTTTTAGTTGCTTGCACTTCGAGATTTAATATTTTGTACTATAAGATTAACAGCTCAATTTTTCACTTTGAGGATCTGTAACTCCATATAGTAACGCTGGTTAAATGAGGTCTCGACGTGTTTACTGCCAAAATTTTTATAAGGGAAGGCCCTTTTTCCATTGTCACTTTTTCTTCTGTTTAAAGGATAGACAAGGAGGGTAGAATTGTCGTTTTATTTATAGAACTTTATTTTTGGCTTAGATAAGAGATCCAATATTAGGTAGCATAATTTTTTGTTGTTTTGTCCTTTTCATTCATTCATTTTCTTGTCGGCTTAGTCCCTTTATTAATCCGGGGTAGCCACAGCGGAGTGAACCGCCAACTTATCCAGCAAATTTTTACGCAGCGGATGCCCTTTCAGCCGTAACCCATCTCTGGGAAACATCCACACACACATTCACACACACACCCTTACACTACGGACAATTTAGCCAAACCAATTCACCTGTACCGCATGTCTTTGGACTGTGGGGTAAACCGGAGCACCTGGAGGAAACCCACGCGAACGCAGGGAGAACATGCAAACTCAACACAGAAACGCCAACTGCGCCGAGGCTCGAACAAGCGACCCAGCGACCTTCTTGCTGTGAGGCGACAGCACTACCTACTGCGCCACTGCTTAGCCCTGTCGTTTTGATCCCTTGACAAATTTGAAAATATTTATGCTTAATAAACCTGTTATCCCTTTGTGTGCTTAAGGAGCAGGAAAGGGGACTCCGGGTGACCTCTTTTAATAGACGGTCATCCTTATCATTATGTGCATAGCGTGGTGCTTCCACCACATAACAACAAGTGTCAAGTCCCGAGATTGGGATTGGGCAGTCCACATTATTTAATACTGTAGCTTCTGTGTTGTGGAGCATTTTTGAGTGAAATACCATATTCATAAGGGGAAATATTTGAGCAAGCATCACATTACTGTTGCTTATCCTGATGGTAAAGGATTTGACAAACCTTTAAAAGCCTTAAACACCACTTAGTAGTGTTGTCATGAAATTGGAATTCGATACCAATTGGTTCTGAAATTTTAAAAACGTCCATTTTTTGTCAACTTTTGAGCGCTGTTGATCACTTACTTTAAACAGCGCTAATTTGCCGTTGTGTTCACGTGCTCAACTGAAATGACTGTGATTGGTTGTAAAGGTCATCAGTTCACCGAACTCATGGTTGTTTATTAGCAGTGTTGGAGAAAGTTACTTTTAAAACAAGTAATGCATTACAATGTTAAGTTACTCCCCCCCAAAAAAGTGCATTACTTAGTTACTTTTTATGAAAAGTAATGTTTTATATTATTTTTGAGTTACTTTTGCGTTACTTTTCCTTACCTGGCTGAGGTTCGATCTCTTTCAGAATTTGAACTTAAACTTTTTTTTCACCTTTTTAATAGAGAAGCTTTGCATTTAAAAACCACCTGTATAACCTACACATTCACTTACCTTAGTAAGTATGTAGGATAAAGTTCTATTTTGAGAACTTTTTGAACCCAGAGCTATACATGCTGTATATACAGATTCATGAAAGCATGTAAAGTAATGTGTTTGCTGAATGTTTTGTGTCATTAGTTAAGTAAATTCACTGTATGTTGATATAAAGACTGCAATAAAGCTGAAGAGTGCTGACAAGAAATTATTAAGGCAAAAACAGATTTAAAACCTTCAAAATGTTTAATAACAAAATGAACAGTAAGACGATAAAAACGTCCCCAAATCAAAATAAATCTTAGAGCTTTATATATTGAATAAATTTCTTCACCTGGCCTTAACAAATGGATAAATCATTTCCTAAAAGAGAAAAAATCTTACTATATTACAAAATGTCGTTGCTTCAACAGTAACATTAGACAGTGGCTGCATCTCCACAACAATAAAAGCAATAACCTTTTTATTTGTTTATTAATTTTTGTAGAGTTTAATGGAATTAATATTTTTACCTGGAGAGCATAAACTGATGTCATTCATTTGTTGTTTCGCTGGAGGTGGGGTGCGGGTGTAATGCTTCGCATCCAGTTATTTAAATTTTTTTTTCCAATGTCGTGTTTCTTGCAGTGGTCAAGAGTTTTACTTACACATATTAAACACTTAACAACAATCCACTTTTTTTTTCAATGAGTAGTTCAAAATAACAAGAATCCATTGCAAAAATGTAAGTCTCTGGCCTTCCATTGTTTTTGTTTCTAACTGTAGTCTTGACGGGCGATTCGTGAGTGAATTGTTTGTTTTACCCGTATATTCTAAGTGAACCGGTTGAACCAGTTCATTAAATTGAACAGAGTTGTCATGAAACGGTTTGTGTCTAGAGTAAGTAATAAAATACCGCATACTACCTCGGACTTGAAATAAACCAATATCCTGAGTTATTCAGTTACTAGAACAGCACACTGACTCATCTGCTGTGAAAAAGGAGACCTGATAATGATGATGAGTGCGAGCCGACTGTCTGTGGTTCAACCTGACTAAGGTCATTTTTTTCGCGTTGCATTTTTTAAATTGTATATTACTCGTTACTTTGCAAAATAAATATTACGGAACACGCGTTACTTGTAACACATTACCCCCAACACTGTTTATGAGTGAAACAACAGATACAGGGACACTGGAGCGTTTTAAAGCTGCGAAGATCAGCTGGTCTGTTTATAAGCTGACGATTCGCTGATGAATCGACTGATCTTCGCTAAAATTCTTTACCATGAGGATAAGCAACAGTAATGTAATGCTTGATCAAAAATGCTCCACATCACAGAAATTAAATAATGTGGACATTCAAATCTCCAATTTCAATTTCCTTTTTTTTTTGGTATCAAATACCAGTATCGTGACAACACTACCACTTGGACACCCAAATATTTTTGAAACTTGGGTTAATAAGCTACTATCCCAAAACACCCCAGCAGCTGCATAAAGCAACTTTATGACAAACAATTATAAAGCAGTATTCATAATTCATCACCTTCTGTATGTCAATCACAGCTGTGACGTTTCATATAATGTTTCTTAATTCCTAATTTCAGTAGGAGAAACACATTTATATATCTCATGAATGATTGATAAATCGTGCAAAAAGCCCAGTGGGATTTTTAGCAATGTAAATGGCGCCAGTTTGGGTTTTATTTACATATATTAAGACACACAAATTGTTCTTGAATAGTGTGAATTTTAAACATGATGCTGTTTTTGCATCAGGAATGTTGACTGCCCCAATAACCTTTCTGTCAGTCAGGGAGCGAGAGGGAATGTGCTGTGCAGCTTTGCGTAATAATGACTGACACGCAATCAGTGTTGATCGGTTAATGTCTTCAGACAGGCCTCTGTATGGCAGCGTGATTGTGCAATATATTTGCAGTGATTTATAGTCGAGACATTGGCAGTAGCTCTTCTCTCACTGTTGGTGATTTGGCTCCTGTCTCTCCTCTGAAATCTCAGCTGATCCTCAAGCCGTGTGTTGAGATATCTTCAGATTGAGGAATGTGTGCTCGATTCAAAGTTAAATAGAGAGGTGACCAGTCGGTCGGAAAGGATGTGATTTGGATTTTGGAGTGCTCAGTGGTTAGCACTGTCGCCTCAGCAAGAAGTTCCCTGGTTTAAGTCTCTGCTGGGTCAGTTGGCATTTCTGTATGGAGTTTGCATGTTCTCCCCGTGTTGGTGTGGGCTTTCTCCAGTTGCTCCGGTTTCCCCAACAGCCCAAAGACATGCGATATAGGTGAATTTAATAAACTAAATTGTCCATAATGTGTGTGTGAATGTGAGAGTGTATGGGTGTTTCCCAATACTGGGTTGTGGCTGGAAGGATATCCGCTGCGTAAAACATATGCTGGAATTCATTCCACTGGGGCCGAAGCCGAAGGAAATTGAGTGAATGAATCAGGAACAAGGCTGTTAAATTTAGAAAATGTTTTGTTTCGCTTATATTTTTTTGAACAGTTTTTTTCATTACATAATTGTAAAATGGACAGTTTTATTTAGTTTAAGCTTGGTTTGTGATGCGTTTTAGTGCTAGTATTAGTTTTATTTTGATATATTTGTATTTTTTATCTTCTATGTGAAGTTTAATGAAGTTTTAAGTAGTTGTTAATGTTTGCACAGTAAAAGGATGACCATTTTTCTGCTTAATAATTGTATTTATACTTTATATTGAGTTGCATTGAAGTACTAGTAGTAGGGTCGGGTCAATAGACGATGCCATCATCCATCGCCGATGCCCGATAGACATCAGAATGCTTAGCCAGCATTGCGATCCTCTGCCCCGCCCCCGTCGCAGCAGAAACCCGCTCATAAAAAAATACACACTTAGACCCCGTTAACACTAATACATCTTAGTTTTAAAATGGCCACACACACACACAAACTCTGGCATGCACTGCAGCATACGCGCACATCAGAGCTCCAGGCAGTCAGCGGGTGCTTTAAGCACAAAATCCCAGAGAGAAGTGCACGTCAGTTTATCAAGGATGTAATGCTGGATCGTGTATTACTACAGTTGTTAAACGTGATATTTAATTAATCTGGTCTCTATGTAACGACTCTTCGGTCTTTTGAATCTATCGGGGAACGTATCGGGTAACGTCAGTACATTGCTTCAATATTTTGCATTCACGCTTGTACTTAGTAATTTTAGTGAAAACCTCAGATACTGTTGGTTGGTTCCTGTTGGTTTAATTGTCTTGTGTAAAATGGCCATTTTTAAGATTTGTTTGTTGCATTTTAGTGCTAGTATTGTTTTGATTTTGAATTGCATTTTTGATGTTTTTTTTATGTTGGATTTAAAATGTATTTATGCTTGACATAGTTGTTAATATGAAAGTTAATAGCCTTATATAAATGTACACCTGGTAAAATATAGGTTTTTGTTTAAATATCTGAAAGATGACCAATTTACCAATTTTTGTTTAATATTATTTTCCAGTGATCTTATTTTCAGTTGAAATATGAAGTATGTAAGTTTTATAATTTACAAATATGTATTTTTCTGTTTTTGTTGTGAGATGATGTATGAGATCATAAGATCCAGAAGTGTATATAAAAATAGAGCAACATACTGTGATGAATACTGTCTGATAAAGAGCCGGTGTGCTCGAAACATTACATGCCTTGTAACAGCCTTTTTAATTTAACCAAACTTTGGAGCTTTGGTGTTGCTGCCTTTTAAATGTATATATTTGCTGTTTGGCTGAACACCCATTTAAAGTGATTTGAATGCTTTTGTGCGTTTTTTCACTGAGTTGAAGAGTACCACTATTTATATTATATAGTGTCTATCCATTTCTCAGCATCACATAAAGTACTGCTCATATTAGCTTTTGTTTAAATCATTTATTTGGATCAATTTCTTGTGATTTATTTATTATTTTTTTCAGTTTATTTTGTTTATTTATTCATTGTTTTTTTATCAAGTACTAGAATTGGTTTTATTATTAGTTTTACTAGTTTTTATTTTGTTTTTAATTATATGTTTATTTTGTTGTTGTTGTTTTGCAGTTTAGTTTGGTTTCATTTGCATATATCAGAAACGGCTTTAGTTTTGCATGTGTCTGAGTACAAGTCTTTCAACTAGTGTCAACATGTTTCACTTTACTCGTTTTATTTTGGATTGTGTTTTGTGTCTTTGCTATTAAGTTTATTTAGTTTTTATTTAAATGGAATGGTTTTTTATGCGAGTGAATTTTTGTTTATATTCTTGAGTATGCTTTTGTAGTTTGACCTTGCTTCCTAGTTTTTGCATTGGCTTTCATCTTTTCATCAACTTTCTTTTATCTTTTGCGTTGTGCAATGTCTGTCTTCAGCTTTGCTTTCCTTGTCTCCACTAAGAGTTGCTCCATGCACATACCAACACAACATTTGTTTACATCAGTGCCTTGGCTTTATAGTCTGCACAGAAGTAAGTACATAAACTGAAAGCACTGTTATCATCATTTGCATTAAATAGGAGCATTCATACATGCTTGCTTAATTATAGAGTTTAGGTTTATACCTTGATAAATGTGGTTTTGTACTACTGACCATCTCTAAAGGTTTCTTGCCCAGGGGAGAGCAGCTGGCAATAAAGGTAAGTTTCAGAAGTGTCCGGCGTCCCATACTGCCACATGCACCGTGCTTCAATCAATCTCATCATCGCCTTTAAAATGATTATAGGCTTATCAATAAAGCTGGCCTTTCCTAATTCACCATCTCTTTATGGAAGAATACAAGGACTACAAACTAGGGCTGGCAGTCAGTTTTCAGCATTTTTAAAAAGGTGGTTGATTAGATATCGATTATCAAAAGCCATGAGTTGAGTTTCAGGGGTTTTCTAAGTATTATGGGAAGTGCAGGGCTGAGAATGATGTCAGACAGAGATTTCTCTATTTACTGTAGCTCTGTATATTCATACACGTATCCATGCAGCACAATACTGCTTAAACATGTAAGATTAACAAAGAAACACAAAGAAAGAGCAGGTCATGTTTGAGTAACTGCACATACTGCAGAATGTAATGTAATGTGTATTTATATAGCACATTTATCGTGCATGGCCATACACCCAAAGCGCTTCACAATCACAAGGGTGAGGGGTTTCTCCACACCACCACCAGTGTGCAGCATCCACTTGGATGATGCGATGGCAGACATAGAACAATCGCACCAGTGCACTCACCACACACTAGCTTTGAGAGACAGTAATAGAGCCAATTCTGCAGATGGGGAGGATTGGGAGGTTTGATTTGATTTATTTATTTTCGAACAAAAATAAAAAAATATCATTAACAAAAATAAATACATTTCAACAGGGTCGAAAATGGAGCGGGATGAGGCATAAGCTTATTATTCCCCCACCCCATTACCACATACATCATTCGTTTATTACTTAAACTTATTTATTCTTTTACCTATCTCTTCTTTTTACATGACACATATTTGATCCTTTTGGCATCTTTAACAAATAATATGTTTGATTCCATTTGTACCTTTTCATTTTGTAACATAATTTAATTGACTTAAAAAAAAAAAATAATGCTCCGTCAACCATTAGTAACTTACACGTGCACAAAGTCAAGTTCGCTACTAGTTCCCCATAATACTTTTAACCAAGGCTGTGCAATTAATCAAGATTTGGTTTCGATTTTGTCCTCCATGATTATGAAAAACAGTAAACGAGTTAAATTGTGTCACACACCTTTCTAAATATCTCTACATTCATACCTCGTCAAAGCCTGACTGCAGTAAAATCATGTAAATTGACTTTTGCAATATGGGACAGGATTGTTATTTGTATTATTTAGTGTTTATTTTATTAAGTACTTTGTTTTCTAAAGCCCTTGCTAGTAGGTCATCTGGGTACCTCTCGCACACTGTCTTTCAAATTTTGTGAATTCGAACATACTACTCGGCTCGCATACTGTTTTTAACGTACTATATAGTATGGAAGTATTAAATTTAGGATGCAACCATGGTTTTTTAGGCTAAAAATAAATAGAAGACAAGGCTATCAAGTAATCAGGAGGTTAAAATAAACAAAAAAACTCATCCTTCAAAGATCACCTACAACTTCACTAAGCAATAGTCACTGCACAGTAAGCAATTCCCAGCCAGGTCCGTCATGTTTTTGGGTCCCCTTGAAACACTTCCATTTTTAATGTTAATGTTATTTAATGTTTATATTATTCAGACTTTAAACATTTACTGCTGTGATGAACAACTACTGCCAATACAGCAGTTTAACAATTCTAAATGGAACTCTAAAAGATAAATAATTATTCACATTTTTGAAGTGCCACCAATATCAGTATTGCGCATGTTCATCATGACATGATGTATTGATATATTGAATATTGCTATATATCTATCCCATGCACCTGAAATTTAGGGTGTACTCACACCAGGCTATCCAAACCATGTCCAGGTACGTTTGACAACCATTTGCGGGTTTATTTGGCATGTGAGTGCTCCGGATTGGGCCCAGGCACGGTTCTGTTGGCTATCCCTGGCCCACATCATGGTTTTGCCAAGTACAATGTGATCCTGGATTAACATCAATGTTGATTAGGCATGGGACGATAACCATTTTCAAGGTATACCGTCAACTTTCTGTAATACCGTTACTAAGGTATGTGTAAGATTTTTTTTTGTTTGTTTTTTGTAACCGTATCTCCAGCAGAAAAAAATATCCAAAGATGCCGTTTAAATTGTAAAGAAATCAGTGAAACTAATTAAGACAGCAGAAGTCAATTATTCAGCCTGACATTTACATCTCCAAAATATCATAAATCTTTCAAAAACAGAATATATTGTTTTTAAAAGGGGAATTTTTTGGTTTATCTTTTTACCCAGACATATAAAAAAAAACATATATTTGAGCAGTAATCACAATACCGTGATACTGTGAAACCGTGATATTTTTATTCAAGGTTATCATACTGTCAGAATCTTATACCGGCCGATTCCTAATGTTGATACTGGAACATCATTTTGAAAATGTAATCCATACCTATTCCCTACTTCTAAACCCAACCATAACACTAAATATTCTCAAAATCTGAAAGGAATAATAGTTATAACAATAACAATCATGTAGAAGTGCATAACCATAGGCCTAAACTTAACCTAAACTGTAAACATATACCTTAATTCTGATTGGCTGATTGGAATATTGTTCCAGGATCAACGTAAATGTTAATCCAGGAACATGTCCTACTTGGTGAAATCAGGTTGGTGAGCCCTGGCCCGGCTGAAAGAGGTGTGCCAGAGCGCGGTTCGGTTGGGCTTTGGTGTGATATGCTTGTAGTGTGAGTGCAAAGCGAGAAACCTGTGAGAACAATGAGAAGAACTTGAGAACATTTCAATCAGACTCAATCAAATTGGGATATCTGAATTGATGCTCAGTCCTAGTACATACACAGGCCGATCCCTCATTCCTGTGTTTGAGCTCATTCATGACTGCTTGGTGTTGTGCAAACCTAAAGCAGGACTGCAGAGATCTGTTCTTCCCCCCCGAGGGGATCTGGGAAGGGTTGTCTCGCAACCGAATGCTCCAGTGGTAATGTTTCCATCGAAACTGCCTGTCAGGTGAATGAAACTCAAACAGTCATCACGACAGGTCTGCTGTTAGCATGACTGAGCCGGAAGTCGCCGGGCTTTTATTCTTCTAGGACAGGCATGAAAAAGCTCTAATAAGGGAGGAAACTTCCGGTGTGTTCTCAGATCTTGCGCTCTGAAGCCCAGTGCCCTGTGTTGTAATATCCTGGAGCTCTGGCACTGAACTGTTTAGAGCTGCACATCATGTCACATCATGTTTACTTACAACATCAGCTGGATGCTGGAGGCAAAGACAGTGAAATAAGGAGATCTGTAGAGCATTGCGGTTCAAGGGATAAATCAATTGCCGTAGTATTTTATTTTTTATTATATTTTTGTAGAGCCACTATAGAGTAATAAAAGCTGCTTTATTTAGATATAATAAAAGAATATCATCAGTAGCATTTGAGCATTAGTAGTATACTATTGATAATAGTATTCTAATAATCTCCATTTAACAGAGAAAAACACATTTCTAAACATTTAAATAACTCTTACTGGTTTCTTATTTCTTTGCCTTGGTGACAGTAATTAATATTTGACTAGATATTTTTCAGGATACTAGTATTCAGCTTAAAGTGACATTTAAAGGCTTAACTAGGCAAATTAGGGTAATTAGGCAAGTCATTGTATATCAGTGGTTTTTGTAGACAATTAGGAAAAATATTGCTTAAACGAGTTAATAATATAAAATGGTTTTATAAAAATTAAAAACTGCTTTTATTCTTGCCGAAATTAAAACAAATAAGACCTCCAAAAGAAAAAAAATATTATAGGAAATACTGTGAACAAAATCATTGCTCTGTTAAACGTAATTTGGGAAATACTTGAAAAAGAAATTAAAAATTCACAGGAATTATGACTTCAACTTGCTTGCTTGCATGCATACATATAATATAACATACATACAAGCATATACACACATAATATGAACAAAATTAGTATGCAATGACAGTTATTTTCCTCCTTGATTAATTATATTTATCTATTTGTTTCCATTTTTTAATATTACAGATATTATTTATTTGTTTACATTTTTTACCTTGAAGTGAGAAATATTAGCCCCCCTGTTTGTTTTTTCCCCAGTTTCTGTTTAGCAGATTTTTTTTCTACACATTTGTAAGCATAATAGTTTTAATAACTCATTTCTTATAACTGATTTATTTTATCTTTGCCATGATGACAGCACATAATATTTTACTAGATGTTTTTCAAGACACTTCTACACAGCTTAAAGTGACATTCAAAGGCTTGGCTAGGTTAATTGGGTTAACTAGGCAGGTTAGGGTAATTAGGCAAATTATTGTATAACGATGGTTTGTTCTGTAGACTATCAGAAAAAAAATTAGCTTAAGGGGCTAATAATATTGACCTTAAAATGGTGATTAAAAAATTAATAACTGCTTTCATTCTAGCCAAAATAGAACAAATAAGATTTTCTCCAGAAGAAAAAATATTATCAGACATACTGTGAAAATGTCCTTGCTCTGTTAAACATAATTTGGTAAATATTTAAAAAAAAATAAAATGAAAAGGGGGCTAAAAATTCTGACTTCAACTGTGTATATATATATATTGATGACAAAACAGGTTATTTTGCTGACATTTTAAGATCATAAGGCTGAACGACATGAAATGCCATCAGTCTACAGAGATTTCCCAGTATTTCTCTGTTGCAGTCAGGAGATCACAATAATAATTTACCCCGAAAAAGCCAAAGTAGCACAAACACCACCAGATTACTGTTGTGTTTGCGATAACGGAAAACACTAAACACATGCAGGCATTTCTTCTCTTTCTTTTTACTGAAGTAGTCTGCACTAACGAAAACAGGAGAATTGTTAGAAACAAACAGATGGCCAACCAAAAACTAACTCAGGGTTTTACAAAGAGTGGCACAGATATCAGCCAATCATATTCAAGAACATAAATAAATATAAGAAATTTATAAGAATAAATAATAAGAAATAAATATATAGTTAGCTGAATCCTTCAGAAGCTCGAGCACTCCCATTGAAACATTTAGAACTGGTCACCTATAAAATTTTATCTGTGATTTCAGAAATCTATCACTTATGTTTTAAATCCTAGAGGAAAGGAAAAAAAAGTTTCTGTTCTCAGGTCTTTGCCAGTGTGTGGACTGTTTACTAAATGCAATCGGGGCTGCTTTTAAAAAAAATCATTTTCATTTTTACATCATTTTTCATTCATACATCACGTTGATCTGTTATTTTTAATGCTTTTGTTGCTTGCTGTGCATTGCTGTTAATCCCAAATCCTAAACTCACTACTTATTCTGTAAGGATTTTAAAAATTGCTGCTTGGCTCACACCACACTCATCGTCATGTCCCATTCAGACAACATGCATTTGTTCACACATTTGATGAAGTGACTTTGCTTTTACTACAAATTAAACCATATTTCAGCAGTGCCTCCCCCGGTCACTTCACAAGCTGCTTTCTCCTCCATTAACACCTTTCTGAGTGATATTTAAAAATGTACAGTATATCAATATAATTCATCAGTCTAATGAATCCTCAAGAGAATCACCTTTGTTTGATCATCCTTGCTGATTTGGGATTTATAATCTATTTTCTGTGCGTGCATTCAGACGATACTTCAAAAACAGAGATGATGATGATGATGATCTTTTCGATGATAGCCAACCTTTTTCATTAATCATTTCTTCTGTCTTTGTTCTTCAGGCTCGGAGCACTGATAATCTGGACAGTTCAGGGGAGCCTGGGACCCGATCGGTGGGCACCACTGCCAACTTGAAGGGGAAGATGAGCAAAAGGTCAGTACATTCAATCCTGAACTAGAGCTTCTGCAAACATATCTTACATCACAAAATGGGTCATCTCATATCCTGATAATGATATTTACACTCACTGGCCACTCTATTAGGTATACCTTACTAGTAACAGGTAGGACCCCCTTTTTGCCCTCAGAACTGCCTTAATCCTTCTTGGCATAGATTCAACAAGGACTGGAAAATTCCTCCAGGATTTTGGTCCATATTGACATGATAGCATCACAGAGTTGCTGCAGATTTGTTGGCTGCACATCCATGATGTAAATCTCCAGTTCCACCACATCCCAAAGGTGCTCTATTGGATTGAGTTCTAGGGACTGTGGAGGCCATTTGAGTACAGTGAACTTATTGTCATGTTCAAGAAACCAGTCTGAGATGATTCTTGCTTTATGACATGACACGTTATCCTGCTAGAAGTATCCATCAGATGATGGGTACACTGTGGTCATAAAGGCATGGACATGGTCAGCAAATACTCAGGTAGGCTGTGGTGTTGACACAATGCTCAGTTGGTACTAATGGGCCCAAAGTGTGCCAAGAAAATATCGCCCACACCATTACACCACCAGCCTGAACCATTCACTGGATATGCTATCTTTTTCAGACCATTCTCTGTAAACTCTAGAGATGGTTGTGCATGAAAATCCCAGTAGATCAGCAGTTTCTGACATTCTCAGAGCAGCCCGTCTGACACTAACTAAAACACGAACAGTAGAACAAGTGTACCTAATAAACTGGCCAGTGAGTTGTTTTTTTTATATTGACCACATGTAAAGGGACCATTTCTTTTGCACATTTTAAATAATATTTTTTAATATTGTACTCGTTAATATGTGATCATATTTCTCACTTCAGGATAAATGTTTGATAAAATAAAATGTAGATAGTATTAGGTAGAAAGTATTAATAGAATAGAAAGCATTTTTCACACTCTAATGATTACAGGTCCAACATAAAAATAAAAATAAATATTGCAAAATGTAAACATTGTACTTTCAAGACTGTACTTTTAAGATGTCATTCACTCATTTTCCTTTGGCTCAGTCCCTTTTTTCATCAGGGGTCGCCACAGCGTAATGAACCACCAACTTATCCAGCATATGTTTTACATAGCGGATTCCCTTCCAGCACCAACCCAGTACTGGGAACTATCTATACACACTCAGATTCACACACATACACTACGGCCAATTTAGTTTTTCAATTCACTTATAGCACATGTCTTTGGACAGTGGAGGAAACTAAAGCAGCCGGAGAAAACTGGGACTCGAGACTTAAACCCGCGACCTACTTGCTGTGAGGCGACAGAGCTAACCACTGAGCCACCACTTTCAAGATTTCTTATATTTAATTTGTTCTACTTCATTTAATAAAAATAACTACAATGAATTTTTTTTCAGCAGGTTTTTTTTGTTAGAAGTTAGCAGTTTATTGTTTTGTTCAGTAGAAAATAATGAAGGGCAGCACAGTGGCGCAGTGGGTAGCACAATCGCCAAACAGCAAGAAAGTTGCTGGTTCAAGCCCTAGCTGGGTCGGTTGGCATTTCTGTGTGGAGTTTGCATGTTCTCCCTGTGTTGGTGTAGTTTTTCAGTTCACAAGTCCAAAGAGATGCGGTATAGGTGATTCTTGTAAGCTAAATTGTCTGTAGTGCATGTGTGTGAATGAGTGTGTATGGATGTTTCCTAGTGATGGGTTGCAGCTGGAAGGGCATCAGCTGCGTAAAGCATATGCTGGATATGTTGGCGGTTCATTCCGCTGTGGCGACCCCTGATTAATAAAGGGACTAAGACGACAAGAAAATGAAATCATGAATTACAGTTTAGCAGCTCTTCCCTTTATCAGAAATTAAAATACAATAGAAACACGTTATAATTTAAAGATTTAAAAAGAAAAAGAAGTGATTAAAAAACATAGTAAATAATTGAGTAACAAATGCTATGTATAAAACTTATAAATTGCTGTTTTTTTATTTTAAAACCATATTCTTGTTAAAATACACTGATTTAAAATACTATTTGATCCGTCAGTCAAAAAATATAATATGATCTGAACTGTGATTTTTCTGATCCATTCAACCACTAGACTTTAATGATCTCTAAAGAATCCCCTGCAGGGATATTTCTGCTTTCATAACCTGAAATATAGGGACATTCCAGCTCTTCTCCAATTACTTTATTAGGCAGAGAATAATTTAAGACTTTCAACAACTGTTTTAGTGTGTTTTTAGTAAATTATGGGAGACAAAAATCATTGCAATTTTATGTATAATAGCCATTTTAATTGATGATCTTGAGCTTCTACTTTATCCACAATAGTTATATAATGCAACCTGGAGTGACTTATATGGCAGCTCTGGAAATGAAACAGTGTCTATGTTCTCAAAAGTTGAGACTGCAGAAGCTGAAAACTCCACAAGCTCCAGCATTCATGCTTTAATATATTATCTAGTAACTTATTCATTGAAATTAACAAAACTTGCTTATTTCTCATTTCAATAATTCTCACAGAGGTACAGTATATTCATAGATACAAGTCCAGTTATTTCTTATGGCTAAATTCTTCAATTCTATCCATTTATCCTGCAATAAAACCCCAGAAGCTATTAGTTGGGCACTATTTTAAAGCAGCTTTTCCAAAGGTAATTTTACCAGCAAATAAACAAGCAATTAAAACCAAGATTTAGGAGCTGTGTTTTAGAAATGAAAGAGACTGGTTTAATTACATGAAGGATCTTGTTGTTGTCAAATCTGAGTTCATTTCTATGCTCGTTCACCTCTGAACACTTTTTAAAAAAGGAAGAACTGAGTTTCACTTCCCTCTGAAATAGCTGATAATGAGATGCAGAGTTTCCGTGTCCGTGTAGTACCTCTTTGAAATCTGCCCTGGAGACTCAAACGTTTCTACACCATGCAAAAAAAAACCTGATGAAAATCTGCATAGTATTATCCTGTGACAGAAACCATTGTTGGGGTGCAGGGATGTACTGTAGCATCAAATAACACAACACCACGTCTAAAATCCCAAAACTGATTAATTATTATGTTTTCACAGTCCATTTCCAGAGAGCTCAAAAAGAACTCACCATAATTATTTAAAAATTACCATAAATGTATTAGACATAACAAACTACATTTTAAATCATCTAACTGCAACTTTGTTTGTTGTGAATACACGCTCTCTAGTGGTGAAAATTACATAGTAGTTTTTACAGGAAGTAAAGTCTATATATAAAGCACATTTAACTTCAGTGTGGCACTGACCAAAGGGACATTTGATTTGATTGGGACATTTGATTTATTGATTAATCTTTGAAAAGCTTGATATATATGAGCAATATCGCAATATCACATAAGAAGCAGTGGGATATGGCTGTATAGGTATCCACTGCGGTGACTGAAGCTCTGCACAAGACTTTTGGCCAGCGGAGAAATTAAAATGGTCGTGCCCAACTGAGTATGGTTCTCTCAAGTTTTTTTTTTTTCTTCACTCCTATTAGGTGAAGTTTTTTTTTCTCTCTCCGCTGTTGCCACTGGCTCGCATGGTTCAGGATTGGTAGAGCTACGCATCGATGAATTTGCTCTTCAGTGTTTGAACTCTCAGTAATGATTTTAAATCACACTGAACTGAGCTAAACTGAACTGAACTTAAACACTAAAAACTGAACTACACTGTTCCAGTTACTATGACCATTTATATGAAGCTACTTTGACACAATCTACATTGTAAAAGCGCTATACAAATAAAGCTGAATTGAATTGAATATTGCACTGCTATTCGTATAATATTGCTTTCATGCAGCAGTTCGACGGCATAATCATGTATTTAAAAAAGAAAACAAACACAGAGAGTCTTAAGCTGCGTCCCAAATGGCACACTATACACTATGCACTCATGCACTATGTACTTATGCACTTACACACTCAACAGGATAGTACATGTATGTAGTGTTGTCCCAAATGGCACACTAATGTTTTTTTACTAAACGGAAATTCAAACCGTTTCCCTGATGACGTTTGACGGTTGCCAAATCAGTGAAATAAACGACCGAATTATCAAATAATACCTATCGTGAGTATTGCTGCATTCACCATCGGGAGGCGATATAATCAATCTCGTAGGAGAAATTTGCTTTCTCCATCCAAAATAAATAAAGTTATCCAACATGTGCGTCCGATAGCTCCGCCCCTTCCGCTACGTAAGCAAACCTGCGGTCGTTGAGTGCGTGAAGTGTCCATCATTACACACTTCATTTTAGCGGCTGAATGAGTGCATCATCCGGGTTATTAAAGTGCACTTATTATTTTAAGATTTTTCAGTGTGAACACACTACTTACACTATTTATACTACAAAATGGCGTAGAATAGTGCATAAGTATGCGATTTGGGACGCAGCTTTAGAAAACCTTTTGTATGAGGAACCACTTTTTTCCGCCATTCATTCACAACTGCAGTTGCAAGCAGAAACCGAAGACGTCACTTTAGAAACTAGTATTTGAAAGATTCTCCTGCATAATGTATTGTAGTATTGAGTATTGTAATGTTTACGGGATTACAAAACAGATGATCTTGTTCACATTTTAAGATTATAAGGCTGAACGGCATGAAATGCCATCAGTCTACAGAGATCTCCCAGTATTTCTCGGGTTTCACAAACATTAATCCTGAAAAAGCCATAGCAAACAGTACTAGATTAATATGGTATAAATACAGCAATATAAAATATAAACAAGGCGATGCAGTGGAGCAGTAGGTAGTTCTGTTGCCTCACAGCAAGAAGGTCGCTGGTTCGAGCCTCGGCTGCATCAGTTGGTGTTTCTGTGTGGAGTTTGCATGCTCTCTCTGCATTCGCGTGCGTTTCCTTCGGTCGCTCCGGTTTCCCCCACAGTCCAAAGACATGCGGTACGGGTGATTTAGGTAGGCTATATTGTCCGTAGTGTATGAGTGTGTATGAGAGATGGGTTGCGGCTAGAAGGGCATCATCCGCTGCGTAAAAACTTGCTGGATAAGTTGGCGGTTCATTTTGCTGTGGCACCCCTGGAATAATAAAGGGATAAAGCCGACAAGAAGATTAATGAATGAAAATACACACACAAAAAAAAAAACTACCAGTTCTAAAAAAAAAACTTTAGCCCTAGGTTAATTTTTCACTGAGAACTGTTTTTATCTTCTGGATTATTATAGTCTCTGTCTCCATCTTGTGGCGGAACAATGTAATGTCAGTTGACAATTTCTTTGGTTTATTACAAAATTTGTTCTACAAATTTTTTTTTATTAAATATTACTGAAATTTATATCAAATTAATGTATTGATCAATAACATTTAACAAACAACAATATAAAGATTAATCAGTCAAAAGTTTTTAGTCAGTATTAAACTAAAGTTAACGTTGCAGTCAAATCTATTGGCTGAATGTATTTATGTATATAATGCATTTTTATGTATATTTGTGGTGGGCATAGATACATTTTTATTATTCTAGAGGAATCTCGGAATTAATCTAGATTAAAATGGCTCAGTTAAATTCTGCCGAAGGCATTCAGAATATGTGTGCTACCCAAATAATAAGTCTTTGAGAATGGATTTCTCTAGCCAGGTGGCGCATTAGATCAGGGGTTCATCTCCGTTTTCCAAAATGCATCAAAAACTGTTTGAGAAACTGTTCTATTATGATAATTGGTGATAAAAATAAATGATGTTCAATAAGATGTAAGATGAAGTTAAGATGTCATGTCCTTGGGAGATCACAACTGTTGTAAGCGTTTGTATGTGAAAAATGGGGGGTATGACATCTCTTTAAGAGATCATAACAGGTTTTTAAGTGAAGACCGGGGCTGGCGGGCATGCCGTTGCAAAACCGCCCAAATTTTCACTACCCGCCTATGTCAATTTTTACCTGCAAAATTAAATTCAAAACCACCCAATCTGGCTGTCAGTAAAAGACTGCACACACACAAACACGCATCGCGAAATGCGGTAGTTTTTTCTTTCTTTCCATTTGCCGTGCGTTATTAAATTTCATAACACTCTCATTAGTCCTTACTCCTTATTTGCGTCTAATACCTTCGTTTGTCACGGCGGCATGAATGAAACGTTTATAAGTTAAAGTGAAACTGCCGACCTGCAGTTAAAGTCAGGCCTCCATACGCCAAACCAGTCCAGCCCACAAAGAGTTACAAGTCAGCATCACTAATATAAAGCCTTAATGGATTTCAAATTTTTTGTTTGTTTGCCGACCCTTATCTCAATTCTTTCATAGGAAACACATAACTTAAATTCCTAAACCAGATTTCAAAAATAGGCACATAATCTGAATTTTCTTTGCTAAAACTCACATTCAATTGTTCAACAACAACAATGCACAATAAGAATAAGAATTAAAAATAGAATAAGAATTAAAAACCTGGGATTAAATAGAATAAAAATGCGTCTCAAGTCTGGACTTAAAAAGACAAGTCAGCAAACTCCGCAAACTACACACTGTATTGTCCTTGCATGTTTTGTTGTTTTCTTGGCACAAACAAACAATAGTTCTAGTGACTAATATGAGTAAACAAATAAGTTACGGGTTTAAGGATTCACTTTGTACAATGTTTGGTTGCTCATTTGGTTGCTTGTTTGTGGTTTCAGGCTTTCTGTTGTGAAAGGTCACTTCCCCAAGCTTGTTGACTGTGCCCACTTTCACTACGAAAATGTGGACTTCGGTTCTATTGAGGTAAGAAATGGTTCACATTTAAATGTTGTAGATTTTAGGTCATAGTTATTATAAACAAAGCATTTTATTAAAGGGATAGTTTACCCAATAAGGTACATTTACTCACCCTCAAGTACACTTTAAAAAATCCTGGTTTCACACAATTCCATTTATGTTGTTCCAACACAAATCATTTAAGACTTAATAGTTTTTACTTATTTAAGTGGATCGAACATAAAACAATTAAGTTGTTCCCCCCCCCCCAAAAAAAACTTAAGAATCGTATTGTTTAGCTCATTTTAAATATTTTTTTTTTTTTTGAGTGTACACTACTTGACATAAGTCTTGTCGCCTATCCAAGTTTTAGGAACAACAAATAATAACTTGACTTCTAGTTGATCATTCGGTTTCAGAAATGGCTTAAATAAAAGGCAAACGTAGATTACACTTATTTTACTAAAATAAAATATGATCATGCATTAAATTTCAATTATTTAATTAAGACAGTAAGGTCTGACTTTGCTTAGACAAAAGTTTTGTCACTTGACAGAAATAATGTACAGTATAGAATATAAAGTCATGATGCAGTGGAAAAAGAGTTATTATTGTGTATGATTCCCATGAGCTTGGAGGACTGCATCCATACATCTCTGCAATGACTTAAATAACGTATTGATAAAGTCATCTGGAATGGCAAAGAAAGCGTTCTTGCAGGACTCCCAGAGTTCATCAAGATCCTATGGATTCATCTTCAATGCCTCCTCCATCTTACCCCAGACATTCTAAATAATGTTCATGTCTGGTGACTGGACTGGCCAATCGTGGAGCACCTTGACCTTCTTTGCTTTCAGGAACTTTGATGTGGAGGCTGAAGTATGAGAAGAAGCGCTATCCTGCTGAAAAATTTGCCCTCTCCTGTGGTTTGTAATGTAATGGGCAGCACAAATGTCTTGATTTCTCAGGCTGTTGATGTTGCCATCCACTCTGCAGATCTCTCGCATGCCCCCATACTGAATGTAACCCCAAACCATGATTTTTCCTTCACCAAACTTGACTGATGACTGTGAGAATCTTGAGTCCATGCGGGTTCCAATAGGTCTTCTGCAGTATTTGTGATGAGTCAAGTAATTATTTGTTGCTCTTAGAACTGGGATCGACGACAAGACTTTTGTCAGGTAGTGTAGTTTTAAACCTTTAAGAGTTAGTTTTTTCAAAAGATAGACTGACAAATGTTTACAAAGCATCCATAACATTAGCATCCATAGTGGGTTAAAAAAAGTGGCTACTGGATTGAAACATTCTTTAAAATATCTACTTTTTGGTTCAACAGAAGAATAAAACTCAAATAGGTTTAAACCAAGTTGAGGGTGAGCTAATAATGATAGAATATATATATATATATATATATATATATATATATATATATATATATATATATATATATATATATATATATATATATATATTTTAGATGAACTACATAATTAAAAAGATAGATAAGGTGGAATAATAAGGTAAAACAATTTTACTGATCTGCATTCAACTGACACATTCAGCGTAATTGAACCAGGTGACCTAAATTAGAAATACACACACAAAAATATCTAATCAAAGTCTTTTTTTGTGTAAGTGTGTAGGTAAATTTGGGTTGTCAATATGCATCGGTTAGAGATGCTGTTATTATGGAAGTAACGAGCAGATATTAGCATTCAGCCTCCAGGCCTAAAACATGCTTTGTGACCTTCATTAACACACACACACACACACACACACATACATGCACGCTCATGAAAATCCTGTATTTATGTGCCATGAAAAGCCAGAGGAAACATTCACAGATACACAGTTGCTGCGTCCTAATTCGCATACTTATACTAGACCCTAAAAGTATGTGCTTTTTTGTGATGGACAAATACAGTATATACTTTTCCGGTGTGTAACAGAATTTTATGCAAGCTTTGGGACATAATACTTTCTCGTTAACCGATTGCTTAGTCATGAGCCCCTATCAATCATCCACACTTCATTCACATTTCTGTCATTATTTAATCTAATTTATTGGAGAAGCAGCAGCAGGTTAATCTGCTATTCACAAGTCTTTCATGCAGAGAAATCTCCTCAGGTCTTTGGATAATCATGCATTTAGATGTTAATGTCCAAACATGTCTTTATATAAGTTCAGTATTTTTGTTGCAAATGAAATATAGAACAAAACATGGGATTTAAATGTTTTTCAGTGGGCTAGATATTGACTAACAGTCATACAAACACCTTTTCCGAAGCCTCTCTACTTGAGTTGTCTTGCGCGTTCATCATGTTGTTAGTTTATTTACACTTTTTACCCACGTTTGTAGTTCTAATCGAATTCACATCCAAAGCGGAATGCACTGCGGGCAATGACAGCGGTTAGAGTATGGATGGTTCTACACTTAAAAAAATTTGACTGGAAATAGTTAACCATCCGGGAACCTTTTGCATACTCTTTTCAACATGCTACAATTTGGGACATACTAATTCTATTTTCAAATACTATTTAGGACAGATAGTATGCGAATTGGGACACAGCAACTGACTGCAAGCAACTCTCTTGATTTAAGCCTAAAATCTGTAATCAGTCCAAGAAAATTTACAGCCATAATGGTAGACATCCATTATCAAAATGCATTTCGCTCTCCCTGTGGCATTATTGTGCATTTGTGCTGTTTATATAGTCATTTTGTGTCTCTGATAGTGCTGTATAAACACACACACACACACACACTGAAGAGCACCTGGAGCGCACTGAATGCACAGCAGGACTAGAGTGGGAGTTTGTCTCATTAGTGTTTAAATCCCCTGAAGAAAAGGGAAAAATAAAAGACCTACATCTTTTCCGATGTGACTTTGTGAAGTAGAAACAGCCTCTTCTTTGTGCTTTTAGCAAAATATGAAATTTTCTGCCATTTACCACACTTTCACCATGGTGATTTTTGAAGTGTTATTCATTCAATTAGTGATTTACCTTACAATTCCAACTAATTCATTTGGCTTATACAGTTGAAGTCAGAATTATTAGCCCCCCTGAATTATTAGCGCCCCTGTTTATTTTTTTCACCAATTTCTGTTTGATGGAGGGAAGATTGTTTCAGCACATTTCTAACGGATTCATTTTATCTTTGACATAATGACAGTAAATAATATTTTACTTTATATTTTTCAAGACATTTCTATACAGCCTAAAGTGACATTAAAAGGGTTAACTGGGTTAATAAGGTGAACTAGGCAGGTTAGGGTAATTAGGCAAGTTATTGTATAACGATGTTTGTTCTGTAGATTATCGAAAAAAATAGCTAAAAGGGGCTAATGATTTTGTCTCAAAAATGGTTTTTAAAAAATTAATAACTGCTTTTATTCCAGCCGAAATAAAACAAATAAGACTTTCTCCAGAAGAAAAAATATTATCAGACATACTGTGAAAATTTCCTTGCTCTGTTAAAAATAATTTGTGAAATATTTAAAAAAATCAAATCAAAAGGGGGCTAATAATTCTGACTTCAACTGTATGTAATGTAAATGTAATGTGTATTTATATAGCGCATTTATTGTGTATGGCCATACACCCAAAGCGCTTCACAATCATGTATGTCTGTAATTAAAGAATACTTTGCTACTGTACCTTTCATAAGTTTGGAATAATTACGAGTGTAACGGAGGCCAGCTAGTAAAGTGCTATGCAGGTAAACTTCACTCCTCTGACCTCAAAAGATGCTCTAGTGACAGACGCTAGAGGCCATGGTCTTCAGCCTCCTTGTTAGAGCAACCAACTTCCATACAATGGTTTAATCCCAGCTCAGACCAGGTTGGGTTACACATGGGGGCTCGTCCAGGATGGGGGGAGTGAGGTTTAGTGGGGTGAGTGTAACGGAGGCCAGCTAGCGAGGTGCTATGCAGGTAAACCTCACTCCTCTGACCTCAAAAGGTGCTCTACCGACAGATGCTAGAGACCATGGTCTTTAGCCTCTTTGTTAGAGCAACCAACTTCCATACTGCTGGTTTGATCCCAGCTCAAGCTAGGTTGGGTGCAGTAGGACCGGTGGGTTACGCGATCAATAAATGCTTTTCTACAAAGTCTCTTATAGTCTCCTCCAAGACTGCATTTACAGTTGAAATCAGAATTATTAGCCCTCCTGAATTATTAGCCCCCACTGATCATTTCAGTATGGCCATGTCATTGGCTCATGAACATTTCGTGCTTGTTATCAAGCGATTTCAGATCTGTAACAAGAGGCAATTCAATTCTAAAACAGCTATCATAACATTATTCATCAATACGTGGCTCTTTTTTTTGATTTTCAGAAGAAATTAAAAATGGAAAAAAAAAACAGGAAATTGCTATTGTTCATCCCTCAAAATGGTCCATATTTTCCCTCTTTTTCTGTTTAACAGAAATAAGTTTTTTTTCAACACATTTCTAAACATAATAGTTTTAATAATTGATTTTTTTGTATTTTTGTCATGATGACAGTACATAATATTTTACTAGATATTTTTCAAGATACTAGTATTCAGCTTAGTGACATTTAAAGACTTTAGGCTAATTAAGCAAGTTAGGGTAATTAGGCAAGTATTTTTTTTAAAGAGGGTGAAACATAATGACCTCTAAATGGTTTTAAAGAAATTTAAAACTGCTTAAATTCTCTAGAAGAAAAAATATTATAGGAAATACTGTAAAAAAAAATCCTTGCTCTGTTAAACATCATTTGTAAAATGTCTGAAATAGAAAACAAAAATCACAGGAGAGCTTATCATTTTGACTTCAACTGTGTGTGCATATATAAAAACTCAAATTTGTTTAAAATGAGTGGAGGGTGAGAAAATGATGATATAATTTATAGTTTTAAATGATTTAAACTGTTTAAGTGACAAAAACAGATTTGTTTGCTACACTTTTGCGATGTTGCTTTCACTCTTGACATTTACTAAATTACTAGATACTCTAAAAGTGTAAAAGAGTTACAGTTACTGTTAAACACATGACCAATGAGGGAAATCAAGGACAAAACCCTTCACAATGGTTCAGTCACCAAAACATTGTTTCATATCCCTGCAGCATGAGCGAACTTCCTCATTGCTTTACATAATAAGAGTGATTAGTGAGACATAAGGGGTCAACAATTACTTTATTTGAAGCTTCTTATTGTTCAATTTATTTATAATTTTTAAAAAAGTAAATGAAATGATTTACATCTGAAATAAATGATGTTATTTTGAATGAATGTTTATTAATAAAAATAATCCTATTCTGATCATTTCTGAAGGATCGTGTGACACTAACGCCTGGAGTAATGATGCTAAAAATTCAGCTGACATCACAGGATTAAAGTACATTTATAAAACAATTTTAAAAAGAACAAACTTTTACTTTGACAATATTATGTTGCTTCTTTTTTTTTTTAGTTTTTAATATTTTTAGAAAAATTTTATTATCAATATTATTAGTCCCCTTAATCAATATATTTTTTTCAACTGTCTACAGAACAAACTGAAGTGGTGAAAATGAACGTTTGTTATAGGCTTCGTAAGTGGGTGTGGCAAAATGGCTTGACAGCGCCACCTATCCACATTTGACGAAGTGGCCCCAGAGCTGTTTTATGCACACTTACGAAAATTGACACACACATAAAACATGCTAATACCTACCAAAAAGTCTCTTGGAGCGAAGTCTCAAAACCAACAGGAAGTCAGATTTTTTTAACTTCCTCTGCTGAAAACGTGCACTTTGATGCTTTGCCACGAAACAGAAAGTTGTTAAGTCAGGCATGCATTGTCTGACTTGCTTCAAAATTCACACGTTTGATAAGAGTCCTGAGCTGAAGACATCCACATTCCAATATTGAGTCGCAGTCAGAGTCCTGCTGACAGAAGGAAGTTATTTATATATATATATATATATATATATATATATATATATATATATATATATATATATAGCTCAAATTATTATTGTCCACTGTTCTCTGTCAGTCTTAGGCCAGGTGGTGAGCCTGGGTGCGAGGTCCCTTTCATTGCTGCTTGCAGCTTTAATTCACTTTCATTATTGCTCTCTAATAATTATCTATGCATGCAACTTGTTTTACATGCAGTGCATTTTTTATGCACGACTCTCTCCCCTACGGAATCAAAACAAAAATGACTAAATTTGATCTTATTTTCTTAATGAATAAATTCATTCTAAATAGAGCTAGTTAAGCCATCTGGTGAAATCGTACTCGTATCACAATATAAATCAGAGAAAAAGAAAATATCGCAATGTTCGATTCTTTTCAATATTATGCAGCCCTACTGGAATGGATTTCTTTATGTGTAAAATATCAATGTAAAACCATGCCCAGTTCCCACTAAACGTGTGTTTGTGCTTGTTTGAACTTCTTCACACCTCCATAAATTAATGTCTGCTCTTTACACCTCCAGCTTCAGTTTGCCAACGAGCAGAGCGATGCCAGCTGGACCTCGGGCAGTGCCAAAGATCTGGTTTTCCTCGTGCAGGTGTCCTGCCAGGTGAGTGGGCGCACATTCACCAGACGCCGCTAATTATAAACAACCCCTCCTGCCACAGAAATAAAAGCACCACTGACCAAATCAAAACGACACCTCCTTTTGCATCTTCTTGTTTGTTGATTTCTCCCTCCCTTCATCCTCTCTCTCTTCTCTCTGCCCCTATTTCCCCATCTCTCCTTTCCTTCCTGTGAAATCTAGGGTAAGACGTGGATGGTGCGGCGTTCGTATGAAGAGTTTCGGACGCTGGATGCCCACCTGCATCAGTGCATTTATGACCGCCGCTACTCGCAGCTCTTAGCACTGCCTGCCCTTTGCGAGATCGGAGACCGGCTGGAGGTGAGGTCTAATACTCTGGAGATTATTGCTACTTTTATCAGTAGCTTGTGTTTTATTGCTAGCACCGTTAGCTGCTCTCTATTGAGGTCGTCGGGTGGTTATGTAGGTTGGTGTCCAGCTCCTTGGGGATGGACTATGCTGGGAAAGACGCCACTTAATCTTTCACATGTCATTTTTAATTGTTTTTTCATTTGTCAGGAGACTGTTTATATACTGTAGGCTGTAATTACATTTAGATACTAACATTGTGGTTGGCATTGTGGTTATTGATTTTATACTTTGAATATTTCGAATGCAATTGACCAAATGATCTTTGATCTTCAGTGTCACATGATCCTCCAGAAATAATTGTGATATACTGATTTGATGCACAAGTAATATTTTAGTGTTGACAATAGTTAAAAAATTTTTGGAAAAACTTGAAATGAAAATCATTTAAAAAATAATATGTCTTTACTTTCACTTTTGACCAATTTAAAGTATCCTTGCTGAATAAATGTTAATTTCTTTAAAAATATGTACAGTTAAATTTAGAATTATTAGCCCTCCTGAATTATTAGCCCCCTATATATTTTTCCCCAATTTTTATTCAACAGAAAGAAGATTTTTTGAACGCATTTATAAATATAATAGTTTTCATTTCATAATTTCTTATCTGGCCTTTTATTCAAAAGTCATTGAATAACAGTGGTTTGTTCTGTAGGCAATCGAAAAAATATTGTTTAAGGGGGCTAATAATTTTGACCTTAAAATAAAAAATAAAAATAAATAAAAACTGCTTTTATTCTAGCTGATATAAAACAAATAAGACTTTTTCCGAAAGAAACAAATATTAGAAGAAATACTGTGAAAAGTTCCTTGCTCTGTTAAACATATTTTGGGAAATATTTGAAAAAGATCATTTGTTACAACTGAGGTATGCAGAAGAGCATCTCTGAATGCACAACACGTCCAACCTTGAGGAGGATGGGCTACAGCAGCAGAAGATCACACCGGGTGCCACTCCTGTCAGCTAAGATCAAGCAACTGAGGCTACAATTCACACAGACTCACCAAAATTGGACAATAGAAGATTGAAAAAATGTTGCCAGGTCTGATGAGTCTCCATTTCTGCTGCGACATTCGGATGGTAGGGTCAGAATTTGGCGTCAACAACATGAAAGAATGGACCCACTCTGCCTTGTATCAACAGTTCAGGTTGTTGTTGGTGGTGTAATGGTGTGGGGGACATTTTCCTGGCACACTTTTGGCCCATTAGTACCAATTGACCATCGTGTCAACACCACAGCCTACCTAAATATTGTTGTTGACCATGTCCATCCCTTTATGACCACAGTGTACCCATCTTCTGATGTCTACTTCCAGCAGGATAACACACCATGCCATAAAGCGCAAATCATCTCAGACTGATTTATTGAACATGACAATGAGTCCACTGGCCTCCACAGTCACCAGAACTCAATCCAATAGAGCACCATTGGGATGTGGTGAATTGGGAGATTCGCATCATGAATGTGCATATGACAAATCTGCAGCGACTGCGTGATGCTATCATGTCAATATGGACCAAAATCTCTAAGGAATATTTCTTGTACCTTGTTGAATCTATGCCACAAAGGATTAAGGCAGTTCTGAAGGCAAAAGGGGGTATAAGTAAGGTGTACCTTAAAAAGTAGCCAGTGAGTGCACAGGATATTCTAATAAATCAAACAAGTTTGAGTTTGTCATCTGAATATCTTAAATTGTGTTAAACCTGGAGCACTGTTTTAATGTATTATTCGCTAGTGATAACATTGAGAAGTCTTTAACTGCTTTAATGGTGTTTGAACTTGTATGTTTGTTCTTGTAGATCCTAACACCACTGTTGTCAGAGTATCTAAACCGTCTCACCATGATTGTGGACAATAAGCTGAACTGTGGGCCGGTTCTCACTTGGATGGAGGTAAGAGACAAACAGGGGGCCGTAAACATGTATTAAAGCAGTAAAATATTGACACATAGAGAAGTAAATGAAACTTACAGGCCAACCTTTTCTCAAAATAACTTCTTTTTGGAACAATAAAAATATTGTATTCATATGCATTGCAAGCAATTTGTATTTGAGTGCTGTCATGTCTCAGATCCCAATATAAACATAATAACATGGCAGTATCTGTTGTTTCAATAAGATAACTGTAATCTTGCTGTGAGATTTCAGCTGCACGAATTCATGCATAATTAGTTAAATGACTTTTTCTTCTCATTATAGATTGACAACCATGGCAACAGGTTCCTGCTGAAAGAGGAAGCATCTTTAAACGTCCCTGCCATCGCCGCAGCTCACGTCATCAAGCGCTACACTGCTCAGGCTAGCGATGAGATCTCCATTGAGGTGTGCAGACCACTTGTGGTTTATCTTGTGATCATGCATTTCATTTTATTTCCTCTGCTTGCACCGTTCAGTGTCGAGAGTGAGACCTAATGCAACCACAAACTTCAAACTCTTCCAAAAGACCTTGTACCCAGTTTGAGGTCTGCCTTTCTCTTGTCCTGCCCTTATTCGGCACATGCATGCACAGCCTACCTGGTCCTGGGACACCGTTTCATTCTCTGCTTTTCCTCATCTTCCTCCTCTATTAGCTCTATTCCTGTCCCCCCTCCCTACACACTGCTCCATATACAGCGTCTCTTTCTGGGCCAGAGAATGGGGTGACCCAAACTTAGAACACATTGAGGTCCCTTCTCTCAGTTTCTCTTGCTCTCACTCTCTTTCTGTCAGTCTGCCTGTCACACTTCACACTTCCTACATGACATCATTTATTTAGCTAGCAGCAACCACATACCAATGCCGTAGCAACCTCGCGAACACACTTTGAAACCACCTAAACAACCATCTTATCATCCAAGCATCATAGCATCTATCCACTTAATCCTATTTGTGTTTTAAAGCTCAACAAACAGGCAGTTAAATAAATACAGTCTGTTAGAAACCACAACAACCACTGCCAAAGTTTTAGCAACCATCCCAAACAACCCAGCTGCTACCCAGAAATGCCTAAGCAATCTTTTCTAGTACCTTTACAGCCACTTTGTAATGATCGTTGTCATTATGAAGTGTCATGTGGTCTGTCTAATGTTTGAAACCTCTAGAAAGCATTTGAATGGATAACATAGCCACCACCCAGAATGACCTTTCAGCCCTCTAGTAACACACTACCAACCATGTAGTAATGCTGCTTATTTGTTGAGTCTTCAAATTTGTCCAATTTCATAGTTACCCATCCAAGACCCTTCGAAACCACAATTACAAATGGTAGCAGCTACTTAGTAGTTTGCATCTACAAGCACCTAGCTTGAACCACATAGTTCAACATTCATATGGGAAACCACCAAAACAATCATCTTAACATCTAAACATCATAGCATCCATCCAATCCTATTTGTAACTACTTGTGTTCTAAATCTCAACAAACAGACATTTAAATAAATACAGTCTGTTGAAAACCATACCAACCACTGCCAAAGCCTTAGCAACCACCCACAACCACCCAACTGCTATTCAGAATATGGTTTCCGCTACATTCATTCTTCCATGGCGGGGCGCCACAACAAAATTGGTCCCGCCACAGCTACATTACAGCTTTTCATTCAAAACATTCAGTCCTGTTTTTTTTTTTTTTTAATAGCGGGTAATGATTGCACCAAAACGTATTAAAAGGTAAGTTAATTATAACAGCGCAAACTTTTCTGTAACCGTAGTTAACCCTTTAAGGTGACGTGCTGACTGACTGACAGGTGCGTGATGCTTGAGGCCAGCAAACACTTCGTATAGCCGTTGCACTTTACTTCAGGACGCATTAATACCGCTCTGTAGGTCTATTGGAGACATTTATAAATATTCCTAACAAATCTAATAAATGTTGGAGACATACTTGTTACATAAACGCACTAAATTGCATTTCAGCAGTGTTTATTTGAGAGCACACAAGAAGATCTGCGCTTGAGCGGCTTATATTTGAGGGAGTGTGCAAGAAGTTTTGTGCACGAGCAGAGGAAATTGGCGCGCAAGCAAAGAGATTTGCATGCTATAGGCTATTACATAAATGAGATCTCGACTTGTAATACTGCGCTCACGACGTGTCATTGAAATAATGCCATAGGTAGTTCTGTGTAAAATAGGCCTACCACCACAGCTGGGAAAAATCTTAGAGAAAACACTGTAGAAACACCATGGCAATCTCTTATAGTATCCTTACAACTACTTTGTAATAGGAATGCTCCAATCAATCGGTCGGAGATCAGTAATGGCTGATAATCACATTTTATGACTCGATCGGTACTTACTAATCTGGCCGATCACATGAACCAAAGTGTTCATTTACAGGTTTGCAAGCAGAGGAAGATCGGTATTAAATTCTTATGCATCAAATATGCACTCCAAACTTTTTTTTGATTGAGACATCACACGTAAGCTGATAATTTTGACTTCAACTGTAAGTGTGTCTGTTTGCACACTGATTGCTTGAGTCTTTGTTCCTCTTTCTAAAGGTTGGTGATATTTTGTCAGTGATTGACATGCCGCCCAAAGAGGACACTACATGGTGGAGAGGAAAGCATGGATTTCAGGTACTGTTCTTAATCTCAGATCCTCATTTCCCCCCCTTTTTAGTAAAACAGACAACTCTGAGTCCAGCTCTCCCATCTTTGTTCTTCAGGTTGGCTTCTTTCCCAGTGAATGTGTGGAGTTAATCAATGAGAAGATGCCGCAGTCGGTCAGCGCTCCTGTCAGTAAGCAAGGTATAACACACAGTCTTCACTGTATAGGGATCAAGAGTGGACTGGCAGTAGAAAGAGCTGTGATGTGTTTTGCGACCGGATTTTCTCTCTTCATTTTGTTGGAGGTTGCAATGGAGCCACTAAAATTGTGTGTTGCCTGTGTTTACATATGATAAACATTATACACCTAAACCAGAAACAAACACTTATTTGAAACGATCAGACTTTTAATCAGCTTGGCCCAAAAAATGTGTGTATCACTTGAGCATTATCAAACAGCACAGTTCTCTGATACAAACGACAAATGTCTTTGGGATTTAAAACTTATGTAGGAGTAATTTCAGAGCGATTACAGTATTTTTGGTTTAGGGCATATCGGCTTCTGTCCATTTTATACCAGTTTTATTTTATAATTTTAAGTTTGTTTTTGTTTTCTATATGTATTTTGATTTAGTTTGAAAGTCTGACACTTTAGTTTTTTTGTGAAATAGTTTTTTATTTTCCCTTTATATTTCTGTTAGTTTTTTTGTTCAAATTAAATATTTTTTAAATACAATAAACTATTTATTTCATTGGCCACTAGCTGTTTTTTTTTAAACTTTTTTTAAAATTACTATTTATTTTAATTGAAGGTAAAATATTTTAGTCTATTATTTTTCATGTATTATAACAACCCTGGTTTATACTAAATACCTTTAAGGTGCTGCATTGTATAAGATTTGTTTAATTATTAAAAACATTTTACAATGGTAATGAGATGATGCTTGTGGTTATCATGATCTATAAATGTATGAAAATATTTCTTAACATTTTTTGTGATTGAACAATCTGTTAACCTCTTAACTAAAGCTGTCTAGCTATATTTTTAGGAGACAACATTTTCATATTAGCCTCTTGAGTTTAGCAGGGGAGTCTTCAGGTAGCATGAACATGAAGATTACTGGGTTTATTTATCGAGAAACAATATTAAATAAACATAACTTCCATGGTGGTAAAAATAAAATGTCAAGGTACAATGTAATTGAAAAAAAACTGTTGCTCTCCCCACCTCTAGCTCTGCTCTCGTAAACAAGGCCAATCCATTCTCATATGAACTTAAGCGTCATAGAGTCACGTAATGGAGGAGGAGCCACTCATTTACATAATGGTTAGCCCAATGATTAATCATAAAAATATGATTAAGCATAAATAATTAAATAAATTTTTTTATGAAAATGAATCGTGTAAACAATCAGTTATTAAATATGGCTCCTACAGCTTATATCTTTCTCTGTAGAACTTACTGCAACTTTTACTCCTGCTCTTAAATTTCAATTTGGAGCCTTCATACAGATCAAGAATATTTGAAAAAGTGTTGTATCAATAGTGATTATTTTGTTGTCCTTCATTGGCCGTTTCTCTGTTTCAGAGGTAGATCTGATGAGCTCCAAACCTGGTGCTACCAACACAACTGGACCTTCCTCTCCAACATCAGGTATGTCAATGCTTCTTATGTTTCAGTTGGTGCAATCAAGACAAAGTCAAGACCTATGGGCATATTTACACCTGATCTTAAGATGTGTGTTGTTGTTGTTTTTCAATCGATCACAAGTGTATGATTGGTGTATATGATGTGTAAGTGAAATGTTTTGAATTTATTGACTTTCTACCACCAAGTATACAAAAATACAGTATCAGGGTGTTCATGGGGTCTTAAAAAGTATTAAAAGTTGATAAGTCAATGTAGAGAAATTTAAGGCCCTTAAAGTCATACATGCTGTTTTACAATGTATTACATGTTTTGTAATTTTATGATTACACAATGTACGCTCACCGGCCACTTTATTAGGAACACCTTACTGGTATCGGGTTGGACCCTCTTTTGCCTTCAGAACTTCCTTAATCATTTGTGGCATAGATTCAACAAGGTACTGGAAATATTCCTCAGAGATTTTGGTCCATATTGACATGATAGCATCACACAGTTGCTGCAGATTTTTTGGCTGCACATCCATGATGCAAATCTCCCATTCCACCACATCCCAAAGGTGCTCTATTGGATTGAGATCTGGTGACTGTGGGGGCCATTTGAGTACCATGAACACCACCAGACTGAACCGAAAATCCCAGTAGATAAGCAGTTTTTGAAATACTCAGACCAGCCCGTCTGGCACCAACAACCATGCCACGTTCAAAGTCATTAAAATGACAAAACCGTTGTACCTAAAAAAGTGACGGGTGTGTGTATAGTTTTATGCAAAGTTTGCCTGAATTTAATCTGCGAATATCGGGATGCTTTGTGATTTATCAAATCGATAAAATTTAGCTAGGTATGACATCACACTGCTTTGTTTACTGCAGTAACCAAGGCAACATCGTTATTTCTGCATTTCTATAGGCGCCCCCTGCTGGATTAGCATTTTTATTCAGTTTACGAATAATGTTTTAGTTTTGGATTAGTTTCTTACAATCAGTATTTATTAAATATTTAAGTTAAATTGTCGCCAGTCTTACGCATTGTAAATAAAAATGCTCATGAGGCCTTAAAATGTAAATAAATGGTCTTTATAAAGGTGTTAAGGTATTTAATTTCACTCTCTGATTACTGTATACAAAAATACATTCTCCCAAAATGCTTTTCTCTCATGCTCATATAGAGGAATGTGTTTGAACAGCCAGAACATGCGTGGTGGAGGCTTGAGTTATTAATATGCAGCTGATAGAGTGAGAGAATGTGTGTTTCCTGTCTTTGTGGCTGTAAGCTGCATTCAGCAGCAACATCTTCATTAATAGCAAAGCTGTAAGTTTAAGTGCTTCAAAAATAGCAATGACGCATCGCTCTACTGCTTATGTTCCACGGCTCTTTTAAAACGGTAGTGAAACTGTTTTATTAGAACAGCATTGGGTCTGTCAAGTTTCAGTAAGAGCGTGTGCTTGTGAAACAAAGATACAACTTTTAAAAAATATTCTTTCTCATTTTTGAGAATGCATTCGTGGATTTGGGTTCTTTTGTTCTTGCAGTTTTAAGTAAACAGAGTATAAAATAAATCATTTGGCAGAGTTTTTCTATACCAGGGGTGCCCAAACTCTGTCCTGCAGGGCCAGTGTCCTGCTTATTTTAGTTCCAACTTCAATTAAACACATCTGAACAGCTAATCCAGCTGTTTCTAGCTGTACAAGAAACTTTCAGAGAGGTTTGCGGAAGGAAGTTGGAGCTATTAACTATTGCTGGACACCGGCCCTTCAGGACCGAGTTTGGGCACCTCTGATCTATATTACACTGTAATGCCATCAACTAATGAGACTGCACATTCGTTTAGTGAAAAACTTCAATCAGAATCAAGTATTTAACAACCATTTAAATATAATTATATTCATACACAACCATTAAAACAATAAAAATAATTATTAAAATGATTATTATTATTTCAGTATGCCAGCATTCAAGAGTTTGGCTTTGATAAGATGCAACAAAATAATGCTTGTTAATGTTTTAAAATATAATTTAATTTCAGCATCATTACTCCAGTCTTCAGTGTCACATGGTCTTTCAAAATTAATTCTTATTCGCTGCTCAAATTATTTATTTTTTTAGCTTTTTCAATTATAGTTGGATTAAATGGGTTGTTCATTTATTATTACACATACTAATGTAGGTTATAAATGTTTCTGTGTACTGTGTTCAGACTTTTGAACTTAAAGTATTATATATCAGCAGTACTCTATTGATATTTTAAACCTACATTATATTTAAAACCTGTATTGCTATTCAAAACCCCTAGTTGTAAATAGCTGAAACATCGCACAGTTCTAGTAGTTTCCCAAAAAAAAAAAAAAAACACATGCTTTGGTTGCTCTGTGGCTCAGCTGATGTTTTCAAGGTTACTTTGAGGCATTGAAAGTCACTATAGTCAAAACAAAAGCGCTGTTACTACTTTTTCCACAAATTTAACCCTTTAAAACGGAACTAATCGAAAAGCTCTTCAGAAAGACCCTGCAGTGTTACCATGGGTTATTACAAGAACTTTAAACTTTATTACACAGGCTGTTTCTCAATTCCAAGAACACGTGGAGACCATTCTTACCAAGTTTCTTTGGAAGAACGAACTCGGGGGACCATGGGCACACAGAAAGTGTCCTGTGAGAAATGAGATGCTGGGTTCTTTCAGATGGTTACATGATCTTCATGTATTCATTCATTCATTTTCCTTTGGCTTAGTTTATTATCAGAAGTCGCCATAGCAGAATAAACCGACTACTTATCCAGCAAATGTTTTACACAGCTGCAACCAGGCCCGGATTAAGAATTCAGAGGCCCCTGGGCACAATGTCTTGTAGGCCCCCTACCTGGTCGTACCCCTATTGTTAAATTAAAAAATAAGAATAACATAATGTTTTTAAAATAATACTAATCTATAACGTATTGCCTGCATTTTTAAAGTAAATGATACACAGTACATATATTTCTAGTCTACAAAGATTCAACGTATTTTTAAAGCATTGAAAGCACACTTTGAAAAGAAAACTATTAAAACTACTGAAAATTAATGGATTTTAATATACTTGTTCAAGTTCACTCAAGCAGAACAAAAAAATTATATTTAAGGATATGTTTCATGTATAACTTCTACAAACTTAAAATGCATCTGATTTGGATATAACACCTCTCCAATCCTGTTCTATGAATCTGAGTCTTCTATAATACAGGCACTTATTAATGATTCCTACTTGTCTTACTTGTGATGAAGAGTAGGCATGTGGTATGAAGTGGGAAAAAAAAGAAAAATTTGTTCATCTGACGCTGAATTCAAACGGGGTTCATGATCGAACACAACTAAATAAGTTGCCATGCGCTTTTCGAGCTACGCCGCTCGCGCTGCTGTATGTCTTTCTCTTTAGTTATGTTTTCTCTGTCAATGAAAAGGTGATGGGCGGGAATCACTCTATTAGCTTATTCCAACAAGGTGGGCTATTTGCATTTAGCCTAGATAGACCCAAAATCCGCATCAATATATATATATATATATATATATATATATATATATATATATATATATATATATATATATATATATATATATATATATATATATATAAAACATGGAAAAAAAACCTTACAAATGTACTTTACACAATAAAATAGATTTAAACAAGTTTTAGCAAATAAACACCCTTAATGTGTTCGTGCCTTTTTTAAGATTTTCATGTTAATGTTTACTTACACCATCTCCTGAGATGAAAAAGTTATATATCGGAACTTTAATAATAAATCTAAATAAAATACTGCGCTTCCCACCTCCTTTATTCAGCCGCAATTACTTCTGGGACTTCTCAAGCGAGTTTTGCGCTCAAGTCTGCATCGATGCATGCAGGAACTTCCACGCATCCTTCATTCTTGAGGTCAATTGAACTTTGGCAGTTGATGATGACATTACTGAAGAAATACATATTGAGAAACAGCCATAATGTCTATGTAAAATCAAAATTTACAATGTTTTTTTTACTAGCACACATTGCTGTTTATTTTTTATTTTTAATTAATCCGCTAAGTTAATCTACTGAAAAATTATTTATTTTGGTGATCTTCAATCAAAGTCTAAACATTTGCTTATGGATTTGGAGTGGCTTTTTATTCACTTATTTATTATTACTTTGCATTTCTTCCTATGTTTCTGACTTAAGGCAGTAATATACTTTTTCATAGTTATAATAATGTGCACAGCTTCGCTATTACTGAATTTATCAATGAAGGTATGCAACAATATCGTTTACAAAAACGCAGACGGATCATGACTTCAGCGCTAAACAAGTGGTTTAAATTATATGAATTTTCCTTATTTCTTTCCGTTTTATTTCAAATAATATATACGGTTAACATTTAAGGAAAGCCATCAAACTATGTCCATACATGCAAACCGGTTAATAAATATAGTAAAATCAGCATAACAGAGTCATCACGCTTAACGTAGCCTATTACCCAACCAATCATTTATCAGTGTTTGGAAAAAAAGTTAAATGTTCAACTTTTAAGATAGTAGCTAAATCTGTTACTTAGTTATATTTTAAGGCATTATTGTAGCCAGAAAAAAAGAGAGTCTATCTTTTTGCATAGATGGCATGCTATATAAAGTTTATTATTATTTTTAATGTAAAAAAAAAAGTCAAAATAAAATCGATATGCTAACTGTATTTTAGCCTACTGAATATTTTCTGGAGTTTAATTTTGCACAAGCAAATAGCAGTAAAGGCTAAATAACATTTTTTAAGTGTATCATTCAGCCTAGCTGCAGTGACGAGATTGATCCGCAACAAATCAACTTGCTCACGCACTACAATAAACCATAATGAACATATTTAACACTGTAAACTTGATTACGCAGGCCGATCATCTTTAAACTTAAAGTGTCCTAACTTGAGACTGCTGCTGCATAATGGGATGTTTCTTTTCACAACTGTAAATGTGCGCTTTAGCGATGTCAAAACGAAAGCTAACATTCAATTGTCAATTTTATAGCTTAATTTTAATAATATTAATAATAATGAATATAAAAAAATATAATATTAATTATAGTGTAGACTACTGTAGGACTGCGTATTGTTAAACTTCACATTTTTATTAGGCTACTATATTAACCTCTAACTTAAAAAACTAATGTAATGTAATGCAGGTCACAAATTCTTTCTGAGGGCTGTGCTGCCCCCAACCTCCCTGGAGGGCCAGGCCTGACCAATAACCTTACCGTTAGTTTGCTGTTAGGGAATGATGTGCAAAAACTAAAGCCCCGCCCACTACTTAAAATACCATTTGAGTTGTAATTACATAAACATACTTTATTTAAAGTCCACATGAACCATAAGTTGCTGAGACTTTTTAGTAATTAAATGATTATATTGTAATTAATGTAAATGAAGTTGCCATATGGTTCCTCATCCAATAAAGGGTTAAAGGTTGTTGTTCAGTCTAAGGTAATTGACAGCATCGTCTTCTAAAGAACTGTTTTGAATAGAGAGTTGATTAGGTTATAATATCTCTAACTCTAAAGATGTATTTGATGTTTCTGTCGATTGTGTTCTTCTTTTTCTCTCAGTTCTTCCTCCTTGGTTCCTAAACCTGGCTGGTAACAACTTCAGTGGACTCACACCAAACTAACATTTCTGTATCCGTTTGTTTCTAACGCCTTCTCTCCTCTCAGATTGTAACACAGATTGCGGCCGTTCATATTACAGCAGGCAGAAAGAGTGTAGGAGGTTTGGAGAGGATGAGTTTGCGTGTGTGTGAAGAAAGCAGAAATGTTGTATAAATCTTTCAAGTGTTCACGTGGGCCTCGTTTTCAAGCATCTGTTGAAGAATTGCAAGCCACTTGTTGTATAAATTAGAAGCTGTTAGTAGGGCTGTGAGGATTGATTTTGATTGTGTCTGATTTGTGTCGTATCGAACGTTTCCTAACCAGGCACAATGCAACCAAATAACAGCAACAAAGCAACTGTCACTATGTTGCATAAATCATTATAGAACAGAAACGTGGATACATTTTTCTTTTTCAAGCCTGGTTAGGACACTGTGGTGCGCAATTTCTAAACCGGCTGCTTATTACTTACAGTTGAAGTCAGAATTATTAACCCTCCTGAATTATTTGCCCCCCTCTATATTTTTTCTCCCCAATTTCTGTTTAACAGAAAGTTTTTTTTTTAAAACACCTTTCTAAACATAATAGTTTTAATTACTCTTTTCTAATAAGAGATTTATTTTATCTTTGCCATGATGACAGCACATAATACTTTACTAGATATGCTAATATTCAGCTTAAAGTGCAATTTAAAGGCTTAACTAGGTCAATATCTGCGGGATCGTAAAAACCTTAAATTAAAAACAAAATAATTTTAGGGCTTAAAAAGTCTTAAATCCACACAAATAATATGTTGTAGGTCTTAAATCATTTTAAACGGGACTTAATTCACTTATCCAATTTTCCTATGTAAAGCTATACCCAATTAGGTTGACACCCGCCCAATAACTAACAATATATTTCAATAAAAGTTTTAAGAGATGTTTATTAATTAACTCTGTTTACTTATTAATATGGGTTAATTATCTTCATTACAATAATATTTGTGTTTAATGTTTAAGGTTTAAAATTGGCCATTTAAACATTTTTTAAGCGTTTTGCCTTGTGTAGGTCTGAAAATTCATTCATTTTGGTCTTAAAATGGTCTTAAAAAGAATTTTAAAAATCTTAAATTTGACTTTATGAAACCTGATGAAACCCTGAATTAAGCAAGTTGGGCTAATTCACACCTGTTAGCATTGGGATGTTACATATGGGACTAGAAACACCCCCCACCTCAATATAATTCTCAGCATAATTCTCTTAAACAGCTTTTGCAACACTTTTGAGATCAGCTCTTTGATGCTAATTTCACTCATTGAAATGTTAGTGGGTTAGTAACTGGTGTTAGTAACTGTAAATTTACAAATAAAATAAATAAAAAAATTAATTAAACAAATAAGATTACAGGAGTTTTCTGGGTGAAATGACAAAACGGGAGTGTGGTGGGAGATGAGTCTGAAATACGGGAGACTCCAGGGAAATGTTGGCAGGTTTGGTTAAAAATAGGGGAGAATACTTAAACGGGATGATAGCTGGATAGAATGGTAAAATACAGGAGAATCCTGCCTAAAATGAGACGATTGACATGCAAATCATTGTATAACGATGGTTTGTTCTGTAGACAATTGGGGAAAAAATATTGCTTAAGGGGGCTAATAATATTGACCTTAAAATGTTTTTGTTTTTTTAATTTCAAAAACTGCTTTCATTGTAGCCAAAATAAATCAAATACGTCTTTTGTTTTCCAGAAGAAAAAATATAATAGGAAGTACTGTGAAAAAAAATCCATCCTTCGTTAATCATTGTTTGGGAAACATTTAAAAACTGAGGGCTAATCATTGTGACTTCAACTGCATGTAGCAGACATGTTGAAGTCTACTGTCTGGCTGCATAAAGCCCGCATTTAACCTGTTTAACCTACATTTATGTTTAATTCAGGTCATTGAATCTGAGGCTTGTGAGGTATCTATAGTGGTGGTTCTCAGGACTTAAGCATACTTCCAAGATGGATTAAAACATTATTTTGAAATAAGCTAAAGCTGCTGTTTGTAAGCTAAAATCACAATAATAGAAGTGGTTTAACTGCTTCTCTTTTTAATGTTCCTGTTGTGTTTTTTTAAGGTTCCTGATTTTGTTTCAGATGTCGCCTATACCATATGTGTAAATACAGCTAGTCCTGGTCTTAGTGATATGTTTCTATTAAAAATATATGTCAGATCTGTATCTTTTGAAAACGCAACATGTAAGAGTTAGAGATTTCTCAGATTAGTGCACTAGGTATTTTTTTAGGTGTTCATGCTTTGGTTTTCTTTTCTACAGGAGTCAAAACCATTTATGCAAATTGTAAACTGTAGAAATATTAGGATTATTGTGTATGTTTGGTTAAAATGTATTGTTTTATTCAGCCTGATACACATGTGGAGCATTTACCAAGTGATTTAGAGACTTCCAATCGCATTTATTTACATATCAAACATGAAAAAGCCTTTTCTAACTAAACGTAGGGGTTTTGAGTATATTAAATTAATTGTATTAAAGGGATAGTTCACCTAAAATGAAAATTCTGTCACTATTTACACACCCTTCACCTACTGTAAAATCTATTAGAGTTTCTTTGAATATCTACATTTAATTTAATAGTATTTTGTTCTATAAAAGTTGACAGTGCAAGCAGTATTATCCCTCAAGTTCGAAATATCATCTTTTGAGTTTACCAGAATCTTCTTTAAGGTTTAAAACCACTTAACGGAGAATAAGATATGGTGATTTTCATTTTTGGATGAACTATCCCTTTAAAGATACACAGTATCTATATGTTTGTTTACACACTTTTATTTCTAATTTATAAAAGGAATTATATTAAGGAATTCTGCTTAATTCTTAACTATTAACACATTTATTAAAGAATACATGATGTTATACTCAAAACCCTCTTATATGTGCATCTCAGCTCTCTGTGTGTGCAAATTGAACTCAGTCAAATGAACTGTATTTTACAGTAAGGAAATGGAGTACACCATTATACAGTGTGTCACTGTGTACTCCATGTTTTTCCAAGTGCCTAAACGGCTCTCTGTCGCCCTCTCTTGGCAGTGTCCAAGAAACACGGTAAGCTGATGGGCTTCCTGCGCACCTTCATGAAGTCCAGACCCACCAAACAGAAGCTGAAGCAGAGAGGAATCCTGAAGGAACGAGTGTTCGGCTGCGACCTCGGCGAGCATCTGCTCAACTCTGGCCTAGATGGTACTGATGCAGTATAGATAGAAACCTTGGTAAAAGTGTTGCATCTGAATGTGTAGTGATATTTCTGTGGTCAACCTTCAGTGCCACAGGTCCTGACGAGCTGCTCAGAGTTCATAGAGAAGCACGGTGTGGTGGACGGCATTTACAGACACTCTGGTGTGTCCTCCAACATACAGAAACTCAGGTGAGTGTATGTTAATGTTCTGTTCAGGGGTTTGTACACTTTATTATGGAACTGTGTAAATAACAGTGAGCCTTAAAGTCAACTAAAAACAAAATTTAGACCGAAGATTATTTCATTTACTGATGTACAAGTTTTAATAGTATGTGTCTCCTACACTGCCCTGTACAATTAACCCTTGTGTATTGTTCAGAGTTCATGGCTGTTTTTCGCCCCATTTACTCCGCTATAACCATTTTTTTTATTGTAAAGCTGTGACACCATATAATCATGCATTCTTGATTGTTGGTGGTTTTTCCTGTTGGGAAGAGGTACAACTTTTACTGTTCACCATCATAGCTCACCGTTTACTAATGCATTATTAACATCCAAATTTATACTTGTTAACATTAGTTAAAACTCCGGTTTCCCCCACAAGTCCAAAAACATTTTGTATAGGTCAACTGGGTAAGCTAAATTGTCCGTAGTGTATGTGTGTATGTGAGTGTGTATGGTAGGGATGGGAAGATTAACCGATATGTATCGATACGCGGTCATGCGCGTGCACGATGCGAGTGCATCGGTAGAGCAGCAGAGGATGAATGAAATTTTGGAAGCAAATTGAGATGCATCGGTTTTTGCGAGATGCATCGGTTTTTCCAAGATACAGCTTATATTTTTAAGATATAATGTATTTTTTATTTATTAGCAAGTGTTGTCAACCTGTTTTTGGCGCATTATTTAATCGACCTACATAAAGTATGCCTTAGCAACGGACTTGCGGATGTGTACACTTACACTACAACTCAGAGTATCAGGTGTGCGGATGAAGCTAGTGGAGCGCCCTCAGAAAGCGTGAGAAGCAAAACAAATATTTTATTCCCCACTGAGTTTTAAATCTAAAGTATGGCAACATTATGGATTTTGCAAAAAAGATGGACGACTTTTTAGGACAGATGCAATTTGCAAAATGTGCCGCGCATCTGTAAAATACACGGGCAGTACGACTAATCTGAAATCTCACTTGAAGCGGCGACACGGTGTTGTTGTGGAAGCATCTTCCAGTGTTCCTTCATCCCCGGCTTCCTGCTCTGCTTCAACTGTAGCTACCAGCTCCAAAAGTGGTGAGAAAAGCATTGCAAGTTTTCTCCATGCGCAACAGTTCTGCTCGCTCTACGCCAATAACGAATGCTATTGCATTGTTCATCTGCAAAGATATTCAGCCTAGTGTCACGGAGAACAAAGGTTTTAAACACCTCCTCCTGTTAATTTTTATTTATTTATATTTTTATTAGCCTGTTGTTTACAGTGACAGTGATGTTTCAAAGCAGCATAACACTGCTAGTTCACGACCTTAGGTTTTGAATATTCAGTGGCACAATATATCTTTGTAAAACTTGTTTTCATAGTTGAAAGGTTAAATCACAATTCTTGTTGTGCAATGCTAAACCTTTATGTTGAAAGAGTGCAAATATATACATTTATAATATATATTGCACTTATACATTCTGTTTATCTTGAAAATACTTAAATAATATGTGCTATGGGTTCTAAAATGGCCCTCTACTGTAAACTGACACTCTGGCTCTGAGAGAAAAGCCAGTTTGTAAAAAAAGTCTTGGTTTTGCTTTGTTAATAAATAATCAAACTCATTCAATGGCACAGCATCCTTTCTTACATCATCTCATAAACTTGATCCAATTAGTTAGTGCTGAATTATCGCATTGTATCGTGATATGGGTGTGAATCGTATCGTGTTGCATCGCAATATGTCACAAATGTATCGCTAATATATCGGATCGTATTCTTTGTATCGAGATGCGTATCGGATCGGCATTATAGCTTAGATGCCCAACCCTAGTGTATGGATGTTTCCTAGTAATGGGTAGCAGCTGGAAGGGCATCTGCTGTGTAAAACACATGCTGGATAAGTTGGCGGTTCATTCCACTCTGGCTACCCCAGATTAATAAAGGGACTAAGCCGAAAAGAAAATGAATAAATGAATGAATAACAGTGTACCACAGGACTTTTTATTAACTAGCATGAACACATACTGTCATAAATGTATTGTTCATGTTAGTTAATGCATGAACTAATAAAACCTTGTTGTAAAGTGTTACCCAAACATTTAAGGTACTGTACAAGTCATGTTTATAATGTAGTGTAGTGTAGTTGATGCTGTTTATATCTGACATATGACAGTGACTTCTGTTCTCTTGAATTTCATCCCGATCAGGCATGAGTTTGACAGTGAAAACGTTCCAGACCTGACAAAAGATGTGTACATGCAGGATATTCACTGCGTCGGCTCGCTCTGCAAACTCTACTTCCGAGAGCTGCCCAATCCATTGCTCACATACCAGCTTTACGACAAGTTTGCTGTAAGTCATTCTGTCTCTAGCAGATATAAGACCAAGGGATGATGTACATTTCACTTATGAAAACGCATTACAAGAGAAAAGTTTTTCTAAATTGCAATAATAATTCACTCTATTGCTTTTGCTGTATTAATTACTGATTAATATATGCAGCCTAGGCTATGTTTTAAAATGACTAAGCAAACTGTGTCCTTGTCTGTCCAGGAATGTATGGGAGAAATGACGGAGGAAGAGAGAATGGTGAAAGTGCATGATGTTATCCAGCAGCTTCCTCCTCCGCATTACCGGTAAACCCAACACTGGCACTGAGGTGAAACTGCAGAGTGACAGGAAGAGCAGTGTTTTCTGACCATAAGCTGTGTGTTTGTGTCTCTTTCAGCACTTTGGAGTACCTCATCAGACACCTGGCCCATTTGGCCACCTGCAGTGCAGAGACGAACATGCACATAAAGAATCTGGCCATTGTCTGGGCCCCCAATCTGCTCAGGTAACTCCTATGTCTATCTGTAAATATGAACTGACAGATGTTTTGTTTTGTATTTTGGCTTGTTTTGTTTAGTTTTGTGTTTTTAATTTTATTTAGTTTAGTTTTATGTTAGTGTATTTTTGATTTATTTAAAAAATGTTTTATTTTGATTTGTTTTCTTTTTTTTCATTTGTTTTGTTTAGTTTTGTGTTTTTTTATTTTGTATAGTTTAGTGTATTTTTTTATTTATTTAAAAAAATGTATTTTCATTTGCTTTCTTTTGTCCTTTGTTTTGTGTTTAGTTTTATTGTGTTTTTAATTTTATTCACTTTAGTTTTAGTTTAGTTTTTTTAACAATTTTTTTGTTCCTTTTTTCCCTTTAGTTTTGCTTTTAGTTTTTAGTTTTGTTATTTTATTTTATTTTTTATTTTATTGTTTTGTTTTAGTTTTTTTTATTTTTGATGATTTATTTTAAAAATATGTTTTATTTTGTTTTCTTTTTAGTTTAGTTTTTATTTATTTATTTAGTGCTTTGAAATGTTATTTTATTGCTTTCAATTTTCAATCAGCATTAGCTTAATAAGGTTAATATATTTTAAGCAGAAAATGTTACGTATTATTGACATGTCTCTCCTGCATTTGGCTCTACTTGATTCTCATTGGTTAGTGACCAATATACTTGTTGCTTATTGTTCTTTCACCGTATTCTTATTTTTTTAATGACAATTAATTGTTAATATTTATTTGTTAGTTTATATTTTTTGCAGCCACAATATTATTCAAAATCAGTTGCTTAAAGTTCCAAACAAGCTATTTCTTTATAATAGATTATGTAATAATAATAACAATATTAATAATAATAACAATTATTATTATTATTATTATTATTATATTAACATACAATTCTTTTTTTATTTTTTGTAAAATTTGATAAAATAATGGATTTGATCTAAAATGTTGAAGCCTGATTATTTTACAGTATTATTATCAGATATAGGTGTTTCTAAAATAGTTATGTGTTGGTAAAAAAATTCTAAATAATCTTTCTACTAAATAGAATATCAGTGTGGTTTGTTTTTGTCTTAGTTTGTCACAGCTGGACTTAACTAAATTCATGTCAAAGAGCTCAAACCAGACTTCTTGAATTTGAAAACAAATCTGCTGCTGTTCTGTTTCAGGTCCAAAGAAATTGAGGCAGCAGGTTTAACCGGCGCAGATCCTTTTAAAGAAGTGCGCATCCAGTCTGTCGTGGTGGAGTTTCTGCTCAGCAATGTGGAAGTTCTGTTCAGTGACTCTTTCACTTCTGTCGGACGCTTCAATGCAGGTATGAAAACAACCAGAAAAACAACAAATGTGTTCTGCCATAGCTGGGCCTGTTCCATGAAGTTGTATGAGCTGGCTATCCAGTTTAGTTTGCGCTGATCCTGGGTTTTAGGTAACATGAAGGAAGCTCTGCTTTATTCAATTTTGTCCCCATGTCATTATAGAGCAGCTGAGCTACCTTCATGGTACCTAAAACCCAGAATTGGTGCAAACTAAATTGAATCTCTGATCAGTAAACAATTCGTTCAGCCCAGTGTCTTCAGAACTTTTTATTAAACATTCAGTGATGCAGTCAGTGAAGCTTAGTATTCCTGCTATAGCAGCAGTATTTTAAGGCAGAAAAAAAAGTGTAAAAAAAAGAATGCTGTTGCCTTCAAAGATGTTTCACCAGCAGTACTTCAAATACACATGAAACCGAAAATGTCTGTTAAAACAATATAGTAGCAAATGCACCTGACATTATGTTTACTCTGGCTTGTTTTGATGATCAAGTTGCCAGATATTATGATATTTTTGTTGTCTTTCCTTTATCATCCTCTACCATTTCACCACTGTTTTCTTCCCCTCTGAGATGCAGCTTCTGCGAGCAGACCTGTGACTTCCTCTCTTTCCCTTTTCATCTTTTATGACACAATACGAGCCACTAATGGGTTATCATAATGAATTTAATATAATAGGGCTGGGCGACATGACTCAATTAATTATTGCACCGGTGCTTTTTCATGATGATATTGTGATGTTATATTTAGACTTTTGATGACGTTTACAGTACTTTAGTAAGCTTTGATGCAATCAGCACGTTCTTGATTTTCCGTTTTATTATGTACAGCTTACAGATGGTAATGTATGTATTTCTCCTGAAATGCTTTAAAATAATGATGCTTTCTTTTATTTTATGCAAAAGAACAATTATTTCAACCAAAAACCTGGCATAGGGTTTAATTTAAGATGTAATATGCAAATAAAAAGAAAAATACAATCAAGTAATTAATGTATATTTGCAATAGTGCACACAGTTAACCAAAAAAAGAGCAGTTATAGTTATTTGCATCAATCAAGCAATTTGCATAATCACAGTAATTTTTTAATGAAAAAGAAATTAAATATGGAAAATCTCATATTGCTATTTATTAGAAATGTCATCTGAAAAACTTATATCTTGATTATAGTGACCAAAATGATCAGTATTATCAAACTGTCACATACTTAAGTGAAGTAAACAAACACATTTTTTGACAAACTAACTAGCTATTTTTGTAGCAAACAACATGGATACCTGCATCTTGGATTTGCACACTTATGTTTGTACTGCTTCATGTACCTTGCTTTTATAGGTTCATATGTGTAATGAGCCGGGTTGCAACAGAGGTGAGGATCCAAATGCAGTTTATTAAGAGAATCGTCAAGCTGGCAAAGGTCAAAACGGGGACAGACAGGACCATGTAGATAATCCAAAAGCTTAGTCAGTGTACAGGCGAATGGTCGGGATTGGCGGTAAAACAACGTCAATAGTAAAACTAAGCAAAGGTCAAAAACGCGGGAAGACAAGGAAACGCTTCATAATGCTCACTAACAGTTGACTTAGCAAGTCTGTGTCTGTGTGTGTGCTGGGTTTATAGTCTGGATAATCAGTTCTCACGAGCTACAGCTATGTGTTTGTAACCTGGGCCAGGTGTGTAAGTGCAGGGAATGATTGGATTTGTAGTTCATTTCAGTGGCTAAATTGTAGTCTGGATGGTTTCCAGCAATCTGCAAAACCTAGATCACTGAAAAGGGTATAAACGCAGGTCAGAGCCAGCTCTAAGTGGGTGGGACTTGAGCTCCAAGTGAGTTGGCCTGGAGCTCCAAGTGGGCTGTACAAATCTGGAGTTTTTATGTATTCAATGTCTTGTACATGACTTGGAGTCCAATATTGTGCTTTATGAATGCCTACACCTACCTCAACCCTAAACCCAACTTCACAGTAACCTGATGTGTTTTATTAAAATCTGCTCCACCTACACCACTTAAACCCAACATACTTGTGGTTTAAGTCCCTCCTATTTGCAGTGTAATTTCTCCCACTCAGAGATCTGGCGATCGTGACAATATGATTTTCTTAAGCAGTGTATTGTTTATTAAAGCTGCCCTTGGAAACCTACCTCACACAGACCCATGTTGTTTTTCACAAAATCATACAAGCTGCTTTAAAAACCCCAAAATAATCGTGTGATTTGTAAATTCTGACTGATATCAAGATCTAATTTTGTACTGGGTATTCTCAACAGTGTGCAGCACGCACTAGAAATGAAAGGTCTAAATATGTTTAAATATATAGTTATTAAAGTCTATATAAACATACATTTACACTGCAGTCTTTCACTATTAGCTAATCACCATCTTGCAAGATTTTTTGTGAGTTTACAACATGGTGAAAGTCAATCACGGATTTAACGATAATGAAAATTTAATAGAGCTATACTAACCATCACATTATTTATCATGGTTTACCTTAAAATTACCTAAAAATATTTAGATCCTTGAGTAAAACCTCTGTCATTTTACACTTTCAAATTCCTTGAAAATAATTTCACAGTGATGAATATTTAATGTCTCCCAGCCCTAATATAAAAGCATTTCTTTCTTGTAATGAATCTGTCATTATGTGCTTTGTTAATGCGTCACAGTGGAATATGTTTACAGTGGCCTCACCCATGTGTAAGTGAGCTGTGTGTTTTCATAGCGTCACGAGGGGCCGAACACAAGATCTCACGGCAGCCACGAACACGCCTGGTCAGTCTTCAGGAGGCCAGGGACGAGTCCTGTTTCTCGGACCCCTCTGATCTGGACCCAGAGCTGCGCCGCTATTCTATGATTTGAGATACAGACTAACTCTCTACAGTGGACCTTGACTCAAATCACAGTCTGTTCTGCTGGGGAAAAGAAAAAAAAACAACGGAACTGGCCATGCACACATTATTTATACATCTACTCTACTGTATCCGCTTGTTCAGTCATGACGTATCGAATATTGCTTCCGGGTCCAAGCCGATAATCTAAAATATTCGTTTATGACCGCTTTTTAGTCATATAACACATTAAAGTGATTCGTAAATCATAGTGTACACAACAGTCTGTGCACTTGTGGCATCACAGACATCAATATTTTAACTAAATTAATCATCAACTAAATTAATTATTATTGTTAAATTAGATTAATTTAACAATATTTCACAAAATTAATCATTTTCTGGCTGTCTGATATTAGGCAGGATTTTACATACAGTTGAAGTCAGAATTTTTAGCCCCCCGTTTATTTTTTCCCAAATTTCTGTTGAACAGAGAAGATTTTTTTCAACATTTACAAACACACAAGTTTTAATAACTCATCTCTAATAACTGATTGATTTCATCTTTGCCATGATGACAGTAAATAATATTTGACTAGATATTTTTCAAGACACTTCTGTACAGCTCAAAGTGACATTTAAAGGCTTAATTAGGTTAATTAGGTTAACTAGGCAGGTTAGGGTAATTAGACAAGTTATTGTATAATGATGTTTTGTTCTGTAGACTATCAGAAAAAATATATAGAATAAAGGGGCTAATTTTTTGTCCTTAAAATGGCTGTTAAAAAATTAAAAACTGCTTTTATTCTTACCAAAAGAAAACAATTAAGACTTAATTAAGACAGAAGAAAAAATATTATCAGACATACTGTGTAAATTTCCTTGCTCTGTTGAACATAATTTGGGAAATATTTAAAAAAGAAAACAGAATTCAGAGGGGGGCGAATAAGCCTGACTTCAACTGTGTATATGTATGTATGTATGTACGTACATATGTACGTATATACTTATGTATGTATGTATATGTATATATAAGGATCATGATTTTTGAAAGTATTACAGTACATCGCTTTATAAACGTTTATTATTAGCATTTTGTTGAGCCTCCCCAAATAGTTTGATAGAGCGGTTGGATCCAGAAGCCACTTTGTGTGACGTCAGACTTAACATGCGGGTGTATAAACTGCAAACGTTCTGGAAAATCTTTTTTTTGTTTGTTTATTATAGACATCCATTTAAAAAACTGAATGTGTGGTTTAGCTTGGTTTCAGGAGGTCAAAACTAGGTTCATCAACTAGTAGAACAGCTGATCAACTGTTTGGAAATTTTGATGATGCCAAGCTAGACGTGGGAATCTTATTTGTTTTATTCGAGCAGTGATACTTTTCACTATATATTCACATTTGTAGTATATTTGTGACACTGGATTAGATCAAATTTTTTTATGTATTTATTTTTTTCTTATGCCAAAATCATTAGAATATTATAAAAAGTTCTTGGTCCATGAAGACCTCTTTTGTAAATTTGTCATTATAAAATATATAAATGCAATATTTTGGATTAATTGGCATTAATAAGCACTTCGTTTAGACATTTAGACAACTTTAAAGGTAATTTTCTCAATATTATTATTATTTTTTTGGAACTCTCAGATTCCAGTTTAGTCTTAAATATTTCCATTTCCTACCAAAATATACATCAATGGAAAGCTCATTTATTCAGCTTTAAGGTGATGTGTGAATCTCACATCTCACTTATGATTGCTTTTGTTGTCCAGGGTCACATTTATATTTGTAATATTCGCCATCATTATCTGCTTACACTACCATTTCAAACTTTGGGGTTTGTATGGTTTTTATTAGGTCTTTTATGATAAAAATATTATCTATTTATATTGTTCTTTTAATTTTTTTAAAGGTTACCACAAGAATACTAAGTGAAAAGATGTGCGTAAATGCCAACATTAAGAAAACAGCATTTTAGAATTGTTTTTGAATGATGTGACACCACAAACTGATAAAATAAATGCTGAAAATGCATTAATACTGCATTTAATTTTAAAATGAATCAAATTGTCAAAATATTGTATACATTTTTATAATAATCCCAATATATTTTAATATCAAAATTGCATTTTTTTCAGTATTTTTGATAAATAAATGCTTTTAAAACTTAGCAACCTCAAACTTTAGTGGTGGTGCATGTCATTAAGAATGTAATATATCTATGTGGTTGGATTATTTCATGACAGCTGTTTTCTTTCTTAGACGGCTGATGTAAATGACATTTTAAACTTGTATAGCATACTGGTGAATGTAAGGCAATAAATACTTTCCTATCTTTATTGATCTTTTTTTGTTGTTGTTGGAGAAGAAAGTAAATCTTAAACACACTGCTTATGATCGCTGCTAATAGATTTTTCCCTCATATAAAGTTGATTTTCATTAGCTAAGACAATCATTTTGGAAAATAATTTTGTAAGATGAATCCGTGGAATAGGATGGATGTTATTTAAATGAGCGATATTTTCTGTTATATAAACTCAGAGACTTTCAGGTATATAGCGATATGTTATCTGTTTGCGAATATTCAACTCAGAGACTTAACAGCAGGTAAAGTGTCACTTAATTTGTTTTCTTTATGCTAGCTTTTATTTGTATTAATCTTATGCATCTTCTATGAATTAACTTCTATGAATTCTATGCATCTTCTATGAATTAACTTAATAAGTTAATTCATCCTCAATATCGCTCTTGAGCAAACAGCTTCTACATGTCACGCACATCAAGCTTTACAGTATTTATCTTGAGATGCTTAAACTTGATACTTTTGCAGGCTTTGTACTGGATTCTTCAATGCGTCTGATGTCCCGGACATTATAGGCTTGCTGAGGCACGCACACACACACAAAAAAACTCTACACAAATATACAGACACCACCATCTAGCCATGCAACTTTAATTTCAGATGTTGCATTTGGAAGTGTGTCAAATCATAATGTAAATAGAATTATGTAATAAGTTTTCTTAATATTGCCACAAGAGGCTCTTTGAGTTGCATTACAGTACCTGAATTGACATGGTATTGAAGAATGCAGCTCTCACTAAGCCCTTGCAAACATATTAATGTACGATGGTGTACTTGTGTAGAGTTTTTGTTACCTTAAGATTTTGTGAACCTGTCATCTGTTGACCAGCAATTGAATTTCTTCAACGAGCTTGTTGCAAGTACGAGCTTGTATGTAGACGTCTAAAGCTTTAAAGGAGCAGATGTTGTTGTTTTTATGCTTGGGTGTCTTGTCAGTTGCCATGTGTCATGTTAAATTGATTATATTTGTTGATGATCGCTGTGCTCTTTGCTCTGCATTTACTCGCTTTTATCCTTTGGCTTCATGGATCTGAATCTAAATCTTTTTCTTGCATTTGTTTTCTGACTTGACAGCACGACAGTCCCTGACCAGGCCCAAGTCGTTTGTATCCACCAGGCTCCTGTCTCTGGAGGAGGCGCAGGCTCGCACACAAGCTCCCCTTCTCCTTCAGGGATCTCCTCACCATGCTATTGGCCAGTTCCACACTGTACTGGACCTGCCTGTCGACAAGTGGGTCTATTGTTTGATTGGTCACGCTTTACAATAAGGTTTTATTAGTTAATTATTTACTAACATAATTAACAACATTTATGGATCATTTATTAATCAAGTTCAATATTTAGTGCATTATTAACATCCAAATTCAAGCTTGGTAACATTCTTTTGATTGATGATATGGTAAAAAAAACTTGTTTCTATTAGAAGGAAAAGAGGGATGAAGGTGCGGAAGTCAGCGGGTGGAAGCTGGAAGACATTTTTTGCCATTGGGAAACCTGGGGCTGTAGGTCGACGCAAACCCGCCAGGATCACCTCTCTATTTCAGCCCACTACCTCTCATGCAGGTAAACCAGACATTTCACTCGTTATGTATATTCATAAATATATGTTTAAGTTATTGTACGATTTGCACGTCATATTGAAAGAAGATGATTTTTAGAGCTTTATGTGTACTTTAGGTTGCAGGGTGGACAGTGTGACGCTCAGGTCTGCGAAAAGTGAGGAGTCGCTGTCCTCTCAGCACAGTGGAGCAGGTTTGAAGGACATCTGGACACTTTAATGTCTTAGGGTGCTTTCACACCTACACTTTTGTTTCGGAACGTATCTCGTTTGCCCAGTTAGCGCGGTTCGTTTGGCATATGTGAACAGGGTAATCGCTCCGAGATCGCTTGAATGAGGTGGTCTCGGCTCGATTGAAACGAACCCTGGAGCGGATCGATTGCAGTGAGAAAGCGATCCGATCCGAGTGTGGTTATATCACTGTTTTTTATGGATATGTAATAGGCTTACGGCTATATGAAGAGAGAATTATGAGTATGGCGGGAAGTTTCGTGAGTTTCCGGATGCCTGCAAACGAGTGATGATCTCCCGGTAATCTCACGTCTCCCTCACGGTCCTCAAATAGGCTACGTCGCGCACCCTTCTCACCCCTCCCCACCGCGTCTCTCCTCAGACACGTCACGCGCGCGCACCCTGTCAATCACCACCAAACCAATACCTCTCCTGACAGCTAAGCGGGACGCTGCAAAATAAACCCTGACACTTTGACCAATATAAGGAGTTTACTCGCACGTGACTTGTTTTAGCTTTTTTGGTCCGATTAGAAACTTTGCAGTGTGAAAGCAAATCGCTCCAAGAGCAAAGAGCAACAATGTAACACAGGTGTGAAAGCACCCTTAATTAAACATTTTGGTATAAGTGTAGGTGTGTGTGTGTGGGTGTGTGTGTGTGTGTGTGTGTGTGTGTGTGTGTGTGTGTGTGTGTGTGTGTGTGTGTGTGTGTGTGTGTGTGATAATAATTAATAATTTAATAACTATTTTATTATATTATATTTATATTTTATGTATTATATTATATTTTATATTGCATAATTGAGATTATATATGAGCAATTCCATGCAAAAATAAAATTTCACCAAAAAAAAAAAAAAAAGTTTTCACCAAAATACGAAAACCTTTTTACAGTACTTTTAAAAATACTCAAAAAAAGTCTCTGTCAATGTTTTAAAACTATATTATTTAATTTACAAAAATCACACAAGTGGCAATTTCACATCTGTCACATCCATAACGACACTTTCTCCTCATAAATGCAAAAATATTAAATAAAATAAAACCAATCATGTTTGTTCTATAATGAGACAACTCATCCTTTTGATTATCATTGCTTCTTTTGAGTTTGCAGTTTAATTCACAGAATTTCTACAGTGTGTTGTATACTGTAAACTCGCAGACCTATTTGTTCACATCCATAACACATGTTTATTTTCCTCATTTAAAGTACAAAACATGTTTACAGATTGATATTTTTCTGGTTCCTTAACTCTGTGGTCAGTTGTTTTGGAAAATATAAACAGATATTTCAATATAATGTTAGCATATACCTTCTCTGTGAATATATATTTTGGGTTTTAACTGCAAATGTCACATAACGCTGGATATATATATATATATATATATATATATATATATATATATATATATATAGAGAGAGAGAGAGAGAGAGAGAGAGAGAGATTGGCTTAGACTGACAGTGTAAGAAGTACTTATTAAATGCAAACTTTTAAATGCCAGTAGATTTGTCGATGCAAAAATACTGGATATATATAATTAAGGTAAAACTAATGTGCATGTTTTCCCCTCAGGTCAAGGCAAGATTCAGCGGTTACGGAGACCTCGCTCCAGCAGTGACGGTCTCTCTCTGGCTGCCTCTGTGGATCCGCAGCTCCTTCCCCAAAACTCCCCATCCAAAATCCACCCGAGCCGCTCCTACGACAGCCTGCTGCCAGAGGAGACCCGTGATGCTGATGAGGAAGAGGAAAACGAAGACGAAGAGGATGAGGAGGGTGTGTACATGCTGCCTGATTTCTCCCAGGAACCACCCTCTTCATGGATAACGGAGGATGTCATTGACTTTAGCCCAACCTTTCTGGAAGATGGGCCAATAGGGTTGGGGGGCACAGGCGGAGCTCCAAGTGGTAGAGAGTCTCCTCCTGCGGCCGCACCCCCTCCATACCGCTGTCTGAGCCATCAGGGCCACCATGCCCGCTCTGGAAGCCAGCGCTCGATCACTGAAGATCCAGACTCTGTTCTTAACCAGTCTGAAGCCGCAGCCCGCAGGAGTTTGATCCTGGCTGCAGCAGCTCCGCCTCAGCAAGTGTTCTGCCAGCACAGGCCGTCTAATGCCCCTGCAAACACAACCCAGTCGGGCGAGTCAAATTTAAGCCCGTCCCATGCCCAGACGCCAGCTCCAGCAACCTCTGCACCCCCTTCTCAGCCCCCTCAGGAAAGGCGCTCCTTTACACGTAAAGTGGTTCATGCACTTTCACCAAAAGCGCCAAAATCTCCTCCTCTGGACATCTCGGATCCCATCGCCATCAGTGTTCCTGCCAAGGTGAATCATTTATGAGCATATATGTTGATTTAGCTCGTACCTCTTTGTGTTGTGGTAGTACTTAGAGTAATTCCTTTAAAAGGTCAAGTCTATCTCAGTTTAATGTGCAGAGAGTTTTGCAGTTTTATATGAGTTTTTATTTTGATGACTATTTTTTTTAATTTACTGTAAATTTTATTCAGTTTTAGTTTTTTTTTCTTTAATGGATTTGTTAGTTTTTATTTAGTTTTTATTTTAAAAACAAATTTCTATGTAGTTTTGGTTTCAGTTCTAGTGTTATCCAGAGCAAAGTTCAGTGTTTGCACAGCTTATGTTAACTCTTGTGGAAAGCTCTTAGTAAAAAAAAATAAAAACGTTTCTACAAAGACTAAATCTGAAACCACACAGATATAACAAATACAAGTAAAAATGATGAAGAATTAAGACAAACTTCCCTATATTATAGAACATTTATGTAGATCAGGGGTGGCCAACCCTGTTCCTGGAGAGCCACCTTCCTGCAGATTTCAGTTGCTACCCATATCAAACACACCTGAACCAATTAATTAGGACCTGAACACCCCGTGATAATTACAGGCAGGTGTGTTTGATATGGGTTGCAACTGAAATCTGCAGGAAGGTGGCTCTCCAGGAACAGGGTTGGCCACCCCTGATGTAGATAAACATGTCTACCTTTACATGTCTAAAAATTTAAACAATAGAGAAAAATAATAATCTTGTGCTAAACTGATGTGTTTGGCGTAAATGTTCCATCTACAGTTATATGTCTAAGCCAGGGGTGGCCAACCCATATCAAACACACCTGCCTGTAATTATCACGGGGTGTTCAGGTCCTAATTAATTGGTTCAGGTGTGTTTGATATGGGTAGCAACTGAAATCTGCAGGAAGGTGGCTCTCCAGGAACAGGGTTGGCCATCCCTGGTCTAAGCAGTCACAGGTCAGATTTGACACCTCAGAATGATTATTATCATTTACTGTCGAATTATTATTTTATTTCCATTAACTATTTTTTTGACCAATCTTTTTAGTCTTAATTTTAGTTTTCATTAACTAAAATAACCTTGCAGAGAACAATATAGTAACTGTTTTAACTTTGAAGGTTTTGGAAATGATTGGTGGACGAGCTGGTGAATTGCAATCTGGACTTCCAAGCAGTGGACCTCCTCAGCCACCCCAGATGATATCTATGCTCCTGAGGTCATGTGACTTTCAGCTCACTGAAAGCTGCCAGCAAGAGCTCAGCAGTAAGTTGGGCCCCATCGCCAAGATCAAGGGTCCAAGTGAGTACACATTCTGTCATATTTCCTATCATTTCCAATAGTATCTGGATGCAGCTTTTATGGTGCAAGCTGAGATTGCATCACTCAGCGATGCAATGTCAGACACAATGTACTCAATGGAGTGAGTGACGTTACTGTGACGGGTAGGGTTAGGGGTGGGGTTAGGTGAGCGCATTACAAAGCATTGGATGCAGCTCAGATTGCACTGCACCAGGTCTGCATCCAGGCCCCTCTCATAATTTCAAGTAGTTTTCCCCAAATATTCCTTGTTTATTTTATTGCACACTTATGAGAGAATTTACAACCACAAACATTTTCTTTTGGACCCTGTTTGGAGCTTTTTGTTTAATGTTATAGTAGTTTAGTATTATAATAGTCTATAGTTCATTTTCAAATGTCTTTATTCCTAAATAAAATGTTATTAAATTCTTTAATTTATTTTAGGTATCTTGGGTCCTACTGGTGTTCCCCTTCCATCACAACAGCCCCCTGCTCCTCCTCCCAAGAATCCTGCACGCCTCATGGCTCTAGCTCTGACTGAAAGTGCCAACAAGGCACTGCGGCAAGGTGCCTCCCCTCCATATCGCCCCCGTCAGAGTGCAGCCTCCCCTGAGAAAGACATCCGCTTTCAGAGGTCACTCTCTGCTGATGCAGGAGCTCTGCTGTCCTCTGATCCTAATCAGATCTATTCCACAGTGCGACCCTTATCTGTGTGGAAGACTGAAGGTGGTGATGGGGATGATGAAGAGGACGATGAAGGAGCTGCCGCTGAAAAGGCTGCAGACAAATCACATGGTACAGAGCCAAGATCTCCCCCTGGGCAGGACATTGGGACTCTGTCTTCTAACAGCTCAGTCTCTGACTCTGGGACAACCAATTCTGAGTTATCAGCTGCCAGTTCCTCTGAGGACAATGAGCGAACCCCAAGCCCCATTTACAAGAATGAAGAACCAACTTCTCCACCACAGCCCTTAATATCCAGCCCGCCCTCCTCATCTGACCTAGTTCCTTCACAGAGAAAACCCCCAGCATATGGCCGCCAATTTTCTGCACCACAGCTTCAGCAGGAGAAGTCCAGCGGCCCATCTAAACCTGCCACCCAACCACACACTCAGCTCCTACACTCCAAATCAGAGAGCTCTCCTCTAGCCCAGGTACGAGCCTTCCAGCCCACTCGCCCTAAAGTGCCACCCAAACCCCCTGATCTTGCACCCTTAAGGGCTCCTCTCTCTCAGACTGACCGGCATGATTACATGCGTCGCTCCTTAGATGCCAGTCGCATTCGACGATTGGCAGGACCTCAGCAGGTGAACACACCACTTTCCAGAGCCTTCTCGGAGCGCATCAGCAGCACCTCTGACATGCTGTCTCGATATCATGCTGCCAGAATGGCCAGTCAGGCCGCCCAGGTTGCACATCTCCCCCAGCAACAGGCCCAGTCCACTCCAATTAGACCAGTTGTCCCCTCCTCTGAAGACCCATCCAAGATGGAGAACTTCTACTATGAAATTGGTGCACCTGAGCACCCACAAGTGCCACCTAGCTATGCACGCCACAGTTACCAGAATATGAAGCCGGATCTGGAAGGGAACCTCCGGCTCACTGACCCAGCCAATCAAAGGCCTATATCCAGGGGTTACCCTCCTCCCTACAATTCCCAAGGTGCCGGGGGTGGTAGATCTACCCAGCTGTGGTCGTCTGAGGCGACACGAGCATGGGCTGCAGCACACTCTCACTCTCACTCTTTCTCTTTTTCTCATTCTCATCATCGCTCTCAGGATGGATCGTCAGGACATCCTCCTCATCCTCGTCCCCAGCGACAAACATCATCCTCTGTCAGGTTGTCCCGCAGTGAAGTGCATCCCTTACCCGCATCTACTGGATCTTCCACAGGCATGGTGCCTCTGTCTGTGCACCAACGGAGCTTGCATCGCCCCCACCGTTCACCTTCTGCCGACCACACTGCTTCACAGCTTCACCCCTACTTTGAAAACGGGAAGGTGTGCTATCGGTACTTTGAGGCTTCCAGGCCTGAAGACTTGCAATTGAATCTACATGAGCAGGCTGTAGTGAAAACGTCTCAGGCCTCCCCAGTGCAAGGAATCACAAAAGATCAGCCCGAGCCTATTTATGTCAACTACCCCTTCACAAACCCACCAGGATCAGGGGTTAATTCAAAGGGCTGGGCCACTACTGACCTAGATGAAAATGATTATCATGCATCTGAGACGCAAGAAGCACCATCTAAGTCACCACCAGATGACAAGCAAAAGCATTTAGAGCAAGAAAGTCCTACAGCTGACTTTGACAACCCTTCCCAAAATGATCTGTCCTCAGATTCCAAAATGATCAACATAGCATTGTCAGCCTCCACTGCCATGCATTTCCGTAGCCGCTCAGATCCCCAAAGTGCCAGCTCAGAGACTGCTCATGTCCTGACTGGGAAGGAAATTGCCTCCTTGCTAATTGAAAAACTTGCAGAGGATGAAAGAGAGGGTCCTTCTGTGCCATCCTCTACGTCCTCTTCACCACACATTGAGCACCCTCCAAATCCCTACCCTAGCCAGCATCAGCAACCACCACCTGCATACAATGTGTACACCCCAGGACCCTCTCGAGGGCGCTTTGAAGGTCAGGTGCCACCTAGAGAGGGATCAGGACCTTTCCAACGTCAAGACCCCTTGAGGAGATCTTCCGGAGGCCAGTATAGACAAGCGTTTGACGTCATGCCATCTGGCGACCAAGTCCTTAAGTTTTACAGAAGCCAAGACTTTATCCCAGGTGCCCAGGGAGAAAGCACAACCCCTAATCCTTATCCCCCTAGACCATATTATCAGGACCCCCCATACCCCAACTGGGGCCCACAAGGTCTCCCAGACTCTTCCCACACATGCACTCCACCCACAGTGGCCTTCTCAAACTTAGCACTTGGATCAACAAGAGGATACGCACCGCAGACAGTGGCCAACCAGTATAACCAGTTCCCATACCAGTCAGGGCCAGTGCTTCCTCAGTATCCCAACACACCACGGCGAGATGTTGTACTGGATCCTTCTCTCCGACCTCCAGGGTTGCGGAACCAGAGAGGGCTAAACCGACAGGGAAGCCTGCCGGGACCAAACTGGACCATCCGAACTGAAGGCCAGACCCGTAGTTATTGCTAAAGAGCACAACTGCCACTAAAAGTCCTGTGTCTGTTGACTTAAAATGAGATCATATGAAGTAGACCACTATGTAGAGCACTAGACATCTATGTTTACTGTACAATTGAACACGTTGTGAAAGTAATTGTGTTAACCTCCTCAAGAGGAGAACGAATGTACAGAAACAAAGTGGCATATTTCTTTACAAGTGTTTCAGTCTCAGAAAGACCCCACTGCTGTCCTGCAGTTAGCGTGTGTTGGAGTGGACAAAGGGTACGAGATTAAGGCGTAAAGCAGAAAGGATCAAAGAAGTGAACCATTAAGTGGCTTAGTTATGAAAACATTCCAGAACACACTGTGCTGTCCAGCAGAGGGAGTCAGAGAGGTGCACAGCTGCTATTCCTCTGACAGGATGTTGCTCAGTGGCTAATTTGTTTGAGTTTTTTTTTGCTTTTGGTTTAAAGTTCTTTTAGACCAGAGGTGTCCAAACTCGATCCTTGGGAAACAGTGTCCTGGAAGTTTTGGCTCCAACTTTCTTCAACACACCTGCAAGGATGTTTCTAGAAAGCCTTGTAAGAGCTTGATTAGCTTGCCCAGGTGTGTTCAAATGGGATTGGAACTAAACTTTGCAGGACATCAGTCCTCCAGGACTGAGTTTTGGCACCCCTGTTTTAGACACTAGGTTATGCTGTACAGGGGCACAAGCTTAACATGTCTTTCTTCTCAAAGTACGATAAAAATAACCTCAAGAGATGCTGTTGGTTTTAAAAAACTTTATGAAAATGGCTGTTTTTTTGTTATCTTAAGTTTGTTGGCAGAAATGTGACGTTATTTCCATTTTTAATTGCTTTTGATGTCTCTAAGTTATTGTAAGATTTCATTGTGAAAGTTTTATTTGCCTTTTTAGAATTTGTTTCAAAGAATGTGAAGATTCAGACTTTGACCTTTTTAATGGTTTTAATTTCTTTTAAAGTCTGTGTGAATTTGTATGAGTGTGTGTGTTGTTGAGCACATAAAACACAAAGGGTCATTTCTTTTTTTGTGGGAGGGTGTGTAATTGAGAACGCATATTTCTGAGAGGTACTGTTTTCTGCTCATTCTCAAGTAATGTGTCAGATGATTTGTGTATCAATATTAGTGTTCTAATCCAAAGCAAGTATTTCAGGTAGGTCACGTCACCCTGTGTCACTCCCAGACATCCTTGGGTTTCTGTGAAGGAAGAATCCCAACCTAGCAACATTGAATAACTAGTACTGTTCAACTCAAAACACTGAAGATTTTCAATGCACATAACACTAGTCTTAGAAGACAGTTTTCTGGGCATGGTACTGTCTCAGTGTTTGTAGTACCTGTACGGTAATTCAAAGTCTTGGAAATTTTTCTAAAATGTATTAGAAGTGGATTCTTAAAAAAATATGTTTAGTAATTGGTGCCTTCTATTAAATAATTGCTAGTCTTTTAAATAATCCTTTGCTCTAAAACAATGGTCTCAAACGCCATTCCTGGAGGGCGGCAGCTCTGTATAGTTTATCTCCAACCATGATCAAATAAAGCTGATCCAAATAATGAAGGTGTTCATGAGTCTTTTAAACGCCTCGTATATTTGAATCAGCTGTGTTTGATAGGGTTAGAGTAAAACTGCAGAGCTGAGGTCCTCCAGGAATGGAGTTTAAAACCCATGTTCTAAAATATAGGTGTCAAGCTCGATTCCTGAATGGCCGCAGCTCTACATAGTCTTTCTCCACCCCTAATCAAACACAACTGATGCAGCTAATCAAGGTGTTCAACACTACTAGAGACTATTAAGCAGGTGTGAGTTGGAGATGGTTGGAGTTAAACTAGCTGTGTCCCTCCAGGAATGCAGTTTGAGACTGTTGCTCTAAAACATTCTGTTGGTCTCATACTCACTTCCTGGAGGGCCACATCTCTGCACAGTTTTACTCCAACCTTATCAAACACAGATGATCCAGATAATTAAGGTGTTCAAAAAAGTCATGAACACCTTCATCAGCTTTGTTTGATCAGGGTTGGAGCAAAACTGCAGATCTGTATCCCTCCAGGAATTGACTTTGAGACCATCGATCTAAAAGCAACTATTGAAAATCTTTACCTGAGCCAAGTTGCCCTATTTACAGATTTCCAAAGCTTCGCACTAGTAATTCCTGAGGTGTAAATGAAGAGTGTGTGCGTTTGTGTGTGAGAGAGACACACTGTTTGCATGTCTGTTATCTCAGTTTTGTTTAATACATATCTATGCAGTGAATAACCAAGGGGGATCTGTTCCTTAAAAAAAAAAACACTAAATATTAATGCTACCTATGTATGTCAGCAGACTGTGAGCGTATATGTTCCAGTTGAAGAGGTCATGCATGTGGCTTTGAGGGTATATACTGTACATGTCCAACAATCTCCCCTTCCGCCTTGAACACTTTACGAAAAGGCAGTTGATCCTATTTTGTAATATTTTCAAATATGTGAATAAAACATTGGACACCGTCAGTGACACACCCTGTGGTTTGGTGATTATTCTGTTGGGTTAACTCCACTGGTATTCTCTGAACATTTTCAACACTCACCTGTTTCATCAATGCCTAATCTTTTAAGTCTTGGTGTGCTTCATGCAGGTGAGTGGGATTGACAAACCACCTGTAGAAGACACTGTATTTTCCTCTCCATATTAGTGTTGTCATGATACTGAAATTCCATACCAATCGGTACTGAAATTTGAAAAACTATCATTTGAGCGCGTTCTTAAACATTGCTGATTAGCTATTATGTTTACCTGCTCAACAGAAATGGCTGTGATTGGCTGTGATGGTCATCAGTTCACCAAACTCACCGCTGTTTACTGAGTGTAACAAAAGATACAGCAACACTGGAGTGTTTTAAAGCTATGAAGATCAGCTGGTGTGTTTATAAGCTGACATACGAACAATCCACTGATGAACTGACTGATCTTCTCAGCTTTAAAACTCTCCAGTGTCGCTGTATCTGTTTACACTCAGTAAACGGCGGTGAGTTCCGTGAACTGATGACCCTTACAGCCAATCACAGCCATTTCTGTTGAGCACGCGACCACAATAGTAAATCAGCACTGTTAAAAAAATGCACTCAAATGTTAGCGGGAAATGGACACCTTTAAAATTTTAGTACCGATTCATATCGAATTCCAGTATCGTGACAACATTACTCCATATGCACCCGACACCTTCTTAAAAGCAGATCTTACTTTTTGTAAAACATCATGCAATTTGAATGCCTTCACAGGTGAGTGGGCTTGACAAACCACCTGTAGAAGACACTATATTCGTCTCTATTTTAGTGTTGTCATGATACTGGAATTCGATACCAATCGGTAAAAGTCGCGCTCTCATCAGCTGGTCTGTTTATAAGCTGACATACGAACAATCCCCTGATGAATCAACTGATCTTCTCAGCTTTAAAACACTCCAGTGTTCCTGTATCTACACTCAGTAAACAGCTGTGAGTTTGATGAACTGATGACCTTCACAGCTAGTCACAGTCATTTCTGTTAAACTCATGAACACAGTAGTAAATCAGCGCTGTTTAAGAACGCGCTCAAATGGTAGAGGGAAGTGGACGCTTTTAAAATTTCAGCGCCGATTGGTATCGAATTCCAGTATCAGGACAAATTCCTAATGACCATATATTTTCCTCTCCATATGCACCAGACACTTTGTAAGCACACTAAACTTTTTGGAAAACATTGTGCGATTCGGATTCACACAAGTGAGAGGCTTTACTAACCACGTAAAGGACGCACTCTTCTCTCCTTATGTACCAGTCACTTTCTTATAAACACTCAATGTTTCTGGAAATACAGTATATTTTTTAGCGTGCTTCATGCAGGTGAGTGGGCTTAACAAACCACCTGTCGGACACACGCTTTCCTCTCCTTGTGGACCAGATAGTTTCTTAAACCCTCCATGTCTCTGGAAATACAGTGCCTATTTCAGTGTGCATCTTGCAGGTTAGTGGGCTTGACAAACCACCTGTAGGATGCACTGTTCACTCAGAATTGCTACATAACTTTCTGATTTGATTACTATCTATGAAACAGACTTGGTAGCATGTCCTGAATCAGAATGTGTATACATTTAATGTGTTCTTTAGTAATTTTTGCTCATGTTTTGAGATCATTTTAATTAACAGGGCTCGCTGTGCTGCAGTCTCCACCCTCAAAGATTGGAAACGTTCTTTGTAGGCAGTAATATGAGAGAAGCCAAGGCCTTTGCTAGACTGATATCCTGCAAAACCAGTCTGTTTCCACTCCCAGTTGAGTATAAATTAAAGCAGACATATGCAAGCTAACGTGCCCTCCTCTGTGCTCTGCTGATACATGTACAAACTCTGTTGGCATTATAAAATGAGCGTGAGCAATAACGGTTTGGGAGGTTCCGGGTGTGGAGAGTTGCCAGACTTGTGTTGTTTTTGTCTTTGCATTTTTTCTGTTTTTCTACAGGGCTTGTATCTGCATGTGGCTGATGACAGTTTGTTTGCAGTCAGTGAATGCAGTCGTAAATGACACAGTTACATGTTTATTTGATGAACACAGAAACCTTGTCAAGTAAGTTACAGCAGAATCATACAAATCAAATGTTCTGTTAGTTGTTTTTTGGACATTAAGTGAGCTCTATACACAGCTAGTGTTTTTCAGCCAGTGATAAACTTTCGGTGAAAGCTTAATGTGAGTCTTTTCAATTTCAAAAGGCTCTTTTTAACAGTCTCGATGTTGTAATGTAACTCCAATACATTTAGTTAAATAGACTTAACCATTCATTTAGTTGTTCAAGCATAAAATGACATGAAAGACAGTGTAAACACAAGTGCCATCAGGATCAGCAGGTGAGCGCAGAAACTCCACTGAAAATTCTGGGGTATAATATTTTATAGACATGGAAAATGTATTTGCAGTGCTTCTTGTCCGGACCTAGATATGCTTTATATCATTTATCTTTCAGGTAGTGAAAATAACAATTTTGTAAAGAAATCAGACCTTAAATGTACTGTTTTTATAATGGAAAGAGAGTTCACCAGAAGCACCAAGGCTGGCTGGCTGAAATTAAAAGGCCGTGTGCATATAGCCCTTTGAATATTAAATATTTATATAGAAAAACCTAGTGAAAAGTTCAGGGTGTCCGCTGGGTCTTATAAAGTCTTAAAATGTCCTAAATTTCAAAGCCTAAATTTTAGGCCTTAAAAAGCCTTTAATTCACTGACATAATATGTTGTAGGTCGTAAATCATTTTAAACTGGTCTTAATTTTGCTTTATTCAATTCATGTTTATTTCTATAGCACTTTTTATAATGTAGATTGTGTCAAAGCAGCTTAACATAGTTCTAGTAAAATTCTTGTCCAAGTAAAGCTACTCAATTTGGGCCAACATCCATCCAATGACCAACAAAATCTCTCTTATTTTTTATTTTAAGTTTTTTTTTTATTATTGCAGATAAAATTCACAACAGCTTAAGACATTTTTACAGCAAATTCCCTAGATAAAAAAAATATTTAAAAAATAATAATAAAAACTAAAAACAATTACACGGTTTCTCATGATAATACCCGGCCATTAGAAAAAAAAAAAAACCATAACCCAGTACACTGCCTGACAGAAGTCTTGTCGTCTATTCAAGTTTTAGAAACAACAAATAATAACTTGACTTCTAGTTGATCATTTTGGTATCAGAAGTGGCTTAAATTAAAGGCAAAGGCCTCTAGATTACACTTATTTTACCAAAATAAAATATGACCATGCCATGTTATTATTGTGTCTGACTCCCATGAGGACTGCATCCATACATCTCTGACTCAATGACTCAAATCACTTATATGACTTTATAGTCTTCTGGAATGGCAAAGAAAGGGTTCTTAGTGGACTCACAGCGTTCATCAAGATTACTTGGATTCATCTTCAATGCCTTCTCCATCTTACCCCAGACATGCTCAATAATGTTCTTGTCTGGTAATTGGGATGGCCAGTCCCTGAGCACATTGACCTTCTTTGCTTTCAAGAACTTTGATCCTGCTGAAGAGTTTTCTCTCCTGTGTTTTGTAATGTAATGGGCAGCACAAATGTCTTGATACCTCAGGCTGTTGATGTTGCCATCCACTCTGCAGATCTCTCGCACACCCCCATACTGAATGTTAACCCCAAACCAGGATTTATCATTTACCAAACTTGACTGATTTCTATGAGAATCTTGGGTCCATGTGGGTTTCAGTAGGTCTTCTGCAGTATTTGTGATGATTGGGATGCAGTTCAACAGATGATTCATCAGACAAATCTAAGCCACTTTTCCAATCGATCAACTAGAAGTCAAGTTATTATTTGTTGCTTTTACAACTGGGATTAACGACAAGACTTTTGTCAGGTAGTGTATAACTCTGAAATTTCATGCTTAATGGTCTTAAATTGGACTTAATAAAACCTGCAGAAACCCTGAAAAGTGTAGACTGAGGCATCAAGTAAATGAAAACAATCGCTTGGAGATCCTAGTGCATTGCACATTTAAAATAACCCCATGCTATTGTTTATTTATAAAACATGTAAAATAAAATAAGGATCAGTTACTTAAAATAAAAAGCAAATATTTTGTTGCCAATCATGAGAGGATGATCACTGCTGATCAATTAAAACTTCAAGCATTACCGCAGTTCATTATGCTCATTAATGTTTTTGATCTAACATTCCCTTCGTGGCATCAAATTAAAACGTGCAAATTATACCAAATCATAAAAATGGCATGTAGACAGGAATAAAAAATAAAAAGTTGTTCATAATTGTCATGCTGCAAGACACTTTTTCTTGTCTTATGAATTATCCATGTGCTTTATTATAATGTGCAATCTGCAATTCTTGGTATACTTATTTAATTGCATGTGAGTGGAAGCAGATGTGTGGGAAATGTAGACATCTTGAAGAGTCCGTGCTGTTAGGGCAGCTGTGTGTAGTAAATCATGGCGATCACTAATGTGAAAAACTGTAGGACAGATTGAAAAGTGCATCAGAAGAGTGAATATTAGTGTTTTATATAAAAATAACTGACTTAAATTACATTAAACTGAATTAAAACACCAAATTGAATGTCATATAACTTAAAAAAAGGAACAGTTTAAGTACTAGAATATAATGCATTTTAGTGAGTAAAGTAAGATTTTGTCATGATACTGATTTAAAGTGTAAATATTATTAGCAAAGTGTAGATAAAGTGTCTCATCACAGCAAAAAAAAAAAAAAAAAAGAATTTATTCGATACAGTGTATTTTACGTCTTACATACACTCACTGGCCACTTTATTAGGTATACCTTATTAGTACCGGGTTGGACCCCCTTTTGCCATCAGAACTGCTTTAATCCTCCGTGGCATAGATTCAACAATGAACTGGAAATATTCCTCAGAGATTTTGGTTCAAATTAACATGATAGCATCACGCAGTTGCAGCAGATTTGTCAAGTGCCCTTCTATGATGTGAATCTCCCGTTCCACCACATCCCAAAGGTGCTCTATTGATTGAGCTCTGGAGACTGTGGAGGCCATTTGAGTACAGTGAACTCATTGTCATGTTCAAGAAACCAGTCTGAGATGACTCGCACTTTATGACTTTATGGTGTGTTATGCCGCTGGAAATAGCCATCAGAAGATGGGTACACTGTGGTCATACAGGGATGGACATGGTCAGCAACAATACTCAGGTAGGCTGTGGAAAATCTTCCCCACACCATTACACCACCACCACCAACCTGAACCGTTGATACAAGTCAGGATGGATCCATGCTTTCATGTTGTTGCTTGCCAAATTCTGACGCTACCATCTGAATGTTTCAGCAGAATTCGAGACTCATCAGACCAGGCAATGTTTTTCCAATCTTCTATTGTCCAATTTTGGTGAGCCTGTGTGAATTGTAGCCTCAGTTTCCTGTTCTTAGCTGACAGGAGTGGCGCCCGGTGTGGTCTTCTGCTGCTGTAGCCCATCCGTCTCAAGGGTGGATGTGTTGTGCTTGTGCATTAAGACATGCTCTCCTGCAGACCTCGGTTGTAACGAGTGGTTCTTTGAGTTACTGTTGCCTTTCTATCAGTTGGAACCAGTCTGGCCATTCTCCTCTGACCTCTGGCATCAACAAGGCATTTGCGCCCACAGAACTGCTGCTCACTGGATATTTTCTCTTTTTAGACCATTCTCTCCAAACCCTAGATATGGTTGTACGTAAAAATCCCAGTAGATCAGCAGTTTCTGAAATACTTAGACCAGCCCGTCTGGCACCAACAACCATGCCACGTTCAAAGTCACTTAAATCACCTTTCCTCCCCATTCTAATGCTCTGTTTGAACTGCAGCAGATCGTCTTGACCATCTCTACATGCATAAAGGCATGAGTTGCTGCCATATGATTGGCTGATTATAAATTTGTGTTAATGAGCAGTTGCAAAGGTGTGCCGGAATAAAGTGGTCGGTGAGTGTAGGTCTTAATTACATATATTATGATATTTACATTTTTATTTTATTTATTGGTGAATCTATTACAGCAGGAAATATTCAGTTGAAATATATAAAATAACTGGTATTATTAGTTATGTTTATTTTTTTATTTATATTGTATGTGCCCTCTATTTTTAAGACAAAACTGGTGAATTATTTGGCAAATTCAATTGAATTTTTCCCCCCCACAAATAAAGCTATTATTGCTGATATGGCGTTAAATAATAAATATATATTAAAGCAATTTGAACTAAAGTAAAATAAATCTAAATATTTTAAATACAAAGAGCATGTCCAGTACAATTTGTAGAGGTCACAAATAACTCAATTATATGACTTACCACCAACATGAGAACGGAGAAACCGTACCAGCTCACAGCCCAGGTATAACGGCTTAACACCGATTCAATGTACTGGAAGCAACCCTGAAGAATCAAAACAACATGCAGAAAACAACTAAATGTGAGAAGCTTTTAAATGTTTCTGATTCCCCAGAGCAAGGAGAGGTCAGAGAGATGCAGCTCATGTTAGGAGTTTTAAAAATGGTCCATCACAAAAAAAAGTATAATAACAAAAATATGCTTTAGTTAAAAAATAACACATTACATTAATTCATCTTGCTATGATCTGAACTGACCAGAAATCATGAAAAATTTATACTAATGTATAAGTAAATCTTTGTATGCCTGATTATTATTAAAGGTCCCATAAAATGCTTTGAAATGCGCATTTTTATTCAACGTTGGATCTCAACTGAAACATGAAGAGAGGGTGGGACAAAGTTAAGCTCCTCCCCTTTAAAAAACAACCAATAGCGTTTTGTTTTTATCACAGCTCTGCCATTGAGAGTGTTTTAGCTCTAGTGCATCAAATAAAACAAATGAGAAACGTTGTGAAGGGGGCGGAGCATGTCAGATACTAGACAGCATTTGATTGGTTATGATGTGATGAAAAACTATAGTGAGGAGATATGAATAAAACCGTTGATCCATTTAGGCAGAAGTAACAAACTGCAAGCTTTACATGTTTAGATTAATTTTATATCTTCTAAACACACATTTTGTTTCTGTTTCAGAGCACACTAGCTTATAGATAACCTAAAAACAAACAATACTGATACTATCATCTAAAAAACTTTAATTTTATGTGACCTTTATCAAAGTTATGCAATTATATACATTATAAATGAATACTGTATACTCTTGATTTTACAAGTTACCTAGAGTTTATTATTATTATTTTTAATCCATTAAGCGGATCTTTGGATCTGGCTGGAGCACTTTTAGCTTAGCTTAGCATAAATTATTGAATCGGATTAGACCATTAGCATGTCAGTAAACCTTTCCTATTTAAAGTCTCCTATTGAAAGACTGTAGTAACATCTTGTGCCAAGACCTACAGTAAATGAAAAGTTGCTATTTTCTAGGCTGATATGTGTAGGAACTATACTCTCATTCTGGTGTAATAATCATGGAACCTTGCTGTGGTAACATGGCTGCAGCAGGTGCAGTGATTTTAAGCAGCACTTTCTCGAGTTGTTGATTCATTGCACCTGCTGGAGCCATCTTACGGCTGTTCCTTTAAATTATGGCAGAATATATAGTAGCTAGAGTATATAGTTCCATGCCATATCAACCTAGAAAATAGCTGCTTTCATTTTCCATTTGAATTATTACACAATGTAACTACAGAAGAGTCAAGCTTTAAATAGGAATATTATCAAAACTCTTTATCCTAACTCATCTTAAACTTTTTTTTCAGATTAAGTGATGTATGCTAAGCTGAGAGTGCTTCAAGCACACCCGGAGATCATCTCAATGGATAAATAAATGGCTATTTAACTCTAGAGGAGTTGCTATTTAAATTCTTTCCTTTAATTTCCTCTTTGTGTCGTGACAGCAGCTGATTTACAGTACACTCTGTTGTCTTGTTTAAATCAGGTGGCATATTATGAGGCTCTAGATGTTACCTGTGTGAACATGCTGCTCGTCACGCCAGCTTTACAGCCTATAGGATCTACCACCTCAAAGTTACTACTCTGTCTCTTGCAGCAGCCGAGGGGCCATAGAGATGCAGCGCCAAACAACTGCCTGTAGGTGGAGTTATACTGTATCCAGTCCGTCGGGCCGTCAGCTCCACAGCACTGGACCTGGTGGAGGAGAAGGTGTTGAATTTTAAATTGTTGTTTAGTGTCTGTACACTCTCAGAAATAAATGTACGAGAGCTGTCACTGAGGTGTTACCTTTTCAAAAAGCACCAACCCAGGCTCATTCTAAAAACATATCTCTATATACATTTGTGGAGAGCGCCAAATACATCCCAGGAGCTACATCTTTTTGCAGTTTTTGTTTTCGCGAATCCACCAGAGGCAGCTGTGTATGCTTTTTGAGATCTCAAATTTTTGTCGCTAGTGCCATTTGTGCCTGCTGAGGCTGCTGTCAGCTGTCTGTCGATTGACTCACTGACCCACCCTCCTGCTTCCCTAAACCCAACCAATAGTGCTTTTAAAAGCCCTGATTGACCCACCAACCAACTTCCTTAAACCTTAAAGCAATCCAGAAAAAGAAAAGCCCTCGCCTGATTTTTACCACATTTTCGGATTTTACCACATTCTCACCCTGTTATTTACTTGTTTGCTTTATTTTTTGTTTTTTGTTTTTCCTACTTTCTGGAACCATTCTTTGCCAGACTCGAACTCCGTTGTAGCGGTAAACTCCTTTCTGCATCTTAAGTTTGCTGACATCCAGTTAGTTCGATGTACAGTGAGCTACTGGACAAACTGGTAACAGCGAGAAAGCCGTCTGTATGGAGGTAAGCGGTCAGCTGGTAAACGCGAAAAGGAACAGTGTCATACCTCCCTGTAGCATTCCTTTAATATACGAAATGCAGCCATATGTACTTCTGGCTACATAATTTGCGATCTCCTGAAATGTATATAGGGCAATGTTTTCAAAATGTTTCAAAGTACACATAAAGGGGTCATATTGGTACCTCAAAGGCAGGAGTGTCCAAACTCGGTCCTGGAGGGCCGATGTCATGCACAGTTTAGCTCCAACTTGCTTCAACACACCTGCAGGAAGTTTCTAGTATATCTACAAGAGCTTGATTAGCTGGTTCAGGTGTGTTTGATTAGAGTTGGAGCTAAACTCTCCAGGACAGTGTTTGGATACCCCTGCTCAAATAATAATAATATAAATAATAATAATAATAATAATAATACATTTTATTTGTATAGCACTTTTCCTAATACATGCAACTCAAAGCGCTTCACAAACAACAAACAGGCATTGTAAAATAAACCAAATAAAAAATGTATAGAGAAATAAAGCAAAATAAACAACAAAAATATATTCAGATAAAAGCATACACATATATCTGCACAATCATGCACTAAAGTCCTTACATATGCATATTTATGCACACACCATACATACATGCATACATACATAAACCTATACAATATACACACCATCCATACACTTCACAAACTGTTATATTCATACGCAATTTTAAAAAGGTGTGTCTTAACGCTTTTTTAAAACATGAATGCTGGGGGATTTCATTAATTTGGGAGATATTTCCAAACTTTTGTAGCATAGTTATAAAAAGAAGTGCCGCATCAAAGGTTTATATTGGTACCTAAAGATTTCAAGAGGTAGACTTTTGTACTTTTTACGCATTAATATGTACTCTTGAGATATAAATAACGACCCTTTAGTTACAAATGTATACCTTTTGAAAAGGTACCTCCCCAGTGACAGCTCTCATACCTTTATTCCTGAGAGTATAATAATAATAATAATAATGATTTTTTAACTTTTATTTTTCTTGGTCTACACTGCAAATCCAATAAGAACCATTTGTTTGGTTAATAAAGTAAGTCATATAATGTATCTAAGACCGAAAATATAACTTTACAAACTGTGTTGTACATAAACCATAGGATTTTTAAATGTTTTATAATGTACTTTTCCTGCTCACCAAGGCTGCATTTATTTAATCAGAAATACAGTACAAATTGTAAAATATTGAAATGTTATTGCACTATAGAATAACTGTTCAAAAGTAGATTATCATTTAATTTAATCATTTATTCCAGTGATTTTAATAATGAAGTTTTCAGATTTATTACTTCAGTCTTCAGAGTCATAAGATCCTTCAGAAATCACTCTAATATTATTTATTAATAATAATAATAATAATAATAATAATAATAGTAATGAAAGCAATAATGACTACATAAAATAAGAAAGCATTTATTATTTTTTTTACAACTAATAAGTGGTGCCTTGATGAACAGAATCATTTTCTTAAAAAAAAAAAAAAAAAAAACTGACCCCCAACTTTAGAGCTGTGGTGTGAGTTAACAAATAGACTGAACGATGAGGTAAAAAAAAAATCTGTGGAAATCTGTGAATTTTTGCATGTGAAAATTCCATGTGAGCTGATTATCCTGTCAGACTTTTGCAGCAGTTATTCCTAAAGGTTTATGAAACTGGTTTTTCCACGTCAGGATTTTGTTTGCAGCAAGGCGTGTTATATCAGGTCTGAGTTGAAATTGATTAGTTTTCTTCTTTAATATTACGCACAGTTGAAGTCAACATTTTTTGGAGTTTTCTTTATTTTTTTGTATTTCCAAAGTGCTGTTTAATGGAGAAACATTTTTCAACACTTTTAAAGATAATATTGTTAATAACTCATTTTTAATAACTCATTTATTTTGTATTTGCCATGATGACAGACAGTACATAATATTTATATATTATATTATACTAATTATGGTGCAGGATAGTAGTATTTATTTTAAAGTGCAATTTAAAGGCCTAATTGGGTTAATTAGGTTGACTAGGCAAATTAGGATAATTAGGCAAGTCACTGGGCAACAGTGGTTTGTTCTGCAGCTTATATATATATATATATCAAGGGGGTTAAAAATATACAGTGCTCAACATATATAAGTCTTTTAAATTCATATTTTTAATAGAAAGCTTTACAATATTTTATATGTGCATATACATTAGATTATTCAGTACTGAAGCCAAATTTGGAGCTTATCTAACAAAATACCTTACGGAAACAGTCCAAAAACTAGTACAGCCAAATTTATGTTAGAGAAAAATATTAAATACAAATTAAAATATAAAAAAACAGTAAAACTAAAGAGAAGCAAAACAATTTAAAAATTTTGTTGAAAATTTGTAGGTTGTAAATGTTTTTTGCAAGTATTGTGCTTGAATTTTATTGTATTATCTTTCAATCTCTAAATATGTTTGGTGACTAAAATATTATTTTAATAAATATATCTATTTAATAAATCTGTTTTGTTTAAATGCACCAAAATACATTCCCTAAATTCACAGAAAATTGGGGTCAAAATTCAAAATGGGGTGTACTTAATTAGCATTTTTGAAAAATAAACTGCATGCTAAAAAGTGTATATATACTCGGTTCAGGAGGGCCGGTGTCCTGCAGAATTGAGCTCCAACTTGTCTCAACACACCTGCACAGATGTTTCTAGAAAGCCCAGTAAGAGCTTGATTAGCTAGCCTAGGTGTGTCTGATTAGGGATGGAACTAAACTTTGCAGGACACTGGCCCTCCAAGACTGAGGAGCCATTTTTAGCCATTTTTGTGATAAGATTTTAATAGTAAAAAAAAAAACTAAACTAATTTCATTCACAATCCATCCAACTAATCTTTAAAAAAAAAAAAAATTATATGAATTGAGTATTGTGAATCAGTGGGAGTTTCACTGTGAAATGTTATTTGAACAGGCACTAGATCTCTTAACTAGCTCAGAGCGCTCATCATCTGACAGCTGTTTCAGCCAGACAGCAGGATCGCGGAGGAAGCCGCGTTTCGTTATTTGTTGTATTACTACTTCTCTCCCCCCCCCCCTCCCCCACCCCCCAATGTTGTCAAAATTCTCACTCCTGCAAACTCTAGCTGCCTCTCCTCTGATCGCTGGCTGACTGCTGTCACTACAATCTCTGTGATTGTGAACAACAGCAAGAAAAGAATAAGCGGACCATTTAAATTATTACATTAAAAAGAGAGAAGAAGCAGATTGGTTTGACAGTACCAGGAAAATATCTCACAATCGTGGGGCTAAACATTGGCTGTCGATATGCAGAGGAATGATCTGCTCTTAACCAATAAGCAAGGTAAGCAGCCGCTTAGGGCCCCCATGAATACTAGAACGTTCCTTCCATACTACACTTGTGCGAGGTGCAAGCACTTTAATCAATACATTGCCATCCAGTGTTGCCAACTTAGCAACTTTTCAGACCAAATTTTCAAAAAAGCAACTAGCTAATGTTTTTAGGTATTACTGGAGATTTTTTAGAGACTCTCATGTGTCCGTGCTGTACCGTTCCAAACGTTACTCTACGCAACAAGCTGCGGCTGATGCCGTCTCTACCCCACCCAAGAGCACTCAAAGGCGGCAAAGTGCCACACCGTTATCTCTCACACCTGCAGCATTAAGTCCGCCCCTGTATAGACCTTAGAATTGTTTTTTTTTTTTTTAACTGCTTTTACTCCAACCAAACTAGAATAAACAGGAGCTTCTGAAGAAAAAAATATTATAGAAAATACTACGAAAATTTCCTTGCTCTGATAAACACCAATTGGAATTATTTGAAAAACAAACATTTTCACAGGAGGGCTAATCATTTTAATTAACTGTAAGTATGTGCATCAGTTTTACAAACAACTCTTGGACAGGTGACAGGGTGTTTGTTGAGGTCATCGCTCATGTTCTGCTTACCTGAGTCATCACGTTGTTCCATGTCATTGTAATCTGCTGTCCTTGTGTGCTGCTGTCTGCATAATACTGGAGCATCTGTTTCTTTACAAGGTTGCTGTTCCCAACCAGCTATATTAAAGCAAATAGTGTTTTAAAAAAAGGGAAAGGCAGAATTGCAGAAGTGTTGGTCCAGAACTGAGTACCTGTATGCGACTTTTGTTATCACCATCTTTAACATAACATTATTTGCTTTATTTTACAGCATTGAGAGGCTGGCTGAACTCACATAATCCCGGTTGGTTGCTGATGTGATGGCAGACGCGGACTCAAACAAAAAGATGATGAACATTATGATAAGGTACTGTGGGAAGATGAGAGGTAATATAGTTATGTTAAGAATTAAGTCATATTTAGTGTTGGAAAAAATTATATAGTACAATCTAAAGTCACTTTTAAAGAAAAAAAGCTAGCTAAAAATGTGTTAGTTTTAGCTTTTAAGGAAAATAATGTGAAAGTGTGTGTTATGTTATTTTTGCACATTATCATTTTAAATAGTAAAATAGGTTTAAAATGATATTATATTTTATACCCAACATTGGTCATAACTCATTTTAATGTGTATTTGATGCTCTCACTAAAACTGATTTTGGATCAGTAGTGATTAATCGGGTGATATTGGTAGGTAACATGGTAGGATTGTAGGCTAGATTTATCAAAATCTTCTAAAACGTACCACCAGCATGAGTGCACGGCTCCTTTTCAGGGCAGCGAAGATGCCGAAGATGCATGTGAGGAAGAACGCAAAGCCTGTAAATATGGCAATCCAGGCTCCAGCAAAGATGTCGTCTTTCCCTGATACACCAGAAATCGGGTAGAGTTTATATCCATCCACTGCGACCCAAATGGCCACCGCAGATAACGCCAGTCCTGCTGCCTACAGATGGAAAATGCATATTTTAAGCATGGAAAATAACATTGTAGATAGAATTTGTTGAGTCAACTTAAAAAAAAAACCTGGTAACACTATATTTTGATGGTCCATTTGGTAATTAGTAGTCTGTCTTCTTAATATCTGTTGATACAGACATTCAGCAGACATTTAACTGACTATAAGAAACTTTGCAAGTACATGTTAACTTACCCTAACCCCAACCTAACAGTCTACTTATAATCTAATGAGAACTAGTTGGCATGTAGATGCAATGTAACTTAAACTCAACAAACGGACCATCAAAATAAAGTGCGACCAAAAATGTTGTTACTCCATTGATTAAATTATTTTTGTTGTCTTGACAGAATATTTCTTGGTAAAATTATTTATAATTTGAGTCCAATTAACTTCAAACTTTTTTTAAAAGTCCAGGTAATAAATTTCCTCGAGTTAAGAAACTTAAAGTCAAGTCAACCTAAGTGAAATTGTTTACTGGGAAATATATTAAAACTTGAATCGATGAGCCATTTAAACAAAAGCAAATTTGCTAGCCTATGGCTTAAAATCTTGAGACAACAAAAACGACTTGCTTCCATTTATTTAGAATTTAACACAAAAGGAAAATGCACAAAAGCATGCACATAAATCTCTAATGGGTGCTCAGCCAACTCCACCCAAACATATATATATATATATATATATATATATATATATATATATATATAATTCTACATTTTATGCCTATTAAAAAAGCAAACATAATCTTTGTATTATCTAATTTCAGACTTACAGCAGCAATTGCATTCAAGCCAACAACTGTAACCATCAAACATGTCACGGCTCCCATGGCTGTTAAATATTTCTGGCCTGGTCACTCTCTGCTGAAGAAAAACAACAGCAATGGTCGTGAAGGACATCTTACATCAGATTATTCATAAAGGTAAATCTTAGAAAATAAAATGAAAATAACAATAAATAGATAAATAAATAGGTATATAAGCAAAAAAAACATTTTGAACATGTACCACATATAATGCTATTTACATTTGATTATTTCTAAGCTAATGCATAAAGTAAAAGTAAAAAAACATATTTAATTCAGCTTTGTGAGAATTAAGTCAAATCCCAGTTCTGAATATGAAACTGAACGTAAATGTAGTCAACAATAAATAGACATATAAACAAATAAAAATATCGTTTTAACATAAATATGCTTTTTTTTCTAAATGAATGCACACTGTAAAAGGGAAAATTTAATCTTAATTTAGAATTGTTCAAAATATTTAGGACCAACCTCAGTTCTTTAAAAAAAACAAACACTGAATATTGGAAATTAAATCAACAATAAATAGACATATAAACTAAAAAACATCGAAAAAAATATGTGTTTAACACATCCATAAACTTTCTCTAAATTATCGCATGAAGTAAAAGTAACAATTTTACATTAATTTAGCTCCGTAAAAATTATTTAAGACAAATCTCAGTTCTTAAAAAAAAACTTACAGTGAATATTGTAAATGAAATTAACAATAAACAATACATTTTTAGAGCAAACGTGTAAGCAAAAGCAAAGTGAAGCAAACACAAATAGAAACAATCTGCTCCAAGACCCACCTGTTCCAGTCTGAGATTGCACCTGCTTTCCCTCTACCTGCTTCTATTCGCTTCATTTACTTTTGTGGACACTTTTAATGACGTCAGACCTGTTTGTCATCTATTCTTTTTTTTTTTTTTTTTTGGTTATACAGAACTCATAAGTTGGGATGGGCAACTTCACTCCCTGCATTTTCATTGCCAAGCACTTTCAGTTATTCTGAACGGCATTTTATTGAAATGATTACAATATTAGCCTGGGAGTGTCTATACTTAAGCAAACAGTGACAGCTGCTATTGCTATTCCCCAAAACATCTAAATGTACATATGAACAAAGCATATAATTACTGCTAATTGGATGCAAACATGATATATCTTTGAATGAAGCGTTTTAAATTAGCTTCAAAAGTATTATTCAAGAGCGTTCACAGAAGTATTCACATTTTTAAAAAGTCTTCATTAGTCAAGGTTGATCAAATCTCCTACATTTCCATGACATCTGAATGCTGACCCCTGCTGGGCACTGCTATCCCTCACACCCATATACAGCAATACACACATTTCATTCATTCATCTTCCTTTGGCTTAATTCCTTTATTTATCAGGAGTTGCCACAACGGAATGAACCACTAACTTATCCAGCATATGTTTTATGCAGTGGATGCTGAGGAATCTAGCACTGGGAAATACCCATACACTTTTGCATCCACACACACTCATACACAGGCCAATGTAGCTTATTCAGTTCACCTATAGCTCATGTCTTTGGACTGTGGGGGAAACTGGAGCACTCAGAGTAAACCCACGCCAACATAAGGTGGAAAAGGCAAACTCCACACAGGGACTCGAACCAGCAGCCTTCTTGATGTGAGGCGACAGTGCTAACCACTGAGCCACAGTGCTGCCCAATACACACAATATTTACCTTTTAATCCAAAGTACTGACTAGGTTTAGCATCACTGTAACTATTTCTAATACTTTTTGTTGATCAAACCCGAGTCATCTAATGAGCGCAGATCATGATTAAGACTTGGACAATGAACAGGTTTGACTTGGATCAGCAAGTAATCATTCGTCAACCGAATAGCAACATCCTGAAAACATGTAAAACATCTGAGCCCCTGCTTAAAACTGCATTCAGATGCTTAGCTTAAAATTGCATTGAAATGTTTAGCAACCACATAGCAATGTGCTAACAAACGCTCAATACATTCTTGCACTGCCAGCATCACTTACATTGTCGGAATTGCATTTTAATATTTAATATTTGTCATGAAATACACTGAGATAGCACATCCAAAAGTGAAAATTCCCCTAATTTACCCACCCTTCAGTTGTCACCAATCTGTTCAATTTTGAAAATAAGATCTTTTTTTTTTATTTGTGGGAAAGCGGTGCCCATTGGCATCCATAGTCAGTGCTTACTGGTTTCTAACATTCTTCAAATGTCCTCTTTAGTGTTATTCACAGTGGCAGGTCCATGACTGTGGAAGAGTTTGCCTTTTTAAATCCTCTATTTTCTTTATCCTACTAAAGACCTACTACTTTTTAAGACATAAAAAACATAAAAAGCCATGTCCAACTTAAAAAGTTAGTACATCAGTTGCTACCTGTTTTCTTATGGTCATAAACATATAGGCTATATACCCTTACTGTGTATGGGTTTAGTAACCAATAAAGCCACTTAACTGTAATTATTACTTTTATATAAATATTTTTATTTCGTATTTGTATAGTTAAAAAAAGTCAACAATGCACATAAACTGTGTTTGTGTGTGTGTATATGTGTGTATGTATATATATGTACATGTTTTTTAAAGAAAATTATTCCGTTTAATAAGGTGTCATTTATTTAAAAAAAAATTGTTAAATTGTTACAAATTTATTACACTTTTAAATAAATGCTTTCTTATTGTATGTAGTTTCAAATATAGTGATAATTCCAGTCATTATTGATTTTATTACTATTAATAATAATAATAATAATAATAATATTAATGTGATTTCTGAAGCAGGGCGCAGTAGGTAGTGCTGTTGCCTCACAGCAAGACGGTCGCTGGTTCGAGCCTCGGCTGAGTCAGTTGGCGTTTCTGTGTGGAGTTTGCATGTTCTCCCTGTGTTCGCGTGGGTTTCCTCTGGGTGCTCCGGTTTCCCCCACAGTCCAAAGACATGCGGTACAGGTGAATTGGGTAAACTAAATTGTCCGTAGTGTGTGAGTGTGTATGGATGTTTCTCAGAGATGGGTTGCAGCTGGAATTGCATTCGCTGCGTAAAAACATATGCTGGATAAGTTGGTGGTTCATTCTGCCGTGGCGACTCCAGATTAATAAAGAGACTAAAGAGAATAAAGCGACTAAGCCAAAAAGAAAATGAATGAATGAATGATTTCTCAAGGATCATGCGACTCTAAAAACTCGAGTAATGAAGCTAAAAATTATCTTTAAAATCACTGGAATAAATGATTCAGTGAAATGAAAAACTACTTTTGAACAGTTATTATATATTACAATAACATTTCACAATTGTCCTTTTTGTACGTATTTTGATTTAATAAATGCAGCCTTGGTGAGCAGGAGAAGCTTATTTTAAAACATTTAAAAATCCTACTGACCCCAAACTTCTGACCGGTGTATAAATATATATGAATGATATATACAACAATTCTGTCTGGTTCTTGAATCTGATTGGCTGATAGCCGTGCGATATTTTGCCAGTAACATCACACATACAGCAAGCAACAAGCAGAGACACTACAATTTGACATATTACTGCTGTTAGACAACAAAATGTACATTTGAGGCTTTTTTTTTTAGTTGAGAATGTAGTTGTTTAAATTGCAACTATGCAGTTTATTTGTAAGAATAGTGCATATTTTTAAATATTTACAATTTCTGAAAGCTCGTCGGGGCCAAAGACAGTTGATGTTGTCTATCCACAAGATGGCGCCAGAACCGCATAATAAGCCCTTGCTCAGTGTGTTCTCTTGAGCGTGAATAAAAAGCTGAAAAACGGAAGCCTCATGGTTTTTAGGGTGGACCGGCTAGAGTCAATAAGAAGCTGTGAATAAGAAGCTGGATTCAGCTTTGTCCCTCCTTATCGCAAACCCAACAGCAGTCTGGTGAGAGATCTCTGTAGACGGATGGCATTTCATGTCACATTCAGCCTTATAATCTTAAAATGTGAGCAAAATTTGCTGTTTTGTCATCACCTTAAAGGGGGTCACACACCAGAAGCGCCACTCGACATTACGCTATAGATTCAATTCAATTCAATTCAGCTTTATTTGTATAGTGCTTTTACAATGTAGATTGTGTCAAAGCAGCTTCACATAAATGGTCATAGTAATTGGAACAGTGTGGTTCAGGTTTTAGTGTTTAAGTTCAGTTCAGTTCAGTTTAGCTCTGTTCAGTGTGATTTAATCATTACTGAGAGTTCAAACACTGAAGAGCAAATTCATCGATGCGTAGCTCTACCAATCCTGAACCATGCGAGGCAGTGGCGACAGCGGAGAGGGAAAAAAAACTTCACCTGATGGGAGTGAAGAAAAAAAACCTTGAGAGAACCAGACTCAGTTGGGCACGACCATTTTAATTTCTCCGCTGGCCAAAAGTCTTGTGCAGAACTTCATTCGCCGTGGTTTATGCTGGAAGATGGCCTCAATGAAGACTCGTCTGTCCCTGGAGCGTCGCTGGAATCAGACTCATGTTCTCCACTCCCCACGACCATCAGCGCAGCAGCAGCTCAGGATATGGCCTGGTCCCGGATATGGAATCCTTGGGATCATCACGTCGCTGGTCTTGGATCCAATCAGTGACTCCGCCTAATCTGAGGACCTCGGGATGAGTATCCCCAGGTGAAAATAGAGAATAAAGAGAATAATTAGCGTAGCTGCTGTTCATAGTGTATATAAGCAAGATGTAGAAGCCAGTGTGGAACCTGCTAGGTGATGCACTGAGTGTATGCTTTACTAAACAGATAGGTCTTTAATCTAGTTTTGAACTGGGAGAGTGTGTCTGAGCCTCGGACATTACCAGGAAGGCTATTCCAGAGTGTAGGAGCCATGAAAGAGAAGGCTCGACCTCCTTTACTTGATTTTGCTATTCTAGGTACTACCAGAAGCCCTGAATTTTGAGATCTTAAGGAGCGAGTTGGTTCGTAGCGAGACAGAAGGTTGGTTAGATAAACAGGAGCTAGATTATTTAGAGCTTTATAGGTGAGAAGTAATATTTTAAATTCTATAGAGAATCATTCAAATACTAGCTCTAAAGTGACGTTGGTGAATTAGTAACGTCTTCTGCTGTTTTGACGTCAGCTGCAGATGTGAATGAATGGCGGAAGAAAGTAGTTCCTAATACAAAAGGGTTTTAGACTCTCTGTGTTTGATTTTCTTTTTTAAATACAAGATTGTGCCGTCAAACTGCAGCCTCGTCCCAACGCACGCCTCACACCAGTGCTGATATACAGCCATAGCACACTGCTACTCATGTGATATTGCTCATATACACACACACAATTCTGAAGTGTTATTGTTTACTCTTTATTGTTTATTCTTTGATATTTTAAACATACCCTGCTGTAAAGCATGTTTGTTAGCCTTGTGGCTGTTGTAAAAGTGCAAATATACAGTATGTAAATTTAAATAAAGTGAACTTAATCTTAAGTGTTCATCAGAAAAAGAAAAAAAAACTCATGAAGGTTTGGATCCCCTTGAGGGCGAGTAAATAGTGAGTAATTGCTAGTAGATGAACTATGCCTTTAAAAATAATGGTGCCATGGTAAATTGGGTCAGCTTTTGTGCAATGACATGTTCTGTAGATGTTAAAGTTTTTTTGTGGAATTATTAATAAACAACCTTTATTTTTAATAATGGAGTTATTTATTTGGAGACACTGTGGGAATAAACGGGTTAATTAAGAGTTAAGCAGTACACCATGATTCTTTAACAAACTTTAACGCCCTGGAGACTGTTTACAATGTCGACTTGAAACCTTGTCAAACAAAGTGTTGACTTTAGCTCAGCTGACTGTCAAGCAAACAAACTCATCCAGGAGGACTTAAAGACGGAGGATGCACATTTGCTGCTCTTTCATTGTTGGAGAACAGGTGAGAAATGACTGCATTATATTCTGTTCGCCATTGTGTCTATTATTAAAGCTTATATGCTCGTATACCATTGGAATTAGCATTAGCAACAAAGTGTATCAAATGTAATGAAATGTTTTTAATTGCTTCAGGGTGGATTTTAAGATGGAAGGGAAGCTTTCGGATGAAAAGGTCAAATGTTTGCTTGCCCCGTGGAGATTTTCCCTCAGGGGACCTGGATTTGAAAGCAGGCTGGTGGCGGCTCTACAACTATTTGAGCATTTTCCATTAGATATAGCTGTGACTGGAGGGACCCAGGCGGCTAACGCTCAGCTGGCTTCAATAATCAGTGGTTCAGATGAGGAAATAGAAGAGGAGGTATGGGAAACTGAAGATGAAGATGATGACGAGGAAGAAGAAACTGATGAGGATGAAGAAGAATGGGAAGAAGAGGAAAGTGCAGATGAGGAACCTAGCATAAAGCTGAATGCTAATCATCAGAGCAGTAAGATTAAACGTGTACGGATATCTGAGAATACACAATACATAGGCAGTGGCATTTCTGATTTTGTACACTGTCAATTCCCAAATGTTCGCCTTTGGACAGTGCAGGGCCATCCGACTTCAAATTCCATCATAAAGCAGAGCAACCAACAGTATGAATCCACACACTATGACGTCCTGTTGATTCTCACTTCAGAACAGCACAAGGACGACCACATGTGGATCAAAATGGAACTGCACGACAGAGATCAGCCTTTTTTTCTGGTTCAAGCTGAGCAGGACTGGGACGTGCTGGAGGAGAAGCCATCAGGGCCTTGCATGACCTGTGCCTGGGAACGAATGAGAGCTCGAAAGCTGGAGTTGCAGAAGAGAAGTGAAAAAGCATTTGGAGAAACGAGCAGTTCAACAGATAGTCCTGCAAACACTCCACAGGATTCAGAGTTAGTGAAGATGAAGGATATCACCAAGGTGCTCGCTGAAGCCCTGCCGGAGCTGCGGATTAAGGCTTTCAGTCAGTTTCTAGTGGCCATTACAAAGGAACTTAAGATTCCTAAATTACTGACTGACGATTCACAGTAAGTCAACTTCTTTCTGTTTATTGTATACACTTACCGGCCACTTTATTAGGTACAACTTAATGGTACCGGGTTGGACCCCCATTGTGCCTTCAGAACTGCCTTAATCGTTCATGGCATAGATTCAACAAGGTACTGGAAATATTCCTCCGAGTATTCGGTCCATATTGACATGATAGCATCACACAGTTTCTGCAGATTTGTTGACTGCACATCCATGATGTGAATCTCCCGTTCCACTACATACCAAAGGTGCTCTGTTGGATTGAGATCTGGTGACTGTGGAGGCCATTTGAATACAGTGAATTCATTGTCTTGTTCAAGAAACCAGTCTGAGATGATTCATGCTTTATGGTGCGGCATCAACAAGGCATTTTTGTCCACAGAACTGCCGCTCACTGGATGTTTTCTCTTTTTCGGATCATTCTCTGTAAACCCTAGAGATGGTTGTGCGTGAAAATCCCAGTAGATTAGCAGTTTCTGAAATACTCAGACAAGCACGTTTGGCACCAACAACCATGCCACGTTCAAAGTCACTTAAATCACCTTTCTTCCCCATTCAAATGCTTGGTTTGAACTACAGAAGATCGTGTTCACCGTGTCCTCAGTTTCATGGTTAATATTTTGTTAATACTGGAATAGAAAACGTTTTTAACCAACCTGTATTCTGCAACCTTAATTCTAAGCCTAAGCATACGCTAATATTTAATGATTGTGTACAAGCCCTTTTCCTAATGTTGATCCTAAGCCTAACAGAAAATGTGATAGGTTGTCTGAAATGTTATTCTGGGACCAAAAAGGATTGGTCTGGGTTTGTCCCAGAACAACATTTCTGTGAGAATTATTATTTTTTTATTTAATCTCTGTCATTTATAACTTAACGCAAACGACTTTGACATGTTTCTGCTCCTGCTCCCTGCATCTGTTTGAGACGTGTAAGTAGCCTATGTAAGAGCCAGAGTTAAACTTGTTAATAAATGGGGAGAGGACATGTGGAGAACAGTTTGAGAATGGACTAGAAACCATATCAGTGGTATCCTGTAAAAGTAACTACAACCTGCTTGAGAAGGGCTGGCTGCACATGCACGCTCAGATATGCACTCTTAGACATGCATGCGTTGAATGCACAGGTGTCAAACTCCTGGAGGGCCGCAGCTTTGCACAGTTTAGTTCCAACCCTTATTAAACACACCTGATCAAACTAATGGAGTGCTTAAGGCTTGTTTAATGCCTAAAGATGGGTGTGTTGAAGCAGGGCTGAAGCAAATAGGTTTGTTGAAGCAGCACCCCTGTTTTAATGTGTACCCCTACCCCTTACGGTGATGTCTCTAGTTCTATGCTGTGTGTCTAAGGGTGCTTTCACATTTGCCTCAGTTAGTTTGGTTAAAGCATACCAGAGTTTGTTTGCCTTTTTCTTGCTGTTGGATTGGGCAGGTGTAAAAAGCAGCACTCGCACCCTGGTGTGTACCAAAAGGGAACCAAACAAGCGTACTGAGACCTGCTCAAAGTGGTGGTCTCGGTATTCCTTCAAACAAACTCTGGAGTGGTTTGTTTGTGGTGAGAATGTGAACCGACATCGAATTGACGCTAATGCAAAAAGTACTTCACTTTTTTGGACTAAACCAGCTTACTTTCGTGTGTTTTCGTGAGTTTCTCTTGCATTAATTCTGACCAATGAAAATGCAGTTCAGGAAATTCGTCTAGCCAATGTCTGATGTGGATGTTGTCACATTACTGCCTTTGGTTTGTTTTAACTGGTTCAGTTTAGAGCAATTGGTCTGATCTGGTGCAAGTTTACAGCCAGATACCATTGGCCTGCTCCAACACACCGTTTTGCAGTGTAAGCAGAGGCAGCGACCTTGTGCTGCTGGTTCAGGTGTATGTAGTTAGGACTGGAGCTAAAATTTTTCAAAACCATGTTTGTATACTCGAGACTTAACCAGCCCGATCTCATGAGGAAACATTATACGAGGTAACTATTTGATGCATTGTCAGAAAAGTAGCTTATTCATTTGCATTCATATGATTACAAAAGGTGGCGAGGCAGTGGCGCACTAGGTAGTGCTGTTGCCTCACAGCAAGAAGGTCGCTGGTTCGAATCTCGGCTCAGTTGGCGTTTCTGTGTGGAGTTTGCATGTTCTCCCTGCCTTCGCGTGGGTCTCCTCCGGGTGCTCCGGTTCCCCCACAGTCCAAAGACATGCGGTACAGGTGAATTGGGTAGGCTAAATTGTCCGTAGTGTATGAGTGTGTGTGTGGATGTTTCCCGGGGATGGGTTGCGGCTGGAAGGGCATCCGCCAGCATAAAAACTTGCTGGATAAATTGGCGGTTCATTCCGCTGTGGCGACCCCGGATTAATAAAGGGACTAAGCCGACAAGAAAATGAATGAATGAATGATTACAAAAGGCGGTTTTCCCCCAAGCCCCACCACTAAACCCAACCGTCATTGGAGCAAATTGTACTAAAATGTATGAATGAGATCATACAAATATTAATTGACCACTAAAACTTACAAATTGCCATGAGATTGCATTTGACTTGACCCTTAAACTAAAGAGCAAATTTAAAGCTCCTAATGTTATCCCTAAATGTAATTGTAAAATCTGATTGGTGTATAGAAAGCTTATTCTAGAACCTACATTCATTATTGATCGCAATTTAGACACCATGTCATGGTTTAGATACTAGTCTCTGGTGTGTTCACGTCACCTTGCATTACCAGCATCATTAAGAAATCCACATTGCTCCAGTAGCTTAGTTTGCGTAGTAAACGAGCACTGACTAAAATAAAACAGCCTGAATAGCATGGCAATTCAATGCACTCACAGAATCTGCTCTTATCTTACAAATTCGTTGTTTTTCAGGTTCGTTGTCTCCACTGCTTTAAGGTCCATGAAGATAAACCAAGATGACCTTGACCAGATCTCCAAGCTATCCCAGACGAGAGATTTCACGGACAATCCCTCCAAACTCCAGGCGATCCTTGGAGCTCTGGATCACTTCCGCTTGGATGTCGGTGTGCTGGGTGAGACGGGCTGTGGCAGCTCCAGCCTGATCAATGCACTCCTGGGCTTGAAGAACAGTAATGAAACCGCTGCTTTAACTGGTGTCACTGAAACCACTAAAGAGGCTGTGGAGTATGCCCTCCCTGATTCCCACAACATCCGTTTTTGGGACCTTCCTGGACTTGGAAAAATAGGTGATCTTAGCAGCCTGTCAGCCAATGCATTCAGTTCTTCTGAGGGCCAACAGGTGGCATCTGTGCTTGCTTTGTGTGATGTATACATACTGGTGTCTCCTTTAAGGGTTAGATTGAGAACCATACAACTTCTGCAGCAAGCGTCCTCCATGGGCAAAGAGTGCTACCTAGTGATTTCCATGGTGGACTTGATTGAAGATAAGGCTGTCGAGGAGGTGAGACAATGGACTGAGAAAGTCTTGAGTAAATTGGATATTCAGCAGAGCTTGTTTCTGGTATCTGCGAACTATCCAGAAACCCTAGATTTAGCCAAGCTAAAGGGGATGTTAAAAGCAGCCATCCCAAGCCATAAGAAAGTTGCTCTAGCCAGATATGTTTCAAAGCAACTGGATGAAGATGTTTTCTGGAAAAGATCAGATTCTTGCAAATTTATGTAATTGATTCCTTTTTATGCTTCCTTAAAGAACATTTTTACACATTTTAGCATGCTTTATCAAGTAGTTTTTTGAATTTTTGTTTGGCAAGTCATCATTTCCCAAAAGTATTTCGAAATCCTTTATGATATCCTACACAAAAAAGGTTCTTCAGCAGTTCTTTGTGGTAATTGAAGTGATATTTAGCACTACCAAGTGGTTCTTTGGCTCATTATATTACACTACATGACAAAAGTCTTGTCATCGATGCTGATTGTAAGAACAACAAATAATAACTTGAGTTCTAGTTGATCATTTGGAAATGTGGCAGAAGATAGAATTTAAGGGTGGTTAAGATTCTACATATCATCATCTTAAAAGATATAGGTGATATGTAGCGCTTAAGGTGGCTCCTTTATGATGGCAAGCCAGCAACTTTTAATACTGTTTAGCACCATTTTTGTGTAAGCTGGTGCAACATATGCAAAAGAAAAAAAAAAACATTATTAATATTATTATAATTTATTTTTGACAAAATACTAAAACCAGCATTATTTATAAAAAAGCAATGTTTTTGGGCAATGCTCAGGTTATTTTTTTACTGTTCTGGTGTCTAGATGTGTCTTAAGTTGATTCTTTATTGTAAATCTAAGGTTTTCATTTGCACTTTCTATATTTTATTTAACTTTTTTTTTCTTTTAAATCGCTTACCCATACTTCAAATACTTTTATTAAACTCCTAACACATACTCACACCTACAAAACACAACTGGCCAAATGAATAATTTTCTTTTCAAAAATACATTTTGTTAAATATATGCTAACTCCTCATTTTAAAATAGAACATCTTTTTCTGCACACACTAGCTTTACCAAAACACTGGAAATCTGACTCAAAATGAAATCATTCTGTTGAAGAATAACACTTGATTTCACTTCACAAGGTGCATGCAGTCAGTCAAAGTACACAAGGTTTCAAAATACTGACTGTTGTTGACATTACAAAAACTGCAGAGACTTTTATGCTTCAGTTTTACAGGTATTTGCATGCACCACCGTGCTGACACTAAATTTCTTGGTTGGAAACTTTCCACATGTACAGTAATTGTTCAAATTTAATGGCATTCCAGTAAAAAGCATATTTGATGGTCCATTTGAGTGTAGGGTATATGCCCAGCTAGTGTTTTTACCATACTGATAAAGTTCCGGTGACCTGTTATTGTTTTTTCCATTTTATAGCATCAATGTTGTAATGTCATTAAAATACAATCAGTTAAATAGACTTTGGCATTCATTTAGTTGCTCAAGCGTAAAACAAAACAAAAAGCTGTTTACTCGCATGCGCCCGTCAGAATCGGCAGGCTAGCGCAGAAGCTCCATTAAATATACTGCGGTAAAATAAACGCTCATATTGTAAAGACATGGCAGGGAAAATAAAATTTAATGCAGTGCTCTTTGTACAATCTGAGAATCACTTCATATCTATATTACTCAGGCAGTGGAAATTGCTGATTTTTAAAGATAACAGACCTTAAACGCGCTGATTTTGCATTTGACATACAGTTCACCGAAAGCGCTTATCCCAGGTTACTGGCAAATTAAAAGTCCAATTAGTATTCTTTGGAATGTACCCTATTAGTAGACTGACTGCTTCATATCTGTTGATACTGCTGCTAAACAGACATTTAACTGACTATAAGAAACTTTGCAAGAATGTCAACACACTAACCCTAACCTCAACCTAACAGTCTACTTATAATCCAATGAGAATTAGTTGGCATGAAGGTGCAATGTGACTTAAACTCAACAAATCAACAGATATTAAGCATACGGTACAGTCTAATACTCAAATGGACATTAAAATAAAGTTTGACCAAAAGCATAAACATTTTATTTTCTTTACTGTTTACTACAGAAGGTACAGCAGAAACATGGTATGATCAAACAGAAAAGGTTTTACAGTATTGCTTACAGTGAACAAAATATCCACCAAACACACAAGATTCTGAACAAAAAACCCAGATGAAGTGGGGGATTAAAAAAAGCACAAAATTACTGTTTCTAATCTTTGCAATCTTCATGTTTTCATTAACATCAGTCCTCAAAGTCCTCTGTCCTACTGTATAGGTGTAAATGTAATAGAGTCTAAGTCAGACTGGAATCAGCTGTGCTTGGCCCAATGTACCCAACATAAATCATAAAAAATATTATTTAACTGTTTGCTGATTATCAGCTGAGATACATATTTTTATATTGATATTATTTTTGAACTGATATCATTGTGGAAACAGAGGTTTTTATACTGCATCTATGGGTTGAAATATTGTTTTTGCTATTGTGGGATGTTGTGTGTTCATAAATACTACAAAACTGTCTGTTAAGAAAATATAAGCATTGTGGAAATGTGTTCACTGACTACATATTAGGTGAAAACAACATAAAATGTTTGAATGGTATGACCACAAAAGACCAAAGCTGTGCTAATTGTGTTTAGACTTTTGAAAATGTGACAACTGTTTGGACAAACGCTTGTTAGCGACTGTAAAACTGTAATTACAAATCTGAAAAAAAAGCCCCTTCATAAAGTAAGCTGCATGCTTTGAGGTTATTGCTTACGCTTGTACCACAGATGTGGAGATGTATAGTATACTAAGGTTGTGTACTGGATTTTTTGGTGTTTAGAATGACTTTTTAAATTATGAAAAAAACAAGTGAGGTTTCAGAACTATAAGTACAAGACATTAAAATCTTACATAAGGGTATTTAGGAAACAAGAACAGGTGCATTAGTACGTGAAGCATGGATTAAGTGAATCTGACAGTTGCATCTCCAAACCTGTCACTCATGCAATTGAATTTCTGTGATGGAACAGGATCTCTAGTCTCATTACTCAGTCAACACCTCACCTGTAAACCACAAAACCCCACCCACCAATGCCTGAAGGTAAACCCGTCTGCGAACGCAGCTACTAACTTCCCTTAATCTGAGGAGGAGCCAAAAAACTCCTCTCCTCAGAGCCCCAGGGCAGCACTAGCATTCACATTTAAATTCACAGATATGACAAATGAGTTCTTATTGTGCAGAGAAGCACATGCACCTGAAAAGATGCACGGTACATGAACATTTGATGATCACCTTCAGGACCATTCAGCGCCTTTGGCCATGTTTGAAAGCATACGCGTCTGGCTTTGTGAAGCATGAAAGACAGCTAACAAGTAAAGCTGAAAGAGCAAGAGCCAACCAGTCAGATGCGACTCGTACGCGTTCAACATGAATCTCGTAAGTAATGGACTGTCCGTGCAGTGCTACCTGAAGCCAAAGATGATGGGGAAAATGCGGAAAAGAGTTCAGGAGATGAGAAACCCAAACGCCATGGTGCCTTCATTGGATCTGAGTCATAATGAAAGCACACGACTGGCCATGGATGCTCTCCTGGACAAAGGGATTGATGGATATCAGAAAGCGTTGAGAAAAGAGAATGAAGCCAACTTTCTGTCTGCGGAGGAGAAAGCGTACATCTTAAATCACGTGAAAAAGCCTCACACTGATGAGGACGAGGTAGACAGGGATGAAGAGATGTCCAGTTCTCCGTCAGTTTCTTCTGAGACGTACTTTCCAGTGGCCACTGAAAGCGAGCCTCCAGTTCTGGACTACGGCTGGCCGGTGGCAGACTGGACTTACCATCTGCAAGGTATTCCTAGTGTGGAAGTGTTTTTCCAGTCAGTCAAATCGTCCTCCATGAAAGACATGCTGCGGGAGCTCATCAGGCAAGCAACAAAAGTAAGAACCTTAAATTTCATGGAGCCTTTTTAAGACATTATTACTTTATTTATTAATTCTGACATGCAAGGAAGATGCACACTGCAATTATAAACTGCATTGCTAATGTATATATAGTTCAAATTTTTCACATTTTAAGTTAGAGATAAACCGATATTGAACTTTTGACCGATACCGATAACCGATATTTTTTTATTCTTTTGCTTTTTGTTGTACAGCACAGTGGCCAGCTGTCATTTAGTAAATGAAATGATAACTCTTTAGATTTAGTATTAGCCGATATTAGCTGATAATTCTTTTCTAAACTTTTCATATTATGATTAATTTCATTATAGTTACACTGTATTGTATCAATGTATTGAGTGTGAATCATATCGCTTTGAGTGATATTATCAAGATTTACACAAGTTAGGGATTAACCGATACAGACTTTTTGACCGATAACTGATATCTTTTTTTTTATTCTTTTGCTTTCTTGTTGTACAGCACAGTGGCCAACTATTGTGTTTATATGTGCTTCATATGTAAGTAAATGAAATTATATCTTTAAATTTGGAGGCCGATATATATTAGCCGATATTTATAATTCTTTTCGTTATTTTAAAGTTTTCATATCATGATTGGTTTAATTATAGCTACACTCAATGTATTTTTTATGTTGTGCACTTATTTACCAAGTGTAAATTATGTCGCTTTGAGTGATATTATCAAGATTAACGCAAGTTAGGAATTAACCAATATAGAGTTTTTGACCGATAACCGATTGTTACAACCCCTAGGCAGTCTAGGGAAGTGGGGTTGCACACTTGATCAAGGATTTTGTTCAAACAAACACTCAAAGAAAATTGAACTCAAAGTAATGACCACATACAAGAATTGCTGTGCAAATAAAGTGATTTATTACAAGTGGTGATAAGTGAAACAGTAAGTGAGCTATTTACAATATTTACAATTCACAATCAAAACAAAAACCTAAATTAGAAAGACTGGCTATGGGTGGCGCTAAAGCAAAGAAACAATCAAAACCAAACAGTCTTACTAATATCAAATCCCCGCTAATCTAGTCTAATAAACAATAATGTGAAAAATAAATCTTCAACGTCCAAGACGTCTTACCTAAACTACACTAACTATCCACTTAACCAAAAATACACGGGTTGGCGCTCACCCCCTTCCCTAGTGTATCTCTAGACAGTTGAACTCCTATGTGTTGAAATGTATATCACGTGACCTACTTACCTACCAGTCTTTCTACCAAACCTCTGTAGGGAAACATGAGGAAAGGGAATGAATGATTACACAGGTAAGAACAGACAGTGACTAAACCAAAATAACAACACAGTGTAAATAAAGGATAAGACGGACTATATATCACAACAATACTTAACAAAATGGGGATATAAACACAGGTTCAATCAAGCAAGCAAACAAGCACAAAAACCAGTGACAAGGTGAGCCAACAAAGACTGTCAAACTGCTGGCAGGCAAAAAAATATATAGTGAGCTGGAGTAATCTGATTGGCTGAAACTGGAACCGAGTTGTCACAGAGGAACCAATCAGCATAAAGCAGTGTCAGGATTGGTTGCATGAAGTGGATGTGAACCAGCCAATCAGGAACAGCAGTAGGCAAAACAAGGAAGTGAACTGGAGTGATAAAAAGAAAAACACAATGAGACACATAGTAATACAACCATAAATAACCAATACGTGCTGGCACGTAACACCTCCCCACTAAAGAACAAACATATAATGTTTGTAAAAGAAATATTTTTTTTAACAACGAACATTCAAACATAAATAAACAAATCCACAAAAACTGAATTGTCAAATTTAAAACTTACGTGTCAGGTCGAGACAGGGTATCAGCCACAATATTCTCTTTCCCCTTCTTGTGTCGGACCTCAAGGTTATAGCTTTGTATAATCAGTGACCAGCGCATCAGTCTCTGGTTCTGATTATACATGCGTGACAGAAAGACAAGTGGGTTATGGTCTGTGTAAATCACTACTGGAGTTGAGCTGGAACCCACATACACTTCAAAATACTGTAGAGCCAACAATAGAGCAAGAGCTTCCTTCTCAATCGTTGAATAATTCAACTGGTGTTTGTTGAACTTACGGGAGAAGTAGCAAATCGGATGGTCAATTCCTTCCTTATCTTCCTGCAGCAGGACAGCGCCAGCTCCTACAGCACTTGCATCTACCTCCATTTTAAAAGGCTTTTCGAAATTTGGAGCCATTAACACGGGAGCTTCACACAGAAGTGCTTTAATACTTTCAAAGGCATGCTGGCATTCTGATGACCACTTAAATTGCCTAGAAGGGCTCAGTAAATTTGTAAGAGGCGTTACCACACTTGAAAAGTTCTTGCAGAAGCCACGGTAGTATCCCGCCATTCCTAAAAACCTCCGCAATTGACGACGAGTATTTGGGGTAGGAAATTCTGCAATGGCTGTTACTTTTGCTTCTGGGTGGTACCTGTCCTTGACCAACCCGTTTACCAAGATAGGTGATGGTTGCCTGAGCAAACTCACATTTTGCCAAATTCAGGGTTAGATTAGCATTGGCTAGTCGTTGGAACACAGTTTTCAACTGAGACATGTGCTCTGGCCATTCAGAAGAATAGATCACTACGTCATCCAAATATGCATTACATCCTGCAACTCCTGCCAGTACAGTAGTTATCAAACGTTGAAACGTAGCAGGTGCATTGCGAAGTCCGAAAGCCATAACCTTATACTGCATAAAGTGATCAGGGGTAACAAAGGCCGATATGTCAGATGCACGAGGTGTTAATGGCACTTGCCAGTAACCCTTTAACAAGTCTAGTTTAGTCACAAAACGAGCAGAACCCAAGTTATCAACACAGTCCTCCATGCGCGGCAATGGATAGCAATCAGGAACTGTCACTGCATTGACCTTGCGGTAATCAGTGCAAAAACGATTTGACCCATCAGATTTGGGAACGAGAATGCAAGGGGAGCTCCATGGACTACAACTTGGAGCTGCTAGTCCATTTTCACATAGATATTCCACTTCCTGCTTCATAATTTGTCTCTTTCGGGCATTAACACGGTAAGGATGCTGTTTGATTGGATTGGAGTTATGAATAACAATATCGTGTTGTATAACAGAGGTTTGCGTCGGAGTGTCATGAAACAGTTCTGGGAATTGCTCAATCAGATTTTTAACATCCTTCTTTTGGGTTTCTGTCAAATGAGTCAAGTGTGAGGACAAGTTTTTCAGAATCTTAGAGTTCTGTAACAAAGCACATTGCTGTGGAGCATTGCGCAGCACTAATCCATCCTCATCTGCCTCTGTGGAAATGTCAAAATCCATGTTCATTAGTGCAATGGGTTTTGTCACTTCCTTTTTCTCAATTTGATCTTGTCGTACCAAATATGCTTTGAGCATGTTAACGTGACAAACACGGGTTTTTCGTCTCCGGTCAGGTGTGCGCAGGACATAATCAGTATTACTGATTTTGTGGTCAATCACATATGGCCCTGAAAATCGTGCAGACAATGCAGAACCAACAATTGGCAAAAGGACCAGTACTTGGTCTCCTGGTTTAAATTCACGAACCACAGTTTTAACGTCAAATCTTTTCTTCATTTTACCTTGCACAGATTTGAGTGTCTGTTGTGCCATGGAACAAGCATTACGTAATCGCTCCCGAAATCTACTCACGTATTGGGTCACATTCGTTTTGCTACTAGATTCCGAATCTAAAAGTTGTTCTTTCAACACTTTAAGTGGGCCACGGACAGTGTGTCCAAACACAAGTTCAGCTGGGCTGAATCCGAGGGACTCCTGTACTGTTTCACGTACCGCAAACAGCATCAGGGCCACTCCTTCATCCCAGTCATTGCCAGTGTCTAGACAGTACGTTCGCAACATGGATTTCAGTGTCTGGTGGAACCGCTCTAGTGCTCCCTGACTCTCTGGATGGTAAGCACTGGAAACACAATGTTGAATAGAAAGTGACCTTAACACCTCGTTAAACACATTTGACATAAAATTTGTCCCTTGATCACTCTGTACGACTTTGGGTAGGCCAAATGTAGCAAAGAATTTGGTGAGAGCTTTAATGATTACGGGTGCAGTGATTTTACGTAATGGTATGGCTTCAGGAAAACGTGTAGCAGCACACATTATTGTCAACAAAAATTGGTTACCGGCTTTCGTCTTTGGCAACGGACCTACACAATCAACAATTACCCTTTCAAAAGGTTCCATCATGATTGGTATAGGATTAAGAGGAGCAGGTGGGATTACCTGATTAGGTTTACCACTGAACTGGCAGGACTGACAGGTGCGGCAGTATCTGGCGACATCTTGCTTCAACCCTGGCCAGAAGAAATGCTTCAGGATCCTGTGATAGGTTTTCGTGATTCCCAGATGACCAGACAAAACATGATCATGGGCAAGAACTAATACTTGCTGTCGGAAAACAGAAGGAACAACCACCTGATATACAGTACTCCATTCATCATCTTGCTCCATTGCAGAACTCCACTTACGCATCAGTAGTGCATTCTCAACAAAATAACCCACCTGTTTCTGTTTCAACTGTTCTCGAGGAACGACTAATTTGAAACATTTGGATAAAGTTTGATCTTTTTGTTGGGCAAGGATGATTTGCTCACGAGTCAAATTTAAGTTCAGATTGACCTGATTATCAAATGCACACTTTTCAGTCAGAGGTTGTTTTTCAACATTTGTCACTTTGTTACTCACAGTTGCATCATCTACAGTCATAAATGAATCAGATAAAGTAATCTCATTGTCCGTTTGCTTCTGCTGAGCTCGGGTCACGACGCATGCGAGAAAAGTCTCAGGGAATGCATCTGACAACTTGTCACAAAATGAAGGCATGGGAGATTTATCAAGAACCTCGCAAACAGGCATCACCTTACCACCAGCTATATCGTTTCCAAGGATAAGTGATATGCCTTTTACGGGTAATGCAGGTCGAACTGCCACATGCACAAAATCATTGACCAGTTCGCACTGTAAGTGGATTTTGTGCACAGGTGCTCTCACAATTCCCATCTGGATACCTTGCATAAGGATGCTGGATCCAGCTGAGGTTTGTTCGTCAAACGGTAACGCATCAGCAGCTATAATGGAATGACTGGCACCAGTATCACGAAGAATGTTTATTATGTGCTGGTCTTCAGGTTTACCAGTTATCGAAATTGATCCTTTGGTTACGAATGGCTTGTAACTTTCATCAAATGTATTCTCAAGTTGTTCCTTATTCTCAGGTGCAGATTGGACAAAACCAACACTTTTAGGTTTTTGATTTTTGTTTTTCAAAGCACGACAATCGTTTATCAAATGTCCAATTTTTCGGCAATAGAAACAGACTCTAGTCTCTTTTGGAATTTCGGACTTTGCCAGTGTACGAGAACTAGAGGAACAAGCAGGC